ACGTGACTCACACCAACCAATTAGAATGGCAGACAAGACCCCGTAATCCAGTTACAAATGTAAGATTCGCTCAAGTGATCGGAGCTATTTCTAGTGCTCCACAGTAGTTCATAACATAGTTCTTCACAACATGACTTCAAAGTTCAATTAAGACTGTCTTAGAATTCAACTTACGTTTCCATACCTGTGATTATGGTTGGATTTGGAGGTTAGATCTACGCCTAAATGTGGTTTAGGGTTTTATTCTGCATAACATGGCGTGGTCACTGTGGCTGCTATGTATTTTCCTACTTCTTATATATTTGGTTAACTTGGCAAATCTCCAACAAGCCATGCTAGTAAACCCTACATAATAGAACCAAGGTCACACATTCCTAAACAAACACACAAGCTCCGCATTTGGTATGTGAAGTATTGTGCGTGTGTGTTAGACTGTAAGACTGTCAGATCGGAAGTTTGGGTGTAGTTCATTTAGGGAGATAATGAAACACTTTGTTCTGATCTGGTTCCAAAACAAAAGATTAGCTTATAGCTTACGATACACGTTATATAGCTTGGGTACTAGATTGTGTATTGTTAAGAAGTCTTAAGTTGGTAATGTGTAATTATTTTATGAGGCTGTAAGTTATTAATATGTTACAATGATAAGTTGTTACGTTGTAATGGTGTTTAACTCATGTAAACGGAATTATTGCATATAATTCAGGAATATTATAATACAAAGGTTTAGCAGCAAGATGTGAGATGTAACTTGACTGTATTTTCCCCCTAACAACGTTATATTAGAATAAGTATATTAATTCAGGAATATGATCAAGTCGAATAGGCCAGTATTCCGCGTAAATATTCCCAAACAATTCAAGGAACCCTCTCTCAAGAAGGGGCCCATTTTCTGTACACTACTTTTCTTCTGAAAAGATGCTGTTCTCCAGCGGCAGCAGCTATATTCTTATTCTACAACCCGTACATTATCATGTAATATAGCTGGAGGTGGTCCAGATGTTCCGTAAATTAATCCATTTACGGGGTCCCCATCATTTACGGGAGTGCAGACTGTAGTTCAGCTTAATGACTGGGGTTCAGTTACAAGGTGATTCGTCTACTGTGTTTTTCTGGCCGACTGAGGGGCTGGGCTTTACTATGCGGTGCAATAATATTATGCTGGATATGTTATGTATTTCGCTCTATATTCATAAGGGAGTACTACAGAAGATTATAATAATCATTCAACAATGACAAGTATATTGTTGTGTCTGAGCCGGAAAATCGCTGTATCTTGTGCCGGATTGTCGTAATTAGTGCATACATAGTGGTGGTTATAAAAAGCAATCAATTTGTCATGCAATAGATAATCAGCACATGAGTACACCAAGCTGTGTATTAACGGCAGAGTCAATCCTTGTTATAAGGAAGGTTGAAGTCTGGGGGTGATAGTTACGCATGAATAGATTCTGGATATATGATCTAAGGAATGATGATGAAATATGAATATATATATTTGAATGTAATAATATGTTGACTGTAGTTCAAATGTGTGTGTCTGTGAGCCACTGTAAGGGTTTTCAGAACACTCAGGAAGAGCGAGAACATGTTTTAACTGTCTCGTTGGTGGTTCGGCTGTTGACACGTCTTAGTCTTCATCACGAAAAATAATAGAATATTAAGACGATTAAAACTTTTTGCGAACCAGTGTTAAAAGTTGTATTGCTGGCTTTTTTGTATGCATTACTGAACAATTTCTCTGCCAACCTTTTTTAAAACCTAGTTCGGATGCAACATTATTGTAAAGCATATTTATAGCAATTACACATGATAATGAAGCCAAACCACTGGATACTTACTTTAACTTACCACGAAGTGATGTTAAATCTATCCACTTTATGTGCATTATAATTTCGTCAAGCAATTGCATTTAACGGAGTAATTCTGAATAAGAATCACAAATAAAGATCTACTGTACGGCTCACGAATTCGTCAAATTGGATCCACAGATTTGATTATATAATAGTCACCGTTATACATATATCAAAGGGAGCGTTCATAGTGTAACAGGAATCAGGGGTCATGACGATCTCACGCAGGATGTGTAGCATGATTAGGCAGTTTCTCTCATTTAAATACATTCACTCGATTAATTGATTAATGTTACTGTTCTGTTGGAGCCGTCCAGCTTTTCCCAGGAGAATTGAAATTTCGATTTTACAAATTTTGATTCAAACGTAGCGCGCGATAGACATTATAATCAATTTTTGTGCGCGCCACGCGCGTTCTAAATTGGAAATGCGTAGATTTAAGTAATTTTCCACGAGACATTCATGTAAATTCGCATGTTTTGAAGTTTGAGAAATAAAGAGATAGTTTTTATCTTTTCGAGTATATAAACCAATTATGGTAATGATCAAGTTACCATTTCTGCCGTGCAGTGTTAAAATTTTTGAAATGTATATTAATTTTGATTCTGATTTTTGTCCCCAATTTGTTTCTCGCTTATTCACATTAATTTCAGATTTTCAAAGAGATCTGATCATGATGCAATCATCTCGCAATTTGATATAGCACAAGTGTGTTATGTGTTGCCATGTAAGGTCTAATGAATGATCGTTTGGCTTAAATTAGATCTTGGTTGATTTTCTTCCGAAGCCAAAACCAAGTATAATAATAATAATCAAGCGTTAATTTTTACGGTTGAATTTTAGTTTATACCTGCTAATTGTACGAAAATGTGATGAAGAAATAAAAGTATAATTCCAGTAAAACATGTACGCTCAAGATTCTTTTAGAACTTATGAATCGATGAATCTAATTTTCAGGTTAATCTAAAATTACTTTTCCCGTTATTTTGACGGATAATTATAAAATGCGTTTACCAGTTGCCTTACACCACAGTCAATTAATACATTAGTGTGTCATGCAGTAAAATTTGACGGTGGACCACGAATTTTGACGGTAATTAGCAGCCTTGTAGGTTTTCAGAAGGGTTAAAGCACAGCAACCAATCAGGACATATCTTCAAGATCACGTGCGACCACGGAACCAAACACCCGCCGTCTATAAAAGTAGACATGCTTCGTTGCAGCGTGGTAATGACTTTTTCCTCTTAACTATGTTAGTGATAAATAAAGCTTTTTTCTACCTTCGTGTCAACTGGCAGAGCCAATGGAAAGGCCGGGTTTAAGAAACATGTGGTGTAGAATGCACTTATCAAACATCGGTTCTGTTTCATGCGAGCTTAGCCAAACGTTTGCTCTACACTACTCTTTAGTGTTGTTCCAGTCTTGTAAGTCGCAAGACGTCTATTTTGATGTGTCTAAACTAATCCTTTTAAAACCTTTTCAAACAGAAAATTGTCTGTTTTGAATTTTCACACCTGCATTTTACATGCCCGCGTGGCTTTGATATCTTTAATATAAATTTGTCACCTAATTTATAATTGGACTTATGTAAAGTTTAATAAGATGTTGAAAAATGAAGTTCCTAAGGTGCAGGGTGCAAACCTTGAACTGACCAACATCCGCATTACGATTTATCCATTAGCTACTGTATAGTGTATAGTGCATAGTGCATACAATGCTCTTAAGAGAATTGATACCCTCAAAAACTGCTTACAGAGTACAACATAATACATTTCAACAGTTCACATAAGATATGTAGTGAGAGGAATGTCGTGGAAAGACCGACAGAAGACAAGCAGTGCTGGCTCAGTACCCTCCTGGAAACAAAAGCAAGGAGAGAGAGCTGCTGCTGCTGATAACGAGCCCCCTTGGAAGAAACAGCTTAAGAAGACTGGAGCAAGTACTACGGAGGATAATGTGCCTGCTTGGAAGAAAAACTTGAAGAAGACAGGACCAAAGAAGGGTGATGAGCCTGAACAGGAGGCACCGTGGAAAGTGAATCTGAAGAAGTCCCAGGCTGTCGAGAAAACTGCTGAAGAGAGTAATCCTGACTGGAAAGATGCTAAATTGAAGAAAACAGAGGCCGAAAAGAGGGAAGCCGAGAAACAAAGTCTGAATTATACGCTAAAACCAGTAGAGGTTCAGGCCAGTTCAGCTTCAGAAGAAAGTCCAGAATGGAAAGATGCTCAATTGAAGAAAACAGAGGCTGAAAAGAGGGAGGCAGAGAAAAACAGTCTTGATTGCAACCTGAAACCTGTGGAGAAAAACATTGTGGACCAACCTGTCGTTGAAGTCTCTTCTACGAGCAAAACAGTCGAAGTCTCTTCTACGAGCAGAACAGTTGAAGTTTCTTCTACGAGTAAAACAGATGTAATTGTTAACATTGGACAGGGTTCCAAACGTAACAGTAAGTACCGGGCCTTTTTATGTTGCATTAATTTATCTGTCATGACTCTCCACCAAAGTTCATTCCTTATACATTCCATTAGTCGTTGTAATGTGCAGCCTGCAAACGGTAAAACTATTTATTTTTTTTCCCGTTCGTTTTGCTATCACCGAAAATCAATATGTCAAATACACATTGCATTCTTTATCCGGTTCCAATTATTAAACACTTCTGGGACAGAGTTTTATTAGATTAGCTGTCATGCGGTAAGATTTGCATCTTCAGACACAGTGCTGTCTTGTCACGAGGCCTATAGTTAGCAAGCTTCACACTATTTCAACCAATTGTAGCACTAAGTAGTTCGGCAAAGTGGCTTTGAAACGACTCTAAATTTTAAAGCCAATCACTGAAACGAGTTTTCCAATGTTCATTGCCTCTATTTTTACATGTCTCTGCAATTACATAATACATCAACACCCACTATATAGTAGTATAAGTTTGGTACAAGTCAGGACACACAAATATCATGAATAATTCCTTTTGGTCGTGTTCTTTGGCTTCAGTTCCCAGTGCTTACTTGACGTTGTACAATGTTGATAACAGTAAACATTACTCCCTGCCTATAATGAACGTGTTTTGACGTGCTACTAGGTGTTAAGTTTGCTATTTATAATTGAGCTGTCACTCACATAATCATATCATTTAGTTACGGCCGGGTTTTGACTTGCTGTTTTGTAGTTGTTGTGTTGTACTTCACTTCTTTGCTCTGACGTTGTTCCCCCAGATCAACAATCTACAGGTTTAGTTGTGGATGTTCAGATGGAGGTGGCCGCTCCCAAGCCCAAGACATTTGTTCTGGAGCTTACAGAGCAGGAGTGGAAGGATAACCAAGCTATGGGAGCTTTTGCTGGCATGAAGATTTCATACACCATGGAGGGAGAGAAGTATAAGATCGAGATGACCGCTGAGCAGTACGAGAAATACAAGAAGAATTGCGGTTAGTGACAGCTCATAATTTCGATCCTCCCAAATTTTCACGGGGTCTGCAGACACCCTATCAGGTTTCATCAGTTCATCGCAATGTACAGTTGAGTTTGAATCGTCCGGTTGATTTGTTATGTTCCCAGAAAACCCGGGCTATGTACTGCGACTGAGTGAAGAGGAGTGGCAGGAGCACCAAGCTAATGCTATGTTTGCTGGCCTCAAGATATCTTACACCATGGACAATGGTACGTATGTGGTCAGACTCACTGATGAACAATACGAGGAATACAAGAAGAATTCAGGTACGTGTTCGAATTTCATTAATTTTAGTTTTAATTTTTCTATTTCCGGTGCTCATTAACAATCTTTTCCGTATCGAATTTTTGTGTATCATTTTGTATCTACCTTGATGACATACTACGTTGGTAATTATTTCTGGAATTGCTATTAGAAAAAGTAAATTGTAAGGTGGCTACTCCCTGTGCCTCACAACGGAGCAGTACGAAGAACTCCAGAAGTACAACGTGTTCGTCGGGATAAACATCACCTACACAATGCAGAATGGCAACTACGTGATCAAGATGACTAATGCTGAGTACCAGATATACCTGAAAAACAGACAAATAGCCGGTCCGATAACCTCAATGCAATATAACATTACTATGGCTGCAGGTAGGGTTTCTGTACACGTCAGAGATTGTGTTCTCGAATAGTTTTATCTTCATGCAAGCATTGAAAGCATACAGTTACACATGTTTTCTTTAACCGCCTTAATTGAATTTAGCCTGTGCCTGTGGTATTATTCGACCAAAAAGATTCATTCAACACTTCTATCAGTCACCATAAAACTGCTAGTTAATCAACATTTTTGTTTCAAAAATTAGATGGCTGGTACAATGTACACCTGACCCCCGAGCTGTGGAATTCCATGCTGGATAACGGCAAGTTTTGTGGTCTTGAAGTGCACTACACTGTGGAGGAAGCTGGGGACTATGTGGTGAAACTATCCCAGCAGCAATATGAGCAGTTTGTAAGCTACAGATCCAAAGGGGAAGCCTCAAGCGATGTGTTTTCTGTCACAGTCGACCCGAGTAAGTTAGGACAACCATTGTCTACCCCAGTGTTAAAGTTACTTGCTGCTTTATAACCATGGTGCAGTTAAATAAGTCATCATGTCTCCTAACAATGTCTCCTCATAAGGTGGCAAATACGTATTGGGTCTAGCTGAAGATCAGTATAAGACTCTTGTCTCCATCGGCTCCTTCAAGAACCTGGAGATCAAGGTATCAGTAGGCTCTGATAGGTCCCACACAGTGATCATGTCTAAAGAGGATTACAACACCTTTCTGACGAGACATTCTGGATCTGGAGGGTCTAATGAGGATGTTGGAAAACAGTTTAACATCGGTATTTGTCCCGAGAGTAAGTTGCATGCTGGTCTGAAGTTTTTGTTTGAAAAAAGGCAGGTCTTATTAAGAGTCGCATGCTACCATCAAGATATTTTGTTTTGAAGAAAGATGAGTCTACATCGCATGCTATCGTCTGTATTTCTACGATATACGGCTAATAATCTGAATGCATGATCCCGAACATCTTACCCGGGAATAGAAGGACGTTTCTCGCCGAATACTGGATGCTGATTTCACCCTGTTAATAGCAACTGTATTCTACCGTCGAATAAAGCCGAAATTCCTGAGATAAAGTTTAACATGTCTGCAGTCTATGAAAACTCACCTCAGATTTCTGTGTCCATTACCTTCGTAACAACTTTCACTACATGTTTTATGTTCTTCATACATTTAAACACAAACCAACCAGACGGTTTCGCTGCAACAACCAGCTAACATTCCACATATTTGCGTGTCAAATAACGGAGTAGTTCGCTGTTTATTAGTCTCATGATTGAAATACTGATATCTGGATATTATCCGGTTGGAAGAGACAAGGACAAGTGAAACAAGGAAGTTAGGAGTAAGGGCAAATTTTCGGCGTCAACGCCATCTTCAGGCTAAAATTGTTATAAATGTTAGTATATAATAAATGCTTCTATACTAGTTAAAATGCTAAATTAAAATTACACACACTGAATACAGGTTACATCAAATGGTATTGTACATTACATTGAAAATAGTGATGTACACACGTTTTACACTCTGTCCAAGTACATAATATCTACTGAACAGCAGGGTCGTGTGCTATTTGTTTAAATTTGTCTTTGAATATGTTGTAAAAGAAATCCCTTAAGCTTCTCGCACTCTTCTTTGTTATTGATACTAGGTTTAAATAAATTAATGTAGTAAGCTTCTGTCACTTTACGTTTAATGGTGCTATATAAGTTAATTTCTAAAATATCGAAGGAAATATCTGGTTCTATGTTATCGTGAAACTCTGAATAATGAGCAGCCAACGCATTATCAGGATAGGTTAAAGGCCTGTTGACTGCTCTTCGATGCTCTGAAAATCTATCGTGTGCTGTTCTACTCGTTTCCCCTATATATAGCTCTTGACATAATTTACACGTAACTTTGTATATGACACATTTTGGTTTGCAGTCGTGATTTGTTGTGATGAGTGGACATATGATACAGTTTGGTATGGTGCAGTGTGGTTTGTCGTGTGGTCGTGATGAACATAAGATCTCTGAGAGTTTCTTACCTGGTGTGAATATGAATTTGACCGGTAAGTTGTGTGAGAGGGCAAATTGAGTGACTTCTTTGGAAAATGGCTCGTTGATGAATGGTAGAGTGCATGTTACGTGGTCGGTATCTTGTATGTTTGATGATGAAGGGTTATGACGTGTTGTAGGTGAGAGAGGGTGAAGTCGTCCTGTTTTGTTTATACGTCGTGGGTCTTGGTAACCGTTGTTGACCAACAAGTTGTCTACTATCTTCATGGACTCTTCTTTATACTCTGGTGTTGATGAGCAAAAAGCAGCCGTTTTGTAGAAGTTCTTGATGGTTGCTACTTTAGTTCCCTCATTGTGGTGGCTGTTGGCGTGCAGTGTGATATTCTTTTTCTGCTTCTTTCTGTAGAATTTGTGGTGTAGTGTTCCCTGTTCGTCGATCTTTATCTGGGTGTCGAGGAATGGGGTGAAATCCTGACGGCTTTCCGGATAGTCAATTTCCCATTTGAGCAACTGGTCTGGGTCCTCGTTTGAGATGGACTCCACTATCCTCAGAGCTTCTTCTTTGGAGCTGGCTAGACTCCCGGCATCATCCACGTATCTCCGGTAGAATGAGACGTGTAAATCAGTGTAAATCGATCTTCTCTCGAACATATATACTCGTACTATCGCTCCTATTGGTGATGGTTGGCACCCCATGAAGAGACCAATTTTCTGGAGGTAGAGTCTTGAGTGATATGTAAAATATGAGTTGGTGAAGACGAATTCAAGGATCTTGTGGATGTGCGTGAGTGTTAGACCCCAGGTGTCGAGGTCTTCCCAATGTTCTTCGGTGAGTGTAATGAGGTCTTGAATGCAGCCACTGATGTTGATGTTTGTGTACAGTGCTGTGACGTCAGCTGTGAAGAATGAGAGACCTGAGAGTTGTTGATGTGACATGTTTTGAAGGTCTTCTAGGTGAGTGTGTATATTGCTCAGGTGAGATGGAACATGATTAAGCAGAGGAGATAGAATAGATTTAACAATCCAAGCAAGCTTCTCAGAAGGGGAATTTATACAAGACACAATTGGACGTATTTTACAATTAGAAATAATATCTACATCTGAAACTAAGACATTACAATCAAATTTATGAGTTTTCTGTATTAAATAAATAGTCGGTAGTTGGGTATTTTGTGATTTAAATAAGTCTACTGTTTTGCTGTCATAATTACACATCCTACTTATCTCTGTCCATAACACATTACTCTCAGTCTCTAGTCTCTCAGTAACCCTGTTGATGAGGCGGCTGTAGGAGACTTCTGAGGGGTTTGCTATTGGTTGGATCCGATTTTGTCGCGTGGTGGTAGGTGCAACGTAGGTGTACGCTTCTTGCGAGGTCATGTCTGACAGATGTTTCTGCGTAATCTGCTGTTGTACTCCACTGCTCATTATCACAAACTCACCCCCCTTGTCGCTTCTCGAGAAGTGGAGTTCTTCTTTTCTTGCAATCAAGGATTTGAGTCCCTCCCGTTGTTTTGCTGTTAGGTTAGAGGGTACTTTACTGTGTTCTAATCTGGTGTTAATGATGTAACACAGTTGGCGGAGGTGATGTTCCATGGCGAGGTTGGTGGTGGGTGGAGCACCAGCAAACGGTCGTTGAAATGGCACGTTTTTCGACTTAATAAATGCGAAGCTGGTCAGATTAGAACACAGTAAAGTACCCTCTAACCTAACAGCAAAACAACGGGAGGGACTCAAATCCTTGATTGCAAGAAAAGAAGAACTCCACTTCTCGAGAAGCGACAAGGGGGGTGAGTTTGTGATAATGAGCAGTGGAGTACAACAGCAGATTACGCAGAAACATCTGTCAGACATGACCTCGCAAGAAGCGTACACCTACGTTGCACCTACCACCACGCGACAAAATCGGATCCAACCAATAGCAAACCCCTCAGAAGTCTCCTACAGCCGCCTCATCAACAGGGTTACTGAGAGACTAGAGACTGAGAGTAATGTGTTATGGACAGAGATAAGTAGGATGTGTAATTATGACAGCAAAACAGTAGACTTATTTAAATCACAAAATACCCAACTACCGACTATTTATTTAATACAGAAAACTCATAAATTTGATTGTAATGTCTTAGTTTCAGATGTAGATATTATTTCTAATTGTAAAATACGTCCAATTGTGTCTTGTATAAATTCCCCTTCTGAGAAGCTTGCTTGGATTGTTAAATCTATTCTATCTCCTCTGCTTAATCATGTTCCATCTCACCTGAGCAATATACACACTCACCTAGAAGACCTTCAAAACATGTCACATCAACAACTCTCAGGTCTCTCATTCTTCACAGCTGACGTCACAGCACTGTACACAAACATCAACATCAGTGGCTGCATTCAAGACCTCATTACACTCACCGAAGAACATTGGGAAGACCTCGACACCTGGGGTCTAACACTCACGCACATCCACAAGATCCTTGAATTCGTCTTCACCAACTCATATTTTACATATCACTCAAGACTCTACCTCCAGAAAATTGGTCTCTTCATGGGGTGCCAACCATCACCAATAGGAGCGATAGTACGAGTATATATGTTCGAGAGAAGATCGATTTACACTGATTTACACGTCTCATTCTACCGGAGATACGTGGATGATGCCGGGAGTCTAGCCAGCTCCAAAGAAGAAGCTCTGAGGATAGTGGAGTCCATCTCAAACGAGGACCCAGACCAGTTGCTCAAATGGGAAATTGACTATCCGGAAAGCCGTCAGGATTTCACCCCATTCCTCGACACCCAGATAAAGATCGACGAACAGGGAACACTACACCACAAATTCTACAGAAAGAAGCAGAAAAAGAATATCACACTGCACGCCAACAGCCACCACAATGAGGGAACTAAAGTAGCAACCATCAAGAACTTCTACAAAACGGCTGCTTTTTGCTCATCAACACCAGAGTATAAAGAAGAGTCCATGAAGATAGTAGACAACTTGTTGGTCAACAACGGTTACCAAGACCCACGACGTATAAACAAAACAGGACGACTTCACCCTCTCTCACCTACAACACGTCATAACCCTTCATCATCAAACATACAAGATACCGACCACGTAACATGCACTCTACCATTCATCAACGAGCCATTTTCCAAAGAAGTCACTCAATTTGCCCTCTCACACAACTTACCGGTCAAATTCATATTCACACCAGGTAAGAAACTCTCAGAGATCTTATGTTCATCACGACCACACGACAAACCACACTGCACCATACCAAACTGTATCATATGTCCACTCATCACAACAAATCACGACTGCAAACCAAAATGTGTCATATACAAAGTTACGTGTAAATTATGTCAAGAGCTATATATAGGGGAAACGAGTAGAACAGCACACGATAGATTTTCAGAGCATCGAAGAGCAGTCAACAGGCCTTTAACCTATCCTGATAATGCGTTGGCTGCTCATTATTCAGAGTTTCACGATAACATAGAACCAGATATTTCCTTCGATATTTTAGAAATTAACTTATATAGCACCATTAAACGTAAAGTGACAGAAGCTTACTACATTAATTTATTTAAACCTAGTATCAATAACAAAGAAGAGTGCGAGAAGCTTAAGGGATTTCTTTTACAACATATTCAAAGACAAATTTAAACAAATAGCACACGACCCTGCTGTTCAGTAGATATTATGTACTTGGACAGAGTGTAAAACGTGTGTACATCACTATTTTCAATGTAATGTACAATACCATTTGATGTAACCTGTATTCAGTGTGTGTAATTTTAATTTAGCATTTTAACTAGTATAGAAGCATTTATTATATACTAACATTTATAACAATTTTAGCCTGAAGATGGCGTTGACGCCGAAAATTTGCCCTTACTCCTAACTTCCTTGTTTCACTTGTCCTTGTCTCTTCCAACCGGATAATATCCAGATATCAATATTTGCGTGTGTTTTATTACTTTTATACAGCATTTTTTTGAAGCGTTGATTTGCATTTGCAAACAATTAATACATGTAGTTTTCATAATGCAACAAAGTTATTAACATAGTAACACGAAGCCGTTGATGAGCCTGCTTCCCTCCAGGTGGGAGATACACCCTGGTTTTATCAGCACCCCAGTGGGCCTACCTCTCCAAGTTGGAGGTCCTGCACCAGCCTGGTGTTCAGGTGGACAAGCAGCCAGATGGCTCCATCATTGTCTACCTGACCCAGGAGCACTACAGCATATTCCTCAGCAGCATATCTGTCAACTCCAAGCCCCGTGTCAATGTTACCATCACGGATATTACTGTCGAGATGGGCTCCGGTGAGTCGAGTAGGGTCCCTCTAATCGCACTCCTCAGACCGGCTAACAGTCCAGGTGCTGGACGCTAATTCTGAGTTTCGTTTTAGCAGCACTCAGTGTAGCATGTACTTAGCAAATTACAACTCTGTTTCAATAAGCTTACGAAGGTTTTTAAATCCATGAATGTAATATCTATGTTTGTCCAACCCTTCGTGTACCCCTAACAAACAGTTCGATATCTCCACTATAGGTGGTCAGTATATCCTAGTCCTGACATCACAACAGTGGATCACCCTCCGGAACCAGGGAGCCTTCGCTGGTCTGGACCTCCAAGTAGAGGAGCTAGGTAACGGAGACCACAAGGTCATCCTATCTGCTGAGGAGTATCAGATGTTCATGACCAGCCAAGCTCAAAGTAACACCAGCACTACTTCACTAGACTTCAAAGTGACCATTACTCAAGGTTAGGAAAACGTGATGAGAAATACTTGCTGTAAGTAATTTCCAATTTCATCAGAGGAGGTGAGAAGAAACGAATTTCACTCGCTACGTTTAACGAGACCTATTTTACTATTTTACTCCCTTAAAGTTTATTTAACGATAATATGTCACCACCCCGCCTCACACCCCACTCACACCATACTACCCACCCTCTTCCAGAGAACGACTACGTCATCCATTTGACGGTCGAACAGTTCGAGAAGATGAAGCAGAACGGTTCGTTTGGGGAGCTGGAGGTCAAGTGGGTTCACGGACCTAACAGGGAGATTCTGGTAACCCTTAACACTGCCGACTACGAAACTCTGCAAAGTAATATCTTCCAGATTACAGCGGAGACGGAAGCAGGTAGAGACTAATATTCGCACCTAATGAAAGGGTAAATTTCGCGCTAATTCTGATATAATGCTTGTCTAATCCCGCGTACTCTGACCTTATATCACGGAGGATACGAGGGAAGTGTAGACAGGTGAAAACGTAAGCGTGAGCTGCGGAAAATTTTGCTTTGCGCGAAGTATTTTATATGCTTGCGGCCTGTAATTCGTTTTGACCACTGCGTTTTTGTGTGTGCAAATGTTTTATGAATTGTTATATGCGTTTCAGAGGCGACTTATATTTTCCCAATGCTTAGACTAACGTAACATCCGGAAATGAACATTGTTTATGAGTCGCATTGTTGTGACTTTTCTGAAGACAATATCTGATATCTGACTTATGATCTCCCTGTCGCGAAAAAAAAATTGGAAATATTTCTGACTCCTGGGAAAACTTTGGTCAGCTCATTGTTCAAACATTATGATGGTTAAGCTCCAATAATATTCGATACTTTAACTGTCTGCCAATTTGATTAAAATTCGAGTCCAATACGATCAATACCAATGACGAGAATTGATCACGTAGACAAGTGGACATCCTAGACGTAGAATTGTATGAATGAATGAGTCCATCCTCATTAATGGGAATATCCAGTAATATCCAGTAATATCTTATTTTTCTATCATCTGCCCAGCCCTTTCCAACACACTGATATCACAAAATTTAGATCACACAAAAAGAGGCATGACACCCATCCAAAATACCGCAGGCATGGTATTTCTTTCTAAATTCTATTGAGCTCGGTTAATTGGGCCTAATTAAAAATGTCAGCCGGTTGCAGGAGTTGGTGATGTCTCTGCCCTCTCCTCGATGCTGCTTTAGACTAAGACTAATTTCTCATTAATTGAACGTCGCAGATCTTGAGACTTTATACGTTACTATTGCAATCGCTCATATTTCTTGTTAAAAAGTTGTCGAGGCATAATTATTCTGGCGCCGACTCTCCGCTGGTCATTTATCGTTTTGCGCTGTGATTTTGGAAATTCTTGTTTGATTTTTCATCTGATTACGTATAATAAGCAGCGAGATATAACTGAATCATCGTTTGTTTGATTTACGTAGAAGGGTCAGGATCAGCGCCTGAAGAGTAAAAGACAGCTGCAGAAGAAGTTTTAACTTTGAGAGGAGGGTTATTTGGAGTATCTGCTGGAGTGAATATGGCTGACGTTCACAGTGACCATGAACAGGAAGAGGACATCCTAAAGGGTCAAATCTCGGAATATATATGTACGGTTAACTATAAATAATATGAAGTATGAATATATATGTACGGTTAACTAATAACTATAAGTAATATCATGTACGGATAAGGACTTGAACTACTTAGATGTATACAGTTCGAGAAGCGACAAAACTAGCATATCGATTCAAAATTCCGAGAACGTGTAATTTTGATTACTGTCTAAGATATGTTAACTATATCGAACTTGAGGGACATTTCGTCTCTCTAAGTTTTCGAATTGTTTAAATGTATAAGCGTACTAAGTATGGTTTGCCAGGATCAGGAATTGGTACTGTTCAGGAAAGGTTTTTGTCCATTGCAGGTAGGCAAAAAGGTGTAAACCCTGTCAGGAATTGTTGTCAGTTAATTTCTTTTCGTCGTCAAAAATGTTTTATGTCGCCTACATCTGACCAATAGTTACAGTGCATCTTCGGTTTTAGTTTTCTCCAATTGCATGCCATGATTCGACCCCTCAAAACTGCACACCAGTTTTGAGGGCATTTAACAGCATATTATTGAATATTCTTTCGTTTTAAATCCGCACTCAAATTTTTAACATCTTTCCGTTTTCAGTACAAAGGGATAACATCCAAAAGAGGACATTCACCAGATGGGCCAACGTTCAACTGAAACCGGTATTTAATTTGTATAAATTCAGTACCTTGATTTACCTAGTACATTAATTGTATTTTGATCCAACATCTGGGCCGGATTTAGAACCCAATCAAAATTTGGTCCAGACGTTTCATGACGTATAAACCCTTTGATGATAGTTAACTTTAAATGTCTAATAAAATTTAATAAAATATACACGCTCCCGCCCTATAAAAACTGTCTCGCCAAATATGTTTAATTTTTCAAACCATCTGATAAAATTAATACACTAGTAGCAGTGCCAGTCCATAGGCTACACTGAACACTGAACTGGCCTCCAAGTCACACCGAACACTTTCTTGTCAGTGTAGAACGAAATGTATAAAATTTAACGTACTTGTCTCTTCTAATATGGCCGAAAAAGACTGGTACATGCCTATAGAACTCTTTAAAGTTCTCCAAATTCCACTACAGTTGCTTGTAGGCACGTGTCTCGGATTTGGAACATTCTGGACTAATCCTTTGAAAGTATATCGCTAGTACTACACACACCCAGCCTGTGTAACGTAACTATCTGTCGACAGTTTGACATTAAAAGAACAGATATATAAGTGTGTCGTCACTTCTTGTGTCGTCACTTCTGGTCCTTACTTCACCTTAGTTTGTGATGACAGCTGATATAACCGGCTTGTTAAAAGCTTCGGTAGCTGTTTGAATGTAGTAATAGGGTGGGTCACTGCTTTTGTGTGCTCCCCAAATTGAGTGCGAGGAAATAAAGTGTTGGGAAACTAATTTGGCTGGATATATCCAGGGTTGCTATATGTACATAATTACCAGACAAACATGACCTGTCAAATGTTATAATAGAGTTATATAGAACGGGGGACAGAGGGATAGATAGTGCGGATGACAGAGTGGCAGCTGACAGTGGTTGCTTTCTTATCCTGTTTATCACTAATTATCCTACGTTTCCCATTCTTCTTCTTCTTAGGTTTCACTAACCAATCATACCTTCCCAGAGCCAGGTGGAGGTTGAGGATTTGTACGATGATCTGAAGGATGGTTTGAAACTTATTGCCTTGCTAGAAAATCTTTCTAAGAAGCCTATTGTAAGTCTTAAGTTCAACTTCATACGTGCATATCTTGATTGTGGAAATTGTATACAATCGTGTTTTTGTGAAATTATTTAACTGTCATGCCAGTTTCTACAAATCAATTTTATCGGGTTTATCAGTTTGGAATAGTGAATCATTCCGCTGACAATTAATCTCAATCTCAGAAAAAGACCCAGAGAGTAAAAATGAACATTCACAAACTACAGAACTTAGAATACGCTCTAAGACATCTCGAAAAAGAAGGGGTAAGTCGTCTTCCTCCGAATGATCTTACTTTATTTCACAGATTTGACATCATTACGTGGACACTGGACATCAAGTACAAACTAACGACTATTTTGTATATTGTTTATTGAATTATCTTAGCCCTGGTTGTGGGGACTTAGCCTTGAAAACACCAGACCTCTAATTCTGTGATAAAGCCGTCATAGCCTGATACCACCTACTCCAATACTTTAACAGATGTTTTAACACACTTACTAACTGTTATAGAAGGCTTACATTTATTGTTGAGATCCTGCAACATCTTTGCACGGCGATATCTCCAGAGGTATCTGGAGAATTATATCTGGATCAAGTCAGACCAGTTAAAAGTCACACCCAACAATCTTGTACCGCTCAACAGGTGGCTGTATAACCAGATGTAGATGTGGAATAACAAACTAAACTCGATGTAACTATGCAGCTCCGTGAAGTTGTAGTTGTAGAGTAGGTCCTACAATTTGTTAGACCCTGTTGTATTATATTTGGTGTCATGAAGTATTCTTGTAGTCCTTGACCAGCATTGTTACGATGAGTGCCCCTGATAAAGAGGGTTATGTTAGCTTCGTGTACATCGGTTCCTGTAGGGAACACTTCGAATGCGTGTACACTACTACAATATGCACATTTTCTGAGCAAACGCTCACTTTCTTTAATGAAATTTCTCTAGACTTTTTGGCTTCACAATCATCAAATCAACAGCATAAAAGATAGCCACAGCATGGTACAGCTGGAGGGTTTAAATCGCATTCAAATAACTTAATAACAGTTAATATGTTAAACTTTACTGATTGAGAGCCATGTAAAGTTAAATCGCATTCAAATAACAGTTAATATGTTAAACTTTACTGATTCGGAGCCATGTAATATGGCTGCCACACTGGCTCATAGCTTCCCGGGCGTGTACTAAATTCGCTCCAACAGATTTTCGGCTGTTTTTTCATTTGACCGAATTAGCAACCTAAAAATAAACTTGATTAGCTGAAATGTTGGGTATCTGGCAGCAATTATATGTCGTTATATTACTTTTTTTCGTGGTATCGTTAATTTTTCACAAGGAATCTAATGAATAAATTCATAATTAATTCCACTTTCTTTTAACTTCAGAACCATCCACTAGCCAGTTTCCACTTCATTCTAGGAATTTAATAATTCGTTAGCTTTGTTCCTTGTTTAATGTTTATTTATAATCACTCGGCTCATAACAATTACTATACCTGAAATTGCTATACCTGAAATTCACCCAGTTCTTCCATTACACAAGTCTGGATCATACCTGGTAGCATTATATTGTCCAAATGACCTTCATCTGAGACGAACTTCCTGGATTGATCATTTACAATCGGTTACTAAATAGTAGCAGCCAGAGCTTGGGACGCAAAACTTAGGGAGCAGGACCCTATGAACCTTAATCTTTGTCATAGTACATTCGGCATATCATTGGTAATAATAAAAACGGTTCAATTATCTGGTCTTGATAAAGATACCGTTCATCACTAACTACTTGTACAGTGTACACCATGTATATTGTACTGTTCTACCTTCGTCTAGTGCTTTACAGTTGACTGAGCGTCAAGGAATGTGAGCTTCTGTGGCGTCCTGTCAAGTTCCGAGATCAATTATTGAATCTGACGGCTAATACTCGTGAGATACTGGCATTGATAGTTAATTAAGTGTTTAATTAAGTGCATTCAGAGATAATTATATGATTTAAATTACATGCTCTCCAGCCTATTTAAAGATAATGATGACTGGTTGCCTATTGTTTCAACGATCTATTCTGATTTCCTTGTTTGTATTTGCGGCTGTACTGAACTCATCACGATTCTCATAATCCTGCAGTACAAGCAAGTACAAGTACCTGAAGGGATTATTGTTATTTTACTAGTCTTCTTGGGTAGCTCCGTAGTTTTTTGCGGCTAATGAATTGCTTAATGCAGCTTTATGGTTGAACTAGCGCAGTGTACTGTGTAGCCTAGTGTACTATTATTGCTGGAGCACTAGATAGCAGCTCACCTTCGTCTTCTCTGCGTCTGCCAAGTTATCATAAGGAACTGCCTAAGAGCTAGATCACTCTAAATAAACTGTTCCGCTGTCTTGTGTTCCGAGGACTTTACCACTGTTTATAAACATCCTTATTGTGTAAGGAAATAGCTCACTGTTTAGGAACTCTTGCGATGTTTTGTGATCACTTCCAGGCTATTAGTATTATCAGAGAGCAATTACCTCTGAGATACTACAAATAATAACTTCCTCACTATAGGATAGTTCAGTAGTTCAGCAGTTAACAATATTAACACTCATAGTCTGCAGGACTGCCTGGTCTACAGGAAGCTGATGGGCCCAATTAAACACTCAGTTACTCCTTTAACGAGACCTCTCTGTTCCTGTAGACAGTTTCTTTAACTCTGTAAACTACACTGAGCTCAGAGGCACTACACGCATCTAGTGCACGTAGTGCATCTAGTGCATGTAACAAATGTTAATATTTCATCTTCTTGTTCCGATTGACAGTTGTTCAGTATGTTAGAAGTCATCAAGATCTGGATGTAGAAATTTGATCAGCTAGATTCTGTGAGGGTTCCGTCACTATTCGTATAATATGATGCTATGTAAGCCGTCTGGTGTCTATTTTCGACAGAGTATGTAGTGCGTGATTTCAGTATAGACGCTTTTAATTGGGCCAATTAAAAGCCGCATAATGGAGCTTTTAAGTTTGTGTCCAGCCAAGCGAGTCTGTAGATAATATGCGCATTGAGATTTCAGGAAACCACAAACCACCGTACACTTTATTACGTAGTTGTACAAGAAACAACAATCTTTTCAATAATCGCCGGATCTTTCTGCCATTTGTTGAATACCTATGTTAGCTATTTCCCTTTACCAATTGTAATTATTACTCCCACTCCTGTGCCGTTTGTTATCACCATCATGTTTCACAGAACCTTTACTTGGTTGAGTGAGATGAAACGCAGGAAACTGAGCCGCCCAAAACACCGTCCCTCAGGAGCAGATATAGGCTCTCTACCATCACCCAGCTCTCTACCATCACCCAGCTCTCTAATTTCATCTCCTGAACCTGGATTGGAGAAACTACCCACAAGTTTGACGGACTACATATCTCCAGATAAACCTCCGAAATCCCTTTATAAAAAGGTCACCTCGTCCTCTGCTTTGTCTCAAACCCTTTATAAAAAGGTCACCTCGTCCTCTGCTTTGTCTTCAAAGAGTTCTCACGCTGTTCCGAAACACAACCATCTCAATCTCCAGAATCCCGAGTGTTATGACCTTTGTTTTAAAACCGAGGAAGATGATTATCAAATCATTCACGACAAGGGAACAGCATTGACGTCACAGAATAGTGATGACGTCATAACAGTGACGTCACAAACCAATGGTTATCATCATGATGCACAGGGTGATAAAGGAGACACTTACCTGCCTCTATCTGATCATGATATACAGAAGATCTGTAGTGATATTGTCTCCACGCTGGGTAATCTAGGGGCTGATATATCTGATATCTCCAGATCTGGTAAGTATAAACGAGAGGATGTAAACTCAGCAAATCTCGCTGTAAGTAGCAGAACTCCAACCCCAGCCTCAGAGGAAGGTGCTGTCTCTCCTGCTTCAACCAGGAACTGTTCCGTCCACACGTTAGAATCCAGTTCTGAACTCTCTCTAGAAAAACAAACAATGAACAACATTCCACACCAAGTACCCACACATACTTTACCCAGGCAGTTGGTAAACAAAGAGCAGATCAACATGAACTACACTGTTTCATTGTCAGCTCAACTGTCTGTTGCTCTCTCTACCTCTCTACCGAGCCCTGAAGTTAAGCCTGTCTTATCTTCCATACCTCCTGCTATCACTTCTTCAGATCATCTTCCTGCTCATCCTCTCAGTTCCAGTTCAGATAGGTCGAGGTTTCCGCTTGATAAACCTCCTAAACACCCTCAAAAACCACTGAGGTACATCAGAAAAAGGTCCTTAAAGTTTAAACGAGTCAAGAGGAAAGTGAAGAAACATCAGCACATTGTTCATCCTTCGACTGTGGCTGATAATGCTTACAGGCATGCTTCTGAAAATGTTCACGGACAATCAAGATCACTTCTAATCAACAAGCTCATCAGTCTATATCGGAAGCTTCAGCAACGTTGCAAATCGTTGGAAGCTACGTCTCCAAAGCCAAAACTCGACAATCCGCTCAAATCTCAAGATGTCAGCAACTGCACTAATTTGAACGAAATTTCTTCGTTACAGCGGTACATGAACACGTGCTATCAGATGCTAAAACAACAGCTCAGTACCTACGAAAAGAAGATTTTTTTGGAGAAGGAATTGAAGGTGTTCCAAGTAAACGATATCCCTACACGAGTTGCCTGCTCTAGAGACGTGGTCAGAAGGAACAGTCTCCCTACTGATACACTGTTCGAGTATCTCTTTGGGAAGGAGCTAAAACCATCAGCTGTCTTCGTGAAATACGACCGGCGTGTCAGGATTCCTAGTCAGGAAGTGTGCCGGAGGATTATTGGCGAGGTTCCACCTAGCACCAGGTCCAAAACTACCGTCATCCCACCAAAACCAGATCAGACAATCTCCACTCCCCGCTCAGAGGGATCAGCAACTACTAGAAATAACTCTTCCCGCCTACCAGAAAAACAAAACACTACTAAAACTGACAATAACCGTCAGTATCCAACCCTGGAGTTCAGTCGGCAGTGTTTCACCTCTTCAGACACAGCTAATCAGTGTAGATCTCAAGTAAAGACGTACAGAGTGACCGAGAGATTAGAGAGCTCTAATGGGGTGGTGACTGTGAAGGATCACTATGTGACTGCTGTGTCATGGATTAACAACAACAAGATATATGTGGGTGTTACTCTGACATTGACAACAATATGACTGACTTGGCTGTTATGATTCGTTAAGCTTGCCATTACAATATTATGAATCGATAATTTGTCTCCGATATCACACCCAAAATAGAGAGTTTTGTCACTTAAATCTCTGCAGTTTCTAGAGTTTATCTAACCGATATTTTTTCAGGTGAAACTTGTTAACATCAGCAATGAAGATATCCTGAGTGGAAATCACAAGCTGACCCTAGGTCTCATATGGACCATAATTTGCAGATATCAATTCGAGGTAACTGTTTTTACTGCATGGTTTCCTTAATCCAATATCAAATGTCCAAATATTTTGGACAGATGACAAGGCAAAATTCCTCGACATATCTTTAGATATTTCGGGTATTTTTAGGTTTTTTGGATACTTAAGACCCTTTCGGGTTGACTAACGTTTCCCCAACTTTCAGAACCTTTCTATGGGAAACGTGACAGGTGGCAAGTTGAAGAGCCTGCTCCTGGCTAAGTGTAACCAATCTATCATGATCGGGTGAGTGGGTGTATTGCTTATCTGAACAGTAGCATATTGATAAACTATCTTTAGGAGCACATTGATAATAATTTGTGATACAATTATTTTCATTCGTGTAAATCGTAAACGCCATTGTATCTTGTAATAAACTTGAAGCAGTAATTAGTCGAAGCCCTATATTCTTTAAGTGTGGAACTAGATTTTGTCCCCTCTGTTGTTTACCTGACCATGACTCACGATGAGCTGATTATGCTGGGGGTTTTAACCTGGATGTTTATCCTATCTTGTTTAGCTCTCAGTAACCATCCAAATCACCTCAGGTAACAAAGTCGTAGAAACTCACTAAACTCACGTCATTCCATCCAGATGCTTAGTCTATTGGTGGCACAAAGTGTGGCTGTCATGTCTGATGTTACTCACAATCACCGCATATCGCCAAATCTAACCGATCAGCTGGATCCTACTTAAAAACCACTCTTATGCCCTGATAATACCGACACGGTCACCCAAACTCCTCTATATCTCAATAATTTTACCTCGACCTCACTTCACCCTCGCCTCACCCTCACTTCTACCTTAACAATCACCAAAAGCCGGTTTGTTTGAAGCACGAGTGAAGCACTAAACCTCACCCTTCTCAAGAACCAGCTCATCCAGAATAATGCACGCAAAGAAGGCGGCTACAGTGTGGCGGATGAAGGGCAAGAGGAACGGTAACCACAAACCTAACCTGGGCAGTATAAGTGAAGCTGCTGATGATGATGATGATCAGAGTGGGTACATTGATCCGGACGAGCTGGCTAACGGGTTAGTCATGGTGTGAGAGCGGTGAAGTGGGAGATAACGGTGAAAGTTGTGAATAGTGCTGATGTGAGAATACTGAGAATGAAAAATGAGTGACTAGAGTGACTGGAAAGCAAGAATGCTATATTCTAATGACACCCGTTCGACTGTGCTGTGAGAGAAAGATGCCGATAGAAGAATGAGCAACTTGAACCAACGATACCATAAACTTCCATTTTATATTAAATAGCTTTAAAACCCAGCACGCTTTTGTGGGAAAGTAAAGTGTATCCTGGCATGATTATGATTTTGTAAAGCCTTGTGAAATTAATTGTGCATATGTTTGCATGTTGAGAGTGATATAAAGTACGTCATGTGTTACCTGTTGTGTGATTAATTAGGCTATTAAGTATATATTGTGATTGTGTGCTTATACTGTAAAGTAGTTTCTCTTGACTGACTCTATGCCTTCAGGTATCCTCCCGCGAAAGCACACAACTTCACCTCATCATTCCAAGATGGAATGGCTTTCTGCGCGATGGTAAGTTATCATTACGGTTATTATGCGGTCACATTCCAGGATTTCGTAACTAAAACAGGTTGTCTGGTCTGCATGGCCACAAATAGCGATGCACGAAAATTGTCGTCAGAAAAATAAGATCTCGGTTTACAAACTCCTCCCCTTTTCACAACCCTAACCCATGTCCCATGTAGATTGCTGCCCACGCTCCTGACGCTATCGACATTGAGGCGTGCAAAGAGATGGAACCAATCGCTCGACACGAGCTTGCATTTACAGTAGCAGAGGAGAGATTTGAGGTGCACCAGCTGCTGGAACCCTACGATACAGTCCATAGCCCTGACGAGAAGAGTATCATGACGTACATTGCTGCTCTAACTGCTAAACTACCTGATCTGGGAGTCCATGTAGATGTGAGTTGTGTTTTGTTGAATATTCCTGCACGTGCAGATAATAGTAATACTGTGGCTATTTCTTGTTCTTGAAGCTCTATTCTGCTGAAGGAGTCCAATGAGAAATAGTTGTCTCCAAGCACGAGAAACAGCAATGAATGATATGAAATGCTTTCAACAAATTTCCGCGTTGCAGAAGGAATAACCTGCATAGTTTTCATTAACGGCTTTTGTATGTTTCAATTGAAGACGGTTGAACTAATCAACCCTTCTGCGCTTTCACAAGGGAATACAAACCAAACGATTCCTCCGACAAAGTGAAGCGCTTAGCGCAACGATGAACCTAGCACTTGCTCAATGCTCACAGTACATATTGTATCACCGTGTGATATAATGCGGTTCAAACCAATTGGATGGGAAACGTATTTATAGTTTCCGATTGGTAGACGTTGCGTACTTTCGGGTCGGGTTAAAAAACACTCAGGACAAAAGAACAAGATACCAAGAACAAATACCCATAATTTTTCCAGCATTCAATATCCCCTGCACAATGGTAGGTACATAACAAAGAGTGGCGGTCTCGCCCGTACTTACCCAGCCTTTTATACCTTTAGTGATCAGCCAACCAGTCACGACACTCATTATCTCGAAGCAATATTATCAAATCACCCTTTTTTCGTGACCAATGTGTTGCCTGCCTGTGTCAATGCTTGGGATCTGTCACTATTTCCGAAAACAATAGGAGCTTTTGTCCGTATCCGACGATTCGTCCTCGTTCCTAAATTTCGTTGGAAGTGTAGTGACTAAAGACCATTCTTTTAGTCAGCTGTTTAGAGTTTGCTTTGTAAACTGTATTTCTGAGGAAATGAGTTGAATATTTGATCGCCGATAAGCACAATTTGAACGTGTTACTTACTGGTTCCCATTACTGGTTTCCCATTCTTGAGCGTTGTCATGGATGATAAATTCGAGGAAGTCATCGAAATGATCGAGCGAACGATACGTACTCTATTTGAAGAAGTAATGTCACACACATTAATCTTACCATAACGTATTTCACAATAGATCTTTTATATTGAAATGTTGAATTGATGCTAATTTCAATTCTTTAGTACTCTGCCATGCCTTGATAAAAGTTTAGTGTGCAGACAACATAAAACGTTGTGCAGATTCGATTCATATCAGTTTGTCCACAACAAATGTGGATGATGTGCAGTTAGAATTTGTGCAGGCCACAAGGGTACCGGGTTAAGAATATTTCTATAACCCATGCCTGGCATACCACGTGCTGATAGTTGAACTTTACCAGGTTGCGACAATAGACGACTATGCGACCCACGCTCGGGCAGTTAAACAGTTCCTGGGAGACAAGAAGAACAGTTGGGACACCGACCCATTACCCGTCACTGTCGGTACGTTCCATGTTGACATGATTTTCACAATGCACATAATATGCACATAATATGCACATAATATGAACATAATATACACATAATATGCAATTAACATGCAATCAATATGCACTTAATATGCAATTAATATGCACTTAATATGCACTTAATATGCACATTCACTAGAACTTCAAGTTCCACAACACTTAACTATCCCTGTTTAAAGAAAATTCACCCTCCCTAGCCCAAATTAGTGATGTGGATAACCTTGGAACATGCTCACTCATTACCATCAGTTGCATACTGAATGTTGCTTTGTTCTGCCCCCAAACCAATAATACCAAATAAAAGCTCTTAACTTAAAGTTTAAGCAGTAACCAGCCATTATAAGCTGATTAGCCCCTATTGAACTGTTGTAGTATTGTACCTGGAGGGTATTATATCCTGAGTTTGAGCAGTAAGGTCTGTGTTGCTGCCCAATGCTTGCTATCCTGCATCAAGCATTTTTCATAGTCTGCTTTCATTGTTTCATCCGCCATAAGGCTCGTGGCAGCCACAATTTGCATTCATAAATGAAATGTTTATTGATAGGTATTTAATGATAGGTATTTTCAATTTACATGGGCATGATTTGACATATTTTGTGCATAGCCTCCATATATTTACATGTCTGAGATTATGATGACTATTGACAATTTGGAGCATATCCCAAGTACATTCCACCGGTAATTGGGACATTTTTGTGCTTGATTATTATTTGATAGCCTCTCCTGCACGTGACCAGAGTACCCTGATATACTCGTGCCCCATGTAACACTAGCAGCAGGAATGAGAAGCATGTTAAACCCGTTTACTAACCCTGGACCAGATTCACCTACAGAGACGATACAAGCTGAGATTGACGCCCTGAGAGCGTTCGGAGCCAACCAGATGCCTGATAAGCATAAGGAGATTGACTTGCTGGCTAAAGCTTACAAAGAACTTGAAGGTATGGGATGTGGAAGTAAAAATGTTATCACAGACTTTAACACCTACTGTAACACAGACGTTAACACCGACCTGGACTCAGTTTAGGGCAACTAAACAACAAAATGAAATTACCGGATCAAAGACCAAGTTTCTCTGCCTTAACACGTGTCGAGAGAATAACAACTACCACTTCTTTGAGGAGTAACAAACACGCGACTGCAACCGCTTGCCAACGACTACTGACCAACTCTGTGGGAACTACTGCCCTCCAAAACATCTTATACTGAAACATCGACCAACATGACCACTCGCCACTGACCACTATATATAATATAGAACATTTAATGGAAAACAGTAAGGATAATAAGCAGTATTCAATATGCATGTATCTAGTTGATTATGTTATCATAACACATTTTTCCTTTTAGCAAAAACTGATTCGGACCAACTGAAGATCATCACGGACGAAGCGCTCACTCCCAAAGATTTGTCAGAGAGCTTCAACATTGCGCTGAACGCCAAGAAAGGACGAGAACAGAGACTCCTAAATCTCCTTAAAAAGTAAGTGTTAATTTGCCTGTGTGTCTATCTTTGTGGATCATTAGATTTTATAAGCTGCAGGAATGTTGCAGAATGGTGATATGTTTCTGTGAGTGTGTGGGTATGAACCTTACATTTAACTGCTTAAGTTTGCACGGTTCACATCATGTTTGGTACATGCGAGACAGTGCTGTGTTTGTGGTGACGTTTTGTTTGGCGGCCCAGGAGACATGGTAAGGTGTTGTTGTTGATACCCGGAATTAGTAACTTGAGAACTATGATACGGCTCGGAATGTAGGGCTTGATCTCCTGAAAATTTCAATTACTGCAGAGTTCAGTGTCAGTTCCGATCGAGAGTTTCTCGATTAGCGAAATCGCGGCTTGGATTCCCTTTGTGATTTCTTTGTAAACTTTCGACGTTGTGTTTTTACATCAGAATCCAGCTACCATCGTATTTAAGGTGCTTCCCGTCGAAGCTTTCTTCTTTTCTTATCATTGCGTAATTGTACATGGAATGCTGCGTGTCTGATATCGGAATATCACGTCAGCCTTCTCTTTTTATAATTATATTTCGATATTTTTGTTACCTTATTGTTTGTCCTGATTGTATTTGTAATGAACTCATACTCAAACAACACTGCTACTCCTAGAGAGATCAGTGAATATTTTCACCTCCCTTGGTTCGATAACCTTGTTTCATCTCAAAATCACCTTATGGCTAATACTTCAATCCAATTACCCGATCAATATCTGATGATTTACATTCTTGACATATTCTAGTTTGTTCGTTTCCCATTGCCGCTTTCTGGCAGAAGGTTTTTCTGTTATTGTTATCTCCCTAAAAATGAACTCATGGTTCGCGCCTCTAAACATAGCGACGCCGCCGGCAGCTGCAGCCGGGTCTGGATCCAGCAGTTCCTCTAGATCCAGTTCGTTCTCTCTGGTTCGGAGACCCCTGATCAAGAGAACCAAGAGTTTGAGGAAGGCCTCTGTTCGAGCTGCTAAGAAGCTGAGACCCACCAGTATGATCGATGTACCGGCATGGTACAATAATTTGCTGTGAGGGCTTCCATTATTTGTTAATTTGCTTCGATCTTTTACACTTTCACAAGATTTGATAATTGTTTGGTTTTATTCAGCATGATTAGTGTTAATTTGTGAACGATCTGTTGTTTGTTCCACTTCGAGAAGCAGGACACCTAAAAATTGTGCCCTGAAAATATTTTGGTAATCGGTATAGAAGAATGTGAATCAAATTCAAAGAATGGGGATACGTATCTTAGCTCCTGTAACTGTAAAGTTGAGTGTTGACAAATTGGCATGCTAAGACAGATCAGGGTTGAATTTGAGTTATACTTCTTCAAGATCATGTTCAGATTCGGATGGTAGTCAGCTTTGTTACTATTCCGAATTGTCACAAACGTGTTTGTCACCCAAAGGTAGCTTAGTTAAAGGTATCAAGGCTTTGTAACCTTGTAACGTGTATCAGATTTCTTTGAAATAACAAGAATAACTTTGGCCATTGGCCAATGATCGTTGAAATATGTATAGATGTATCTGCTTATCTGAGTGCACAGGGCACACTATTTTTCATCCTAGTTCAGTAGATGCGCTTAGTGATGTTGATGTTCATTCTTTGCACTGCTGTGACTTGACCGTGTCCATGAACTGCTTATCAGTCAGCGATGTTTGTCGCTGCTTCCTTCCTAATGTCTTTCCTCAAGTAAATACCTCAGTCAAACCGTGCCTTGTTTACATTGATGTGCAGATGTAACCAACTTGTTTGTAAATATGTACATTGCACAATGCACAATGTACCTTGTTGTTTGTAGTTTGTCCGTGAGAAGATTAAAGTGTGTAAGTTAACCCAGTACGCTATATCAGTGTACACTAGTAACTTCGTATTAACTTATCTCACCCCCTTACAGGAAAGAGAACGAGGGTTCAGACCTAGAGAAGATAAGTGTTGACTGTGGTTCAGTCAAGGAGAAGCTCCGCCAGCTGGCTGGAGAAGTGAGCCGAGGCAAGGAGACTTGGCCGGATGCCAGCCAGCCCGAGATTAAGCGGGACTGTGACCGTATTGACGGTTTCATCGACGTGATCACAGCAGATTTAGATAACATCACGAAGAAGTATAACGAGGTGGCACAGTATGCTACAGATACGGATACTATCACTCCCATTGCAGTTCTGATAGATGAGCAGAACACTGAGTTTGAGCAGATTGTTGAGGACTACCGAGCCTTCATATCTCAACATGTAAGTATTAATAACGTACAAATTACTTCGCTTAATTATCGGCTGTCGTTTTGTACTTTTTGTAAGAGACACCGAAACACGCACTTTTCCACTTTTTTCGATACGTTAAGTCGTTGTTGCGGTTGTTGTATGTACTCGTTCTAAATGGCGAACTTAAAGTCTTCGCATACATGGATTAGAGGGCACAAAGTCGTGTTGACTCGCTCCACTTCTTCCACCAAAATCGTACGAAACGTTTATAGGGTTTGCGTTTGCCAATTTGTCAAATTATCTGTCTGATCTTGCAATTTCTAAAACAACCTATTTAATAATGCTCTGTCCCTGCTCCGATTTTCCTTACAAGCTCCCAACCCCCTCAGATGAAGGATTCAGAGGACTCTCTGCTGAACAAGATCAAGGATCTGAGCGAGAAGCTGGATGCTAAGAGGACAGGTCTGAGTAACATTCAGTGGACTAACGACCTCGCTGTTCTCAAGTCTTGTCTGGAGGACGTTGAGAAGATTCAGAATGACATCAATACTCTCGAGGTACGTGGGTGGTTACCCTTTAATATCGGCAACGTTTCTACCTAAAGTAAGTATTAGAGAACCAGGTGGTTACTTCGGGAGACATAATATGGTTCCCTCCCTGGTCTGGCTTCTAATGGTCTATTAATAGCTGGAATAGATTATAAGATTGCAAAATTGTCGAATGTTGTTATTATAGTATTATGTATCATACATGAAATTTGTGTTTTTTGTTTTCTGATAGAAAGTCATGGTATCGTCAAATAACCTGACTGTTCGTGGAGTTCCAAGTGAGGTGGAGAGGTACTGTTCGACAGTCTACCATATTTTCCTGTTCTTTTCTTCCATAGTTGGGAATTCCATCATCTTGATCGCCTCAATAAAGTACGATACCATCAACCTCAATCGCTTCATCGTCGCCCTGATCCAACACATTGCTGTTGCCGATATAATCACTTCCATATCCTACGTCATCTTGCCAGGCACAGTATCCCAGATCGCAAACAAATGGTTTCTCGGCGATTTCTGCCATATCAGTGTTCCCCTTTCATGGCTCTGTTATAGAGCTGCTGCATATCTTCTATGTGTTATGATAATCAGCAAGGTGTTTATATTGCGATACCCCCTTCGTTCAATCACCCTCTCAAAACTCAGGGCCCACAAAGTGGCAGCAATCATTTGGACTTGGAGTCTTTTTTATCCGGCTTACAATCTCATAGCACGTAATCATTCCTACTTCGACTATCGAGTTTATAACTGTACATACAGTGAGCTTGCATCTGGATGGAAATGGGTCAAAGTTGTAGCTGGGGGCTTCCTGAATATCACCATTGTCATGAGCACTGTTGTTCTACTGGTTATGGCAAAAAGGATGACTAGACGGAGAAATGATTTGAGATGGCAAGGTGTCTTGACCGTGGTGCTAACCTCAAGTGTACACTTTTTATCAACTTTACAATACGCTGTCTACCTGGTTGCTGATTACCTTGTGACTGAGAAATATTTGGGTTACCTAGATCCTGTCTTCCGCAGAATATCCCTCAATATGGCTTATCTGAACATTCTCTGGAACTTCTACGTTTATATCTTCACTATCAGCAGCTTCAGAGAGTTTGTACGGTCTAAGATACGGTCGCTTTTACGATTCATGCCGGTTCTGCATCCAAATTCTGTTGGTTCATTGCAGACTAACAACCACCAGTCACAGGAGTTATGAAGGACAACATGTTATGGAATAAAAAACAAACTTGAATTTTCTTTACTCTTTCACTCGAACCAATTACGCGAACAAAAACTATTACTGGGTACCTTTCCTTGTATTGTGATGATGACATTATGTTGAGCTTATTGGCCTTTATCTAAAACTCGGCAGCGCGTACAAATCAGAAGAGAGGATACATCAGGTGAAGGGTAAATATTACTTTCAATAGTGCTGAGGCATCCTTGTGTGATTACCGTGTTATTTGAGGTAAAAACGTTGATTATTTCAGGCGGATAAAAACGAGCTGAAAGCAAAGCACGAGAGTCTGGTACCCTCAGACCCTCTGTACGGCAAGTTTGACGCTGTGCTGGCTCGCTGTATCGAGAAGTTTGACGATACTCAGAAGCAGGCTGTCAGGTCCCACCACGATCTCAGCATTCTCAGGAAATTCCTTGAAGGTTGGTTTCTTGCGTGTGTGTATCTACTTACATATTTTCAAATATTCTCAGTATTGTCATTCATTTATCGGGTGTATGCTTTGATCTCCTCCTGGTAATATTATAATAGCTTGATAAAGCATTGTCATAAAGCTAAAGATATTATAGGTTCTATTGAACATTTTAATTGTTACGCAGACACAATTCTTCTTAATTACATACATATTATACCTCATGAATCAACCGCTTTGTCTTGTTCATGTCTCAAGTAAAAGTTGACTGAAGTAGTATGACAACTTCCCCAAGCCATTCAATTGTATAAGCACATTTTATTAAACATATTGAGACAAATAAATTCTCTTCTGCCACGCCTATCGGAGGTATTGTTTTCCAAAAAATTTAAACATGAAAATCAAGTTCAGAACATGCGACTGGATGCCATAGATCATTTAGAGGGTAAGTGGGTGTGTGCATGGTTAAAAACCCGAACTTCGAACTCCGGAATTATAAACTCCGGAGTACGGACTTCCGTCATTGTGAAATAGTCGTCTAAGTTTTTATGCACTGAAGCTGCTGCAGGTTCAGCAGTTGATGATTGAACAGTGTTGCAGGGAATTCTACGCTCTATAGTGTGGTTTTTGAGGAAAAAGAAAAACTTTTGGCTCACACACCCACAGACCCTTCTAGCCTCCACCTGAATATTTTTTTGAATTCCAGAATTTTGTTTTATGGTATCTGATATAAAGTTGTTAAGCTGCGTACGTTAACCATAGATGCCAGCTTCTTATTGATACCATGATGAGCGCTTTAACTTTAACAAAGCATCTAATAGTGCCTAGTGCCTATACCACCTAATTTGTACTGGCAACTATGGTGCGTGAGCTGATCGTTTTTTCTCTTACTTCCGTTTGTGTTGAGTTCTTAGCTATGTGTACCTAACAACGTTTTATGGATTTCCTGTATCGCCCACAATGTGTCATGATGAAGAACTGAAAGTCGTATGGATTATTGTTCGTGTGGTACAGTCAACGAATATTTAACGAAAATGCTACAATTAAACACAAACCACATCACATTATCACAGTTTCCATAATCCGATCGCGACCACAGTTACCAAAATACTGTTAATTTGGTCTGAACAACATTTAATATTTGCAGGAGTATTCCAAGAGCTGCCCTGGATCAAGAAACAGGAACAGAACGAGATCAAGAGAAGGTGGCACATTGTAGTGGACCCCTCTGCTATGCCACCCTGCTCTCAAGTAGAGTACCAGGTGTGTACCACGTGAATATTTGTACCACGTGATTATTACTTATCATCTTCTTATCTTGTGTTTTTATGCGAACTTCTTATCTTTAGTTCCTGGACCGTGGGATCAGTTTTGTCGTATCTGTAAAGTTTATTTCGTTACAGTATCCTGGTCTTTACATTTTGTTAGTAATCGAGTGAATAACAGCCTATTGTTTGAGGCTATTTCCTCCTCCATCAGTGTTTGCCTATAATGGACCACTCACAAGATAGATGACTTTGCAATGTGCACATTGTGTACCTGTTATCGTTCTAAGCTAACAAACCCTCAGTTTAAGTACCTGGTGATAAGTACCTAAACTGTATTTTCTCACGTGGCAATCTCTACCTCTCTCCGCTAAGAACCTATTACAATAAAAGTTGGCCACATTTTACATTTTGATAGCATTGTTACATGTGCTATACCGTTGCCCAAATATGTCCCGTAAAACACTATAACCTCTGTAGTGCACAGTGCTTCACTGCCTTCATTCAGGCAGGTTTTAGCCATAAGTTTATAAACAAAATGTCTATTGGATATAGAATCTTAGAATTCTAGGACTGCTCCCGTAACGTATAAATACATTTCCGGGCAGTATCCAAGAAGCCTGACCCAGTCTGAGGACTGGTCCGCGTACTACTTATGACATGATGGTAAACACATCATGAGAATGGTATAACGGATGCAATTAGTTACGACTAGCATTAATTGACATGCCACATTTAATTAGTACATAGTAATCGTTGACTTCATGCAACGTTATAATTAATGCTAGTATATGATCTGTTTACCATAATGTCATAAGTAGTCTGCAGACTGGTCCACGGATTGGTCAGCGGACTGGGTCGGGCTTCGCGGTGAAGAAATTTCACATCTACAAATTTCAAATCACAAACGATGCATTGCCAGTTTCTTTCAATAGTTTCTTTCAATAGTTAATTTGATTTGAAACAAAGAATGTTTAATGTTATGCTGGGGAAATGCTCGGACTGGTTAGGGCAGGCACAAGTAAGCAGAATTTGACTGTACTTTATGATCGGGGAAACTAGTAACATCCATGTTAAAACACATGTGCTCTGGACGCCTACTCTTGCCCTCATAAACATCGCCACATCTACTTAATAAGTTAACTGGTAGCAATCCCAGAGTTATAATATATGCGCATTTTTATTCATTAGAATAATATTATTTTTAATTAGACATGGAAGTCACAGACAAATGAAGCTATTGATATTTCTGGCATGACATGTGGAGTCAATTAATAATCTGACACATCTTCCGTTTGTAGTTATTTGCATCATGATTCACTTTGTCTCTTGCCTTTCATAATCAATACCGTTTTTCTGGCAACTATTATCGTCATTAGACTCACGAAAAACATCAATAAAACTTAAATTAAAATATTTTTCTAGGTTCTCCATACATAGTTCATTTTCGTAATTGTTGCCTACCGTTTTCATGGTTCTTCTTCCCAAGGGTGATGTAAGGATTAATGTGATTTACCACTAGCAGATCTTACCTACACTAACTGATTTACGGATCTGGTCATGTGATCAGCCCATTTGGGCCGCCATGCGGTTCACTATCAGTATAGTTAGATTAATCTTCCTTCGAGCCTTACCTGCGGTCACTATTGTCCGTAATGAAAAAGTTGAGGACGAAAATATGGTATGTTTAAGTGGTGGAGTTATTGAAATAAGTTCACCTCACTCGTTGTCAGGGGTTCTGTCTTGTTAACACCCCTTCTCCTCCTCCACCCTCACAACTATTATTTCAGGCTGAGCTAGCGAAGCTGACGCAGCACGAGAGCAGCATAACCCAGCTGATAAAGGTAGCAAAGAACCTGATCAAGGAGTCTCCTGAGCTGGACGTCCTGGTTCAAGAGCCCATGTTCAGACTGGAAGTAGAGTGGAAGAGACTCTACAACCTGATGCAGTGCTGTAACACCCAGCTGAAGATCTACGAGGAGAACCTGCCCTTCTACAGAATACTCAACTCTATTACTAAGAACACTAATGATATCAACGAGGCTTTGCTCCATCCTAACAAGGAGGACCCGACCAAGTACAAGCAGCTGTTAGAGCAACATAACAAGAATATTGAGATTGGACTGAACCAGCTGGAGAAGTTGGATAAGTACCCCTCTACTGGATACTTCATTGATAGGTCCATCCTTCCATCTGATGTTAACGGACTTGGAGATGTCTACCTCAGAGGTAAGTGTCGTAGTACACTTTAGCATATTTTGAATGAAGTATTATATTGCATCTTTTTACAATTAATAAAGAAATTGTTTAGTTAGGAAAGCGCTATTTATAAGAAATCCGTACCTTTTACGTACTCGTAAATTGCCGTCTAGCTAGAACAAATCCATCTCGAAATCAATTACGTGACGCGTTACGTGCCGTTTGGCTGGGGTCTGACTGTCATAAATAAAAAATGTTAATTAATTTGCAGGAGAGAAGATCCTGCGCCCAGGTGACACAACCCAGATCACCCGTGTTGGTGATAACCTGGTATGTGAGGTGAAACTAGACTCCGGCAAGAAGGAACTTCTTCCCATTGTTTACTTCACCAGACCTTACGAACCCCCAATACTCAAGAAGGTATGTCTGGTATTGTTATTTTAATCAAGATCTCTAGTTATACCCTTTTTTGTTGTTCCTGTTGTGGTTGTGATATCCACTTAACCTCGTTGGGTCTACGTATGTCTAGACGTGTATAGGGGTCCCTTAATGTAGGACATGGTGTAGTTAACCCACCCCTAACCCTTAATACCCTGGGATATAACATTAATTGACCCCCTCATTGTATACCCACGGGGAATCAGAGTTTGGTGGACGTATCAAATATAATTGAGCTCCCTAAATACTCGGCTTGCTTGGGTTGCATGAAACTATTTGTCCACTAATTTATTTAATGGGGGCTTATTGTGTAGCATCTAGCTTCACTTGCCAGCAATTCTGCTAATCATCTTGTGAAGCTTTAGTTTCGGCTTTAGTTCTGGTTTTATTTCTGGCTCTAGTTTTTACACCGTATTTGGATTGTTGCACCACGCTTAAAACCATGCTCGTTATTCATTCCATCCTAATGAGGGAACAGCCTCTGAAAGTAAGAAACATTTTGCTGATCTAGAAACACCGAATTAGTTAGTCAGTAGTCTGATAATCAAAATTCATGTTACTGACAATGTTCATGAATTATCTAGCATTCATATAACTTGCTACCTTGCTAATTAATTACTTTTTGATTCAATTTTAAAATATAACCTTGCGTTTCAGTTCATCATCCACCACAAGCAAAGAGTGGAGGAGATCAATGTGAAGGTGGAAGCACTGACCAAGGATCTCATCTCTCAGAAGATATTCGAGGATATGGAGGATGTTCTCATGTGGGAGGACCTTCCTGATGAGGTGATTTGTTTACTTAATCACGTGACAATAACATCATTTTCCCTAAGGACTCTTTCCAAAATGTGTAATTCTTATTAACCGGAGAAATAAACAACAAACTAACTCAATTCCCTCTTACAGTTGAGCGAAGACGAAATTGGAGTGATCAAAGCTGAGTGTGAAGCTGCTGTCAAAGCTTGCCAGGAGAGAGGAGATCAGGAGACTGCTGATGCTCTGACTCTCAAACTTAACCTCGTCATCAGACACACTGCTGATCTCGCAGAAAAAGCTAAACTTTCCAGTAAGTTGGCTTTTACAAGCACTTTTATATTAGAGTAATTAGCGAGTTAGAGGCTAATAATCTAGACATTTTGTCTTATTTTCTAAATTCCATAAACAAGGCTTGTTTTTCGTCCAACTCCTTGTCGGCATTTTTATTTCAATGTCTTATTGTGCGTAACCTGCTAATATCTTACTCTCAACTTCTCTCCTTCCACATCAGAGGATATTGGAGATGAAGTTGATGGAGTAGAGGAGGATATCAAGGTTGAGATGGACTGGGCACATACCACCGAGAAGACAATAGATGATCTTCTGGTGAAGGTGCCAGCCAAGGACCCTCAGGAGATCGAGATGAATGTCAGGATCTATGATGTAAGTGCTGTCTTTCTGCATTTCCACCGATTAGTTTTAACTACAGTTTAGTTCTCCCGCTGCAAATAGTTTTAGCATCCTCGTGCATTTTCCCATTTGCTGATTTCTATCAGAGCTATAATAGAAGCAGAATTGTTTATTATTAATAAGCATGAGCTGTAAGCAAACAAACCAAACTTTTCTCTGAGTATCTTAGCAAATAATTTCATTGAAACTGAATCTTTTCTTTGATAATATTTATCAGCTGCCACAAGTGAGTTGCTTTACATCTTAGCTTTCAATGCATTTCATCTTCAAAAATATAACTTAAAAGCTTGTTTTTCTTTTTAATAATTAAAATATCTACAGCTTTTAACAGCCAAATTTAAGCTGCAGCTGCATCCTTTTGAAGACATTTCAGCATGATTTTCCGCCCTTCATGGAACCTGAAATCGTCGTACATAACGTACGGCGCATTATGCATCCGGCGTGCATCCCAAAGAAGCAAGAGTGAAGCATGATTTTGATACGTTTTATGATATCTTCAGATTCAACCTTATCAGGAGATAGCTTCCGAGTTCCCGGGTCACGAGATGAAACAGAAGGAGATAGTTGTCTCATGGCAGAACATCAAGGTGAGACAGAATGTACAGTGTACATTGTACTTGTATTATTGTACACTTGCAGCTGTGTATATTTAGAGAATTTGATTAATTGCTTTTCCATCGAAATTGTGGCGGTCTTTCAAATCTTATGCTGAGACGGTGAAGTTAGCTCTCAGCTTCTGAGATATCATATGCTTTTAATCTTACGCTTATATTTAAACATTTCGCGGAATTTTTGTGGAGTCGCGGGCACGCGTATCTTGATGACCACTTTCCTGCTATCAGTTGAGTAATATTGAGCTATAATTTACAGCATTTAAACCATCTGCCTCAATAATAATGGACGAATATTCTCGAATATTCTCGACTAATAATGACAGTAGTGTGTTGACTCCCCTCTCTCTCTCCCTGTTGTGTAGAATGACCCGCGAGTAACTGTAATAGATTGGACTGATGACGGGAGCGACAGTGAGGAGGAGGAGGAAGAGGTTCTGATTGAGCGTTATAACAGTGTGCATGATGTAGAGTACTTTAGAGTAACTTATTAGAGAGTGTTTTAGAGAGTGTGGCAATTTGAGCATGATCGCTGAGATACCTGAGCCGAGTTGTTTGAGAGAAAGTAATCAGGATTAAACACTGATTAGTGTTTGTCCTGAGTCATGTTGTACGGGTAACACGATACACCATCATTGCTGCTCGGGACTATAGAGCAGTTAGTTCTCACTAGTAAACCCTGTTGTTTGGGCATGTTGTTGTTTGGTAAACAGCTCTAGAGTTGCTTTACTTACAAAGAGACTGTTATTATCCTGCGTGGTTAGCAATATAAGAATATTTATTAGATATCACGTGACAGAATTTAAATTTCATAGCCAGTCAGTACACTGTATTGAGTGGCCGTGAAATTTAAATTTTGTTTTATTTATTATTTGATTAAATAAGGCGGATAGTTCTCCGTATCCTACTCCGTGTTTTTTACAGTTGCTATAAACGTTGCTTAGGCACAGGGACAAAAGGATTTCGCGGCATGTACGAAATCGCGAAATTTCCCATTCTCCACGACAAATTTTATGTGTAGTTTAATGTATAGCCTGTTAAATTTCGCGGTATCGCGAAATTTGGCCAAAATAATCGCGAAATCCTTTTGTCCCTGCTTAGGCATAACTTCTGTATCTGCTAAGAGATAGATCAGTTTCTGTATGATTAACAGAGTCAATAGAAGTAGATATCTGTGTGTTTATCAAAATGCAGTTAACCCTGCAGAGGTGGCCGCCTCTATTAGCAGCTCATATCCCACATGGTGCTGTAAACCACTACCACAACTAGATCCTAATCATACCCTCGTTCCAGGACAAGAACCTCAAGTTGGACAAGGACCTAGATCCCGAGATATCTGATATGCAAGATATCATGAGGAATATCAAGAAAAAGAAGAACGATCTCTACGATAAGACCACCATCGAGTTTGTTGACGTAAGTTCCTCTTTAGAGCTACTAGGATGTTTCCACTTGAGATATTAGAAATATGAGATTCAAAATGTATTTTGAAATCTGAAAATTGAACGTTGAATCCACTTCAAGGTGGTCTGTATTGCTATCAAAACTTTATTTCTATTTCAGCATGAAATGAAGCCTCTTGAGGTTTGGGTTGACGTAGCACGAAAGAGGGTTGATCAGATCGATGTTGACGGAGACCTACCCAAACTCCAGAAAATTATTGCAGAAGTAAACGTAAGTTTCTTATTCTGAGTTAAACTTTTGAGATATGTAGTGATGTAAATACTAGATGTTAGATACCAGATAATAGATGTTGTCTTATCTAAGATATTATGGTAATAGATAAGTTCTGCCCATACTTCCTCGTGTTATGTTCAAAGTTTTGAAGTGTCATGTTGTCCTCAAATTATTTTTTCGGCTTGCGATTTATGTTGGTTCAGAACTGTTCTCAAATATTGGACCACAAAAGAATGTCATAAACTGTCCTATTTACAGACAGCCTAGCTATGATTGATTGATAAAGGAATGGCAATATAATTATAATGACTTTGGTGATAAAGAAACACATTTAGGATATACGAAGACACTTTCTTTTTTTTTGAATATTCATTATCAGGTCATAAAAATCAATCATTTAGTTAAGCGTAGTAAAGATAAACACTGCCACTCACACACACACACACACACACTCTACTTTTTGTTTACTTCGTGCCAACTGTTATTGTTTGTCTGCCTAGTGCTTGTCGTTGTCGGTGTACTTGCCTTTGAAGGAATATGCCACATGTTGAAATTTACCCGGATCTGAAACCAGATGTAGGAACTTTAAGTTTAATAATTTCCGAACCTGCTTGCAAATTGCGTTTAGACTAGTACCGTAGCGCCAAAACGTTGTATCCTCTGATTTAATAAAGTTTATTAATATCAACCTCTAAATTTTTCTCGATAAAACTTATTCGACCCCATCAGTAACTCCTCCTCTGAGTAACTCCTCTTCTTCAGGTGTTCCTCGAGGACATGAAGGAGAAGGAGAAGGACATGGACCGTCTCAACAGCAAATGGGAGGAGGGAGTTAGCCTGGGTCTCGAGAACCCTGACATTGAGAGAAGGATTGCCAAACTGAACTGTGACTGGGATGAGCTTTGTGACCTGACTGAGAACAAAAGCAACACTGCCAATACCGCCCTGCAGAACATGGAGGATTACGATGTAAGTTTCAGCTTTAAAGTAGGGTTGGTTGCGCGGTGGAGACTCCTTTGCGTGGATATCGCACGCTTGCTTAATTGTTAATGTTCCCTGAGTTATGAAGAGATTTTGGATTGTGCCATGATGTGCCCATTTTGGGATGTGCGACTGATTGAGGGTACATTTTAAATCATATTCTTGATAATGATTTAAATTATACATTTTTTTGACTTGTTGTGATCGAAATGAATTTTAACAGACCGATTGGATTGATCAGAAGGTATGTCATGAATGCCGGCGGCTCGCTCAATCGCCCCTCTTTAAATTTTTTGGATAAAATATTCTCAAATAATGCATGATTGATTCAAAAGCTTTTGTGATTAAAAGCTGCTCAGATCAACAAAATCAACAAAATCGATTGTATGTGTCCATAATCACCTTCTAATCAAGACTGGTTTTATGATTCCCTTCAGCAAATCAGCACTTCTGCACCTTAGTTTCAGTCATATAACGACTGTTTATTTATTTCCAAAAATCCTAAAAATCGCATATTCGCATATCATTTAACTCGTACTTGCCTATTAAATAACAAACCATGATTTGATTTGACACGTGTTCAACGTGAGCCGCGCGCTTACCTACCCCTATTCAGGCTGCTCTGGAGTCTGTGGACATATGGATAGCTGAAAAGCAGGACGTGTTGAAAGAGTTCGCTGAGATCCCAATGGATCGTGATAAGCTTGACAGAATGTTGGGTGAACACGAGATGACTATCCGGGATATTGAGGATAGGAAACCTAACATTGAGGCTATCCTGGAGAAGGGAGGCTTGATAGTGGAGGCTCTCAAACACCCTGGTTAGTTGGACATTAGTGGAGTGTTTTTGGAGTGTTATTGGATTGTTTTTGTCTCTGCCTCTATGACGTGCTGAGTATAACTGATGAAAAAAAGTATATGTTAGAGGTATCCGATTATTTCTAAATGAAATCATTGATTACAATGTTGTAACAACGGGAAGTAGATATGTTACGATATTATAATTAATGATACAAATATTACAAACAACATGACGCACGTACACTGGAAAGTGAGAAGTGAGTAGTAACTGAGTAATACCCACCACAGAGACAAAGAAAGCAGCATCTGACAAACTCAACGACCTGGATAAGAACTACATAGAACTGGAGATCAACTGTGCGGCCATCACCAGGAAACTGAAAGATGCCCTTGGTGACATGTCCGATCTGGACGATAAACTAAAGGAGGTACGTTGTTTTTGTGATATAGTTAAAGGGTGGTACGTGGGGGGATGGCAGAGGTGTCTTTTACAATTTTTCAAAATGTTCAATTAATTAAGGTCAGGGGTCGGGAACAATTAAAATGCCTCTACTAAAGTCGTTACAGTACTATTTAGGGCTTGTGGCTAGAGATTACCCTTAATGTATTCACGAGTATTCGATCTTCCGGTCGGGTTATACTACAAGGCTTACTAGGCTGGTTTGTGGGTGATGTTTTAGTTGAGAATACCCTGTTCACATTTACATTGTGCTAGTCAGTGTTACTGCTAGTGTTTCGGAGCACTCCAGATACTCAATGATACGATCGCGCTAGGTGAATAATTGTATCAATTTTACTAATGATTAGCAGCTTTTCTGTAAAATGTAATATAGTATTCGCTACTTTAGTACTTTGTTGTGCTTTTTTAGACCTACCTGTGAATTGTGGTTATCTTTAAGAACTCTAATGCAACTTTTGTAAGTTGTAACAAATAGTAGTACCACGTGAGGTGGGTGCAATTATTCCGAGTAGAGCTGACATGGTGATCTACTCATCCCACCATTTTGAGATAGCACCAATGACTCAAACACCACGTGACACGTGTTTGACCACGTGGCTGTAGCCTACCTGATGCACTCCGCGGTATACCACACCTTTAATAGTACGATCATAATTTCACTGCTATTGTCCAGCTACCTTTATAACCCACCCCCTGCTCCCCTGTATTGTGCATTAAACATTTTGCTCGTGATGAAATGATCGAAATCGTTATGTGTCCCCGGCATATGATCATTATCCCTTTTGCTGCCACTCGAAAACTTAAATCTTTAAATCTTCCCCCAGCTCCCCTGCTTTTATAGTTCACTGTCACAAATTGCTGTATCATAATAATCTTTCTGAAACACTGCTACTTGAGTCGTAATGTGGCCTTATGTTCAATGTGTTATTACATCATTCGTTACTTAATGTGTATATACATATAACGTGCTGCTGCGTCATGTTGGACATAATTTGAGATTAATTAATCTAGACGTGCTGGGGCTTGGTATTATAACTGATTTGTTTCAATTCTCGGGAATCAAATTCCAGTATTGATTCTCATTTCTCACGTCATTTGTTTTGAGGGCTCTGTGTTTGTAATTTGTATCCGTCTCGCTTTGTTACGGCTACAGTTACGAGATCATTGCTCAGATGTTCTATATTATGTTCATAATTTCCAAGTAAATTATGTTGAATAATATGATATATATTTATTATATTCATGACGTTCGAAAATAATTATGTTATCTTTCTACTGTCGTTCACTTGTAGTTGCCCGCTCCGTTCATGAGTTCAGAGGAGTAACTTAAAGACTTAAGAACTCATTACATAATGTATCATTATATATGTATATATGCAGTCTGCGTTTACATGATTTCGTCAGTTTGGCTTTTAATCGACCACAACGAGCAAAATTAGATCAACGATCTTAAATTTGTTATCTTATGGTCATAGAAATGTTAGTTCATTGAAATTTTGTCGGTTAAAAATTCTTGAGAATTCCCCATTGTCACCCCTTACTGACATTTCAAATCACAAATAACGATGAGTTGTCATATCGATAGTTTGTAAGATTTGCTCTATGTATTACTATGAGAACGGAGCAAAAATTACATTTCTTCCAAAATTAATCAGTCGAATTTAATAATTGGTCAAGCATGTAGCGTGACAGAATTACACGTTAACCCATGCTAATTGATAAACTGATGGACCTGGTCTCCGTCTTGCCTGTCTTCTTATTTAAACAAGGAACTGTCACGGTCAAAAAGAGCAAAAGAATGCTCGCTGGGTAGTAACTGCACGCAGTATGCATCACCTGCCCCCGCATCTTGAGCACGCACGTTGTTTGATTATAATTTCTTGTTGAAGTGTAGCGAGATTCTTCGTACGGCTTCCTTAACCAATTATTTCGAATCAACGGATAGATATTATTTTGCCAGTTGTATACCTTCGTTTTGAGCGCCACCTCATTTTTTGTTCGTTGATCGCTTTTGGTACCGCCCGATATGCGTTGATAGTATCAGAGCGTTTTGAGATCGTTGTGTGGGGGAATGAGGGAAAATGAAGAGATTCAGAGAACACACGATGTCAAGAAAATGGCACAACTGTTAGAGGAACTGTCGAGTGATACCGACATTGGTACTAACCAAATCAATAGCTCAATTGTCACGAACGATGTGCCGGGTAGAACGTTGCAGAGCAATTTGGTGACTAGAGCAAATACAATATATTCAATGACACCCAGAGTTATTCGACCAAGACAGAACTCCTTTGTAAAGTTTAAGGAGTTGGACCACAATGATTTATTTGTAACGAAGTCCCATGATTCCTACTTTGACGAAAGGGGTGCTAGACTTAAAAAACGGGTGTCATTTAATTTTGAAATTCAGTCGGACGACGGGGATACTTGGTCACCTACGGAGAGTAAGGGTGGGTTGAACGATTTTCAGCGAGCTGATTCCACTTTGAAAAGAATAGAAAAGCGATCACAAGTCAGCAAATCTTTCAAACCAATGCAATCTTTTGATGAATCCATTGAACAGATCGCTTCGCCTGATCAAAAACCTTATATTGTAAAGCCTTTGAAAAGAAAAATTTCGTTTGTCTCTTTCGTCAAAAACATTCAAAGGGATAAAAATCGTTGTACTGCCAACTCGTCTTTAAAAGAGTGGAAGAATGGCCCTATCACCACGCGTCGTAATTCATTCATGAACTTCATCCAAAACCAAAAACCTTCCTCCAGCCGTCCTCCAGTCTGTCCTGCTTCTGCTATTAAAAACCGATCTCTCATCTGCAGGGATTTTGAGGGCGAGGACTCCCTAAACTCTATCTCTTCTTTCACCACTATGAAGAAACACAACATCAAATCTGATCAGAATTCACCGAACAGACCTCCTCCTTTGATACAACCCAGACTCAAGCGAAATTCCTCCCGAACATCAGTAACACTTATATTCAATAACCAATATGACAGTCAGTCTTTAAATTCATCATATCAAGGATCTAGTTGGAGGAGTTCCAGCTCTTTTTCACGGTCCGACTCGGGTTACACTTCAAATCAGTCCCTCCCTCCGCCTACACCAATCACAGAAACCCATCACCACCATCAGCCTTCAACTACTGCCAACCAGCGTCCCAGCATATCCCAAAGTACTGCCACAATAAAACGGCGGCTCTCTCAGATCCCATCCAACCCCATCTACGAAGATTTCCCCCATGCTCTAGAATCTATCAAGAAAACTAGCAATAGCGATGCTTGTGACCTTGAGAAATTACGTCACCGTACTATGAAATCACCGGAAATGATTGATAAGTCCAAGAGGAAGGAGTCTAAGAGCACGCTGATGACGAAAACCAGACGGTTCTCACAGAACGTTTTAGGTCACATTGCCAAGAAGCCCCGCAAGTCTCAAACCAGGTCCACCAGGTTCATCGGGGTTAACAAATACAGGGCTTTTGAAAATTTGGTAAGTTGCTGACATTACATCATTTAATTTCGTTTTATCTGTAATATGCACTTACGCATTTTTGAATGTGGCCGGAAACAATATAACCGTGGAATATGATTTAACGGAAATACTGCAAAGTTAATAACATGCAGCTCAGTGGATCATTTGGCCTGAAATATTGTTTTTAAAATATGCTCGTGGTTTAAATTACTGGAAGGAAAATACCTGCAGCTAGCATTATGACTGGCACCGTGATCTATCGGTCGGTACTTGGGCTGTCCTGTTATAATCTCTTTATCTGAATTTAAAGTTTCAAATTATCGCAATCAAATTAGGTCTCAAATTGCCCAGCCCCAGGCCCGATAATGGATTATGTTGTCACTTGCTAAGTGATCAATGCCACTATCAAAATATGTATCATTCATGCTATGCATACAATTAAATATACCCCCTATGTACCCAGATTACCTCCCTCAGATCATTGTCCCTAGTATACCATCTAATGTGTCCCTCCCTTATCGTGCCCTAAAGTAGATCTGTGTCGCGTGTGTCGCGTGTGTCGCGTGTGTCGCGTGCTGTCTGCCGACCCGTCTGTCAGACCTCCGTCCGTGTTTCACCTTTCTTCACCCTTGTTTTTGTGTCGCTACTACACAATATACACGTTATAATATTCTGTCATGAAAATAGGAAACATTTCCGTTACCCCTCGAACAGCCGGTGCTATCAGTTCTAGCTCGGATAGGGCGATGATTTGCGACACCTGTGTCATATACTGTTACATCCCTCGTCTATTGGTACGTGTACATAACGTCACTGCTTTGTGTTTAACATTGTTTATCAAATTCCTTTGTGCCCTTTTTTGTTCGATTAAAATTAGCTGTTGCGATAACATTTTAAAATAAAACGACTTTTTAAACTTCGATGTTATCTAATATCTAATTTTCTGTATCTTTTTTCAATCTGAAAATTTGGGCTTGACATAAGAAAAGTTGGCACATTTTTTGTTCTGTTATTGACGTCATGGAATTAAACTTGAATTAAACATCAAACCCGTCATGGGTATTGGGTATTTACCTAAAATAATTGCCAATTAATGAACCCATAACACTATCACCAACATAGCAAGAAATTTCATACTCCTTTTTCTTTAGAAATGTAGCTCGTTATTCTGCATCGCCCAATGGTAACGATCTGATATAATTGAGTACGGTTAATATCCTATGAAGGGGGCTGAGCATTCTCATAACTTCGATTTAAGTGATAATTTCGTGTGAGGTCGGTTTTTAGATTTTAGAATGTCCTTACACTTCATAGTTTCTTATAAATTGATGCGTTAACTTTAATAAGCACAACCTGTTCGCCCACTTGACGTTTGGTGGTTACACTAACCACCTTTATCGCGGATGACCGAGGTCAGAATATTCTAAAAAGACATGATAAACCGACCACCTGTTTGTTCGTATGGAAAATCTGGAGACCATTCTTCAGTTTGACCATCCAGACCTAGCCATCGTTTATCTTCGCTTGATTCCTATTTCAATCCTGCGGTTGCTGCCGTCGAAGTTCGTTCGATGGAGCCGTTGAAACGTTCTATTTCTATAGATTTGTTGATCGATTCTCGGGCTAGTCACAATTCTCTGGATAGCGGATACACCTCGGACACTTACCTGTTTTCTCCGGACACTTATCCAGATGTAACCTCTGACCGTAGTCTCACAACAACACTTTCCAATTGTAGTATCAGACCAGGAATCAAGTTTTCTCCCTCTCTGTTGGGTCGCTGTGTAGATAAACCAGTAGATACCCTCTCACGTGACACATCACGTGACACATCACCTACAGTTTCAGATAACACTACTCTCACTGAACCCTCCACTACAAACACTACTCCAGATCCTGCTGATGCTAGTTTAGATCCGATCAGCCTATATAGTCTTGAAGCTAAAGATGTTTGCTTTTCCGTTCCTGTTCAGAAAGATGACGATAGTCCTGTTGAGACCGGGAAATTTTCGATTGATTCAACTTTTAATGCTGCTTCTTCAAGATCTTTAAGAGTATCGGTATCATCCCAAAACACTAAAAAGTTTTCAAACCTTGCTAATAAGTTTGAATCTTGTAGTACCCAAGATAAATTAGAGTTTGTTTCTTACTATGTCGCTACTAATGAACAACGTATAAAGAAGAGATCCATCGCCGAGAAGAGAGCCATCGCTGAAAAGGTTAAATGTGAAAAGGATGAAGTGATTGTTATGACTATTCCTAAAAAGATTTTTGGGGGAATTTCTGACAAACTAACTTATACCAAACCACTTTCCAAACTTATTGTCAGAATTGAGACCCCAACGTATAACCTCGGTCTAAAACCTTATAGACGAAAGCATATGGAGCCTGATTCTTATAGAAGTAATCACGAAGAGCCTGATTCATGCAGTTTAAAGAAAATGCTGGAGTATGACGAAATCAGTTCACCTATGGTTTCAGACCGTGATAATGGTGAAAATGATAATGATAGCATGTGTAAAGAATATCAGCAACCTACCTCCCTCTTACTAGACTTCCACTCTTCGTTAGAATCCGTCTGTATTGAGAACTTTTTACTTCAGGGCTCTGAAAACATCTCAGATAAACTAAAAGTCGAGAAGACCCTGCACTTAAGTGAATGGGGCAGATGGAGAAAGAAATCGATAGATCTTCCAGAGGTTTTTCGTCAACGCAGACCAAATCCGTTGTCCTCTAGATATCTCGGAAGGGAGATCTCATCCACTACTCATCTCGAAAAACATCCTTGTAAGCTGTTTTTGTCTAAAAGAGAAGAACAAGAGGAGGAAGAAAGTCCTCTTTTGGGGAGTGCTTCTTATTCTCAACCTGTTTCTCTAGTTTCCGAATCCGTCTCTCCTGTGAAACAAAATTCTAAGAAGAAGAAGATGAAAAAGCGATAACCAATCGATACTAGGTTTCTTGGGTTCAACCCACTCTCGTATCTTAAGCACATGGTAATTGGTAGTTCTAACTCCTGTTTTTCACCTCAGTCATTTCATTTTTACGTTTTGTTGGGTTTTAAGCACACTCCCACTAACTTTATTATTAAATGCGTGATCTGATTTCAGGTGTGGGTGAGCTGAAAGTATGTGATTTGCTTCATGAAAATTAAAATTGATGGTACCGGAAAAGTTAATAAAATGCTGTGCATTCTTACAATTATATGAGAGGATACAACTTAGTGATCCTGGCCCAATTTACTGGCTGCTTAATTTACATGACAAGCATTGCTGGCTCTATAGTTAAATCTCGGGTTTAAATTAATTTTCAGCGTGTGTCCACTAATTGACGGTGCATTAATTCTCTATGACAATGTTAACCGGAAACTTTGCCGTGCATTTACTATAGACTGCTTCTCTTTATCCAATTTGTCTCATTTTTAGCGTCAGATTAGGCCATGTGTTTGTAGATTTGTTTAAAGTTGGCATCTTTTCCACTATTATAGAGGTTCAGCAAAGTTGTGTATAGCGCAGAGGGCGCCTCTCCGCACCCCTCTTAGGAGCATCATGCTCTGTGCTGTGATAAATGTTTCTGAGAGGTGAAACATACAAGAGTTCAGCAAATGTTTCCTCAACCACCCGGCCCAACTTCCATAAGTTCCTCTTCAAGGTTAAGAAAGGAGAGCAAGTTCAGTACAACCCTCCTCTTCGTACTATCGACTTGTCTAACGCTCAAGCTCTTCCCCATTTTCCAAAACCTGCCAAGAGAAAACAGTCAAAGGATGGAATCATCAAAAGATGGAGTCTCAAAAGATCGTCTAAAGGTAGGAGAAGTGTAGACTCTTCCCCGCCTAAAGTCTCTCGGAGCCCTTCAATCACATCTCCACCACAGAACTATGTTAAGAGGTGGAGCCTCAAACGTTCAAACAAACGGTTATCAGCTGTTACCAGTGACTGGAGCGCTCTGGATGAGCCTGAAGAAGGTGGTTTATCTGAACAACTTGAAGCAAACACCGTTCATACTAGGGTCAGAAGATGGAGTACTGTTAGCAAGCAGAAATCTCTACCTGCATCCACCGAAAGGAAGCTCGAGGACGAAGATGTTATTGAAGAAAACGAGATGGTTAAGGTAAAGCAGACAAGATCACTACGTTTTAAACCCGTCAAAGAGGAGCGAGCTTCCTGGCGACTATCTCTCCAAGACGGCTGCAATGGAGCTAATAAAGCTTGTGTCTACCTCCAAGACACCGCGGAAGTATCTCCCTCTGAAGAATTCCAAGCTCTGAAGCGGACTCTGTCTGGAGCTCAGTTCTACAAGGATAACTCTGCTTTGATGTTTCTTTTTCCTGAGACTGATCCTACTCCGACCAGCAGATTGGGTTCTTTGATAAGGATGACCAGTTCAAGGAAGTCACAGTTGGTGAAGGAAGAGGAGAGGAAGCTGAAACGATGGAAAAAAATATTTATGGGAGTTAATAAAAAATTCGTGCTGAAACATTTGGTTAGTGGTCAGAAGTATTGTTTGATAATTTGAGCCTCAACAAATTCAGATAATTTACTTAGTATTTTTTATCGCCATGCCACTTTGTTAGTCTTATACCATCGGATAAGTTCTATGGTATGATAGCTATTAATAGAATTGTACTACATTATGTCCGACGAGCTCAGAAGCCATTTTACATTTTCTCCAATTGTAATTTTTCCTCAGTAAATACATCCGTGTGATAATGGTGTAAAATTGATTATTATTAACTGGGAAGTGGGAATCGGGAGGGGTACTATTTGGTAAATTTCTACTGTTTTCTTAATGCGAACTATACGTCCCCTTATATTGTTTGATCACACCATGATAATGTATTTCTCTCAGGTCGTCAGGTGGGAAGATGAAAGCAAGGACTACATCCAAAAACAGGAGCCTGTTAGTGAAGATCCTGAGAAACTCAAGGAACAGATTGCCAATCTCGGCGAGTTCAAAGAGGCTGTTGATGGTAAGTTATTCCAGAATAAATTTGTCTAGGAAACATTTCTAAAGAACTTTCCAATCCTAGATGCGATTGTTCAAATCTGAAAGATAATTGGAAAATGAGGAGCCCAAGTCAAAAGTTTTGTCGTGCTTGACTGGTTCAAAGTTATTGCTATTTCATCAACGTATCTATTCTCAGAGATGAGACCGGAGATTGACTACGTACAGAACCAAGGGAAGACTTGTCTGGATAAGTACGGAGATAAGGACTCTAAGATGAAGGAGTTGAAGATGATCCTGGCTAATGTCAACGTCAACTGGGAGTTTATCGAGTCATGGTAAGAACAATTACAATAATAATATTGCTGAATAATTGTACTGTTAAGGAAGATTAGTCAGACAAATGCTCTCAAAAACATAGGGACTAAATGGTCATTAATTATATAAATACAGCACGAAAGAGTTGTTATTACCAATGTTATCAGGCCACGATGAATGATAATTTTAAACCATTTCCTAGGTTAAAGAACCGTGAGAACGAGCTAAACGCCGCCAAGAAGAGGAACAATGACAAATTGTTCGCTGATATTGAGGCTATGATCAAATGGCTGGGTGAACTGAAGGATCTCTTGAACAACAACCAAGTCAAATCCATGATCAACATCAACCCTATTATTGATATCATCAGGGTAAGTTGATGTAGCCTTTTATCAATCCATTGTCGAATAAATACAGGACTCCTGTATTTATTTCAAACATTTCATTTTAAATATTTTACCCTAAACCTATTGTAATTTAGATTAATACCAACCCGTAACCCGCATGCTAACACAACCATATCCCCAGAAAGTACAAGGAGAGCTAGACGAAAAGAAACCCCACTACCTGATGCTGTGTGAAGCCAGTGCTAAGGAAGTACCTGAGCTTGAGGAGCCCGTGTGCTTCGAACTCGAGGCTAAGACTGACAAGATGAAGAAACTCTGGAATGAGGTACGGGGATATATTTTAGTTCAGTAATCTGTTCGTTTGTTTATTTCTATATCAAACTGTCTGTTGGTTTTCTTGGCCGGTTTATTCCAGTTTTGGTTGATTCAGATTGAAGGTGTTGTTTTCTGTTTCCTTCTTTTTTCACCTCCGGGATGGTCTGTATCTTGCTTCCAGCAGTATATCTGAACTCCCTATTCATTAATTATCTGTGGAGAAGGCCAGGTAGAGTTGTAGACGTTACAGAAGGTGATAAGAAGAAGACAACAATTGTAATTGGCACTAAAGATCATGGTAACAGTAGTTGGGTGGGGTTACCTGGTAGACCAATAACTTTGTAGTGGATTGTTATCCTATTATTAATTAATTAGATCTTGAGCATTAATGTAGTGGGTTCAACGGCTCATTACTGCTTCCTGCAACTGTGCCCGTAATATACTCTATTTCGAACACAGCTTTTCGGTTTATCTGTAACTTAGTACTATTTGAGGTTGAAAAGTTGCATGTAATTGAGCGATCGTCTCACGTCTGAACCATTTCAGGGCACTTAACCAATTACCATGATATCAGAAATAGACTGCAATGCAGATATAGGCTGCAGCAACTTAGCTCGAAAATGTTCGCAACGTTTTAGTAAAACTTTTACGTCAGAGTAGAATTTTGTCAGACTGGTAGTTTGTTGAGAAGTTAAACCCTGTGCTCTGGATGCCGCCCAAAAGTTTTTACGGTGGAGCCCTGTAATTAAACTGTTGTCATTCTGTCACTTGTAGTAGTATGAGATAAAGTTTAGAGAATTACCTACGGCTTCTGTATTCTTATATTGTTCTGTATCTGCTAGGGGTCGTTGATCTGGTTTCTCTTCTGTCACTCGCACATGAAGTGACCGTGGGAATCGTTTCTGCAGAAGAGGATATCTGCTTATTTACTTATATCGTGTTTCTTTTAATTGGCAGAATGTCAAATTCAACTGTAACTGACTCATCTGTTTGCACGCCTATTGTTCTTGATGTTTCTACTTCATTCGTTTCTCTCGAGCCTTTTATTTTGAAAACAAACAAAGAAAAGTCAAACAACAAGGGCATTTATGCATTAAGAATGATCTTGTTGGCAGTTGTTCGCTTCTATTTCAGTCCCTCAACTCACTCGCTGTGACATTATCTTTGTGCTGATCATGCACGTGGTCTGATGGTATTTCGTATGGAATTCCTATTCATTTCCGCGGGTATTATTGCAGTGCCAGATAGCTGTCGAGTGTTTGACTTATTGACATTGGCGATATACATTTTATTAGGCTATTTTGGATGTGGTAAATGAATTGAATTGGAGCCTAGCTTAATGATCTATTAAAATAGGATCACGCATTTGTGCAGCCCTCGCGAAGCAGCTGGGTGGTAACATTCCACAAATCCTGGTCACTTCTACGGCTTTTTTCCTAAGCGAGCCTAGTCGCTCTTCTAACCCACCTTGGTTATATGGGGCTTGAAGAGATCTGGTCGAGTTGTAACGTCCTGCGTTGCTCAATTCATGTATAATTTAACGAATATAATGACACGCGTATTTTTACGACATTCCATTAGACACATCCGTTGTTTTGCCAGTAGTGCCGATCTTGCTTGATATTATGAGCAATTAGTTGAAAAACGCAATGTAATTATGTTACTGTTTACTTATTTAAGTTATTTTCGTTGACATCTTGACACAAAAGAATCTCAAGAATTAAGCTACATGCACGCTCCTGATACCTCATAATCTTGTAGCTGAGCCTCTCGAATGACCATTTCTTGAAATACATCGCCCATATTCGTTGGTATGCCAAGCATTGCAATGTCGGATGAGATCCGCTCCACCCCAGCCTCATGACCTCCAGTCTGCTCTATGTATACAACGAACGGAACGAATGGGAATCCCTGCTGGCTCTCTGGGATCTCTACTTTGCCAAGCATCTGGTAAGTTGTGAAACTATTTGATCAGGTCTTGGCTTGACGTCAATCACGAGATTTGTGAGTTTTAATACAGCAGCCAACTCAACACATATTTTCCCTTTTGGCAACAAGCTCAGAGTTACTTCACCGACGTAAGTAAAAGATTCCTGCAGGACCTGTCTGCTTGCATAGCTGAGTCGGCAAATTCCAACCGAAATTAGACCCGGAAGGGTTATGGTTCATGCACCAGGAACCTTGCAAGTTCTTGAAGTATGCTCTAAACATGTCTGAAGTTCTAAATACATATCTGATTTAGAGTTTCAAGGTGTGGTTAGTGGGGCGTTACAGTTGGAAGATCTCAGTGGTTTCTAGTTCTGCTTTCTTGGTTCTTCTCGCGCTCTTTGTGCCTGGTTTAAGCAACTCTGGGTCTTCCATCTGGGCGACCGATAGTTAAATATAGCAGAAGTGTAATGGTGTTCTTTTATGGCGGGCCATACAAAAGAATTCCCATGAACTTATGACCGGATATCCGATCATTAACGTCACGATTATATATTAATTACCAGTCTGCCTAAACTCTACCACAGATTTTATCAAAACCTATCTGTTACTAACCACCATAGTCCCTGATAACGCCTCTACTTCGAACTGGGTAGGACCACCTGAACACTGTCAAAAACTCTAATATTGGCACGTTAATAACAGCAGCTTTTAGGTCCTCGCCGCTGTTATATACTACAGATTTTTGTCAGATTTTTCTGAGGCTGTCAACATAGTATTGCGGGCCGCGTCACTACCGGCTACTACTAGTGCTTCTCTCATACCCAGCTGATACAGTCCGCAATCCTGTGCGATGTTTTCCCCGGAGAGGGAGTTCGCCAGTCTTTTCTCTCCGGATCATGGCTGTTAACTGCTGTGTCGTGGTTTTTGATTACATGATGTTTTTGTCCATTGGTGCCAGATCAGCCCTAATGGGAGATTTCTCCCTGGGGATACACATCTCCATAGCTTCGGCTTTGATGTCTGTCTTATCTTTAGTTGTAATGCTAGCTCTATTGTGTTTTCTTTTGTTTTGTTTGTTGTATTTATTGTGGATAGCCATCATGCTCTTCTTCATCGTTTGGTGTTTTTATCATATATTTATCAGAGTAAGTTATAGGTCTGTTGTCTGAAATGTGTGTGAATTGTTTGAAAATGTTTTATTGTCGTCAGTCCCTCGATACTCAATAGTTCAAGTTATCAATTTGTTTCTTCAATCGACTTAAACTTTCAAATCGAATTTGACTTTTTTCCATTTCAGTTGTGCTTGGACTGCGAAGTTCAGACACGTGACATCGAAGACTTCGTAAATAAATCTGCCGAAGTTGACGAATCACTCGACAACCTTCTCAACTGGGCCAATGTCAAGTACGGAGACCTTGTCAAACTCGAGGATGTCAAACCCGAGGAACTCTCAAAACTCCTCAAGGTGAGAACTGAAACAAACAAGAGTTTTTATTGAAAATATTTTCAAACATTATTATATTCGTGATTATACAGTGAAATGAATAAAGAATAAATGTCAAGTCTTCCCTAAAGGGAGTTAGTTGATGTCTTAGATATTATCATGTGCTATTTTTATGGAATAACAGGACAGACTTGAGACTTCAGAAAGGTGTGCAAAAGTTACACTTGCAAAACTTAGCCCCGTCATCTTGACAGTGACTTGTTTTAAAGTTTACTATTAAAACTGGCATTGTATCAGAAACAACTGGAGCATGTTTTTTAAAATGCGGTAGTTTTTGATGTACTGCAGATACTAATACTAACATAGACCTCGTAAGGCGGAGTTTTTTAAATTGTAGTGTTAAGTAGGGAGCGGTGGTGCTCCTTTCTAAACACTACAATGGATAGTAGGAAGTCTATTATATTGGCATTCCAGAATTACTGTAGCAACCAAGGATCAAACCGAGCCTGGTAATCATAAGAACCGGGGACAAACCGACTACCAACTATATTTCTGTAGACTGTAAATAGTCGTGGCACCAAATTTTGTCACGTTGCAGGCTTATTAACAATATACTGAACATATAAGTAACAACGTTCACATACCTTTCACTAAGGTCTAAATCAACTTTAAAACTAAAAGTTAGGTTGACTTATCTGCAACAGTCTTCGAAACGCGTCCTATCTAATTTTGGACAATTATCTGAAAATAGTTAAAAGAGCATCTTATGAGACTGATAGGTGCGAATCAAATGCCATCAGTATCTACAAGAAAATTTAGAACTTAAAACTTAGCACTAACACTTGTAAGAGAACATGCGACTGTGAATGAAAACACAATTTTGTAACCCACTGACTTGCAGCCAACTAATTGCTAACTGTCTGCTAACTAATAAGTACTCGTAGACAACTGATTAGTCGCTAACTGGGTCCCAAGTTTCCGCTAACTGAGTCCCAAGTTTCCGCTAACTGAGTCCCAAGTTCCCGCTAACTGAGTCCCAAGTTCCCGCTAAATGACTACCGAACAACCGCTAACTGACTCACATTTAGTCGTTAACTGACCAGTACCACCCTCTCCTCAGCCCCACGAAGACGAAGTGAACGCTAAAGCCCCGGAAGTGGTAGGTAAACTAGCTGATGTGGAGCAGCTGCTGGGACCTGTAGCTGACCGAGACACTGATGATCTGGAGGTTATGGCTCTCATCCAAAAACACGATGCTCTCGCTAACAAGTGGCAGGATATCCAGGATGAGCTCGAGAAACTCAGGAAGAGGGTAAGTCATGAGGTGACGGGGTTTACATAGTTTCGTGAGGCATTATAAGCATTTTTATTGATTTGATTTATACTTGATTTTAAATTTTCATTCCTTGAACTTCCCATTAAATCACCAATTAATTAATTAATTAAATCATCAATTAATTAATTAATTAAATCGCCAATTGATTTTAATTAAAATACAGGACGAGCTCCCGGCCGGCTGGCCAATGTTCGGGATTACCGAATTAGTTTGTCTCATCCAGAAGGTTCAATTACGCTAAATGCTCGAACTAATCTCATTTCTGCTACAGTTTTTTCTTGACTCGCCACTTTCTCTTCTTGAAAAAAAAAATCTTTTTCCGACAAAATATCTTGCTGGATTTGGACGTATTTTAGGCGTCGCTGAGAATGTTTGCTTAGCATGTGATTATAAAGTTTTGCAACTCGGAGTTTGTGGATGAAATACTTTGTTGTATTGTTAATCTATCTATCAATTAATTAATTAATTAATTTGTGGTGAATTCAGGCTAACGAGTACACCGATCAAGAGTCATGGTTCTTGGACATCTGTTTGAAGATGGACAAGTGGCTCCAAATCAAGAAACGTATCCTACTGGCACAACCTATTGTGGTCATGGAGTCCTTTGCTGATGACCTCAAATACCATCGGTATGTGAAATTTTGTAAGCGTATCGAGCTAATATGATCTAATACTCTTGAGAGTACAAAATCTTCGTACTTTCAATCCGTCTACAACTAAAATCTGTAAATTAGTAAACATACTTCTTTCAGTGATCTACTAACCGAGTACGAGGCTAAACAGATCGAGTTCAACAGAATCTGGGAGATCTCCGCCAACATCATCAAGGCGGTGGCTGATCCCAAGAAGAAGGCTAAATTGAACCTCATCAGGGACAAATTAGGTTAGATTCTTAGTCCTGTCGGAAACTTTTAAAATATTAATTGCCCAAATTAATGACTGTCACCATTTGTGATAACATCATGATTGATATCTTAATCTCTTGAGAGATAGTAGATTAATTAATAACCCCTCCCACGATCCCTTTATATCTACTAAAAGTACTGATTCTCAGCTAATCTGTGGGAGGAAGTTTACGGTCTCTGTATGAAGAGACACTACCAGTTTATTGAGATCCTCAAGGAGGTCTACAGATTGGAGTTCAAACTCGTTCTTACTGTTGAGTGGCTGGTTGAGACTCACTACAGAATCAAACACAAGCCCAATGGAGACTTCGTGCAGGTAAGAACTTGGATCAAAACAGTGAAAATAGTTTTCGGAATGTTCAAAAGATTGGGGTAGTGCCAAAGTATGAAGGTGTCGATGTTTTTTGTCGATGCCTTGCCTTGACACTTTCTTGCCGAAACTAAATCTACTGTAGATAAAATACTTAAAATGTGCGTTTTCTTTCATAATATTCGCAATTCACCAACCCACTCTCTCCATCTAACAGGACATAGCGTTCTTGAAGGAGATAGAAGCGAACCAGCAGTACGTTCACCAGACGTTTGAAGATGGCAGAAGAGTACTGAGATGTGTAAAGGCAGGACAGTTACCCGCCAGTGAGATGCCCCGCAAGGACACTATCCCCAACATTGAGAAACATCTGATCGATCTCCACAACAACTGGGAACGTCTCCTGGCGGAGATCGTCCTGGAGAAGCAGAGGATCGACCAGGTCATGGCTCCTCTGGAGACTCATGTCTACAGGATGGACAAGCTCCTTGCCTGGCTCCTTGCTGAACAAGTCAAGGTGGAGAAAGATGTCCAACTTGGTGGTACAAGCAAGCAGCTGCTCCGACAGCTGAACGCTGTTAAACAGCTTGAAGTGGACCTGAACAATAATCGGGAACGGTTGAAGAACCTGAACGAGGAGGGCTACAAGAACCTCTACAACGCCGGGGTCACTGATGACTTCCTGAAAACTCATGGTACTTGTCTGGCGAGGTCTTGTCCTCAGATCGATGATAATGTCACCTACATTGCCGCTATGAACACCACTTGGAAACACCTTGAGGTAAGAATGATCAATCATAATTAATATATCTCATAATGGTTATTATATTACATGGCATTCTTTTTACCGATTCATGGTTCGTTATCTACAGTGTGCTCGACTACACTATAAATAGGAGTAATTAGAGATAACGGTAACAAATGAAACTTATCCTAGTTTTATAAGTTGGGGCCCTCAGGGGATTGAAACTCACCCTGAGGGTCTCTTAGTTTCATTCTTTCATTTAGTACCGTAACTGTCCTTTTGATCTTATCTCTATCTTAATCTCGTATTTCAGCTCATTTCTTATTTTTCCTTTAATTGACTGGCTAGTTTCTAGAACTCTGAATCACTGAACCACGCCTTTTATGATTTATCCTGATACTTAACCCATCAACCAGAACCCTGCGAACCATTCTGTCCTAACCCCGAGAAAGTTTTAGGTTTTCACCCCCTAAACAATAGGATATCCATATCACCTTAGATTTCTGACACGTGACAGAGAACAGTAGTGTGAGGCAGCTCCGGTTGCCAGCCATTATCCAGTATCAGCCCCTCCTTAACTAGATTAAAAGACATCAATACACCACAACTTGTCCACTTAACTTCCGGACTCCTTGAATAAAAGTCACCACTATTTGCCAGTTGAGTGTCACTTCTTAAACAGTACATTTTCCTGTACACATCAGACTTGGCATGGAGCTATCAGCTAGGTGTCACATTTTCACATCCTTTGTGATTAGCTCCCCTGTACGCTGTGTGTACAGTTTGAGTGGGAGTAATCGAGATTGTGATGTTTTGATATTGTTTGAATTCAAGTAAGATACGTAATTAGAGAACGGTAATCGCACTGTTTGGTGCCTCATTTACCACGTATTTGTCAACAGAAGCCGTTCAAATGCTGTTCCTGGCGGCCTCAAATCAAACACTGATTTGGTAATTGCTGATGGAGAGTCAACTATCAGGGAACAGGTGGAATGAATGGCTTGCAACACCCTCTGATCATTGGTTGCTCCTGCCTCCTGGTCGTTTGTTGCTCCTGGTCATTACTCACTATTGTGCGAATGTCCGTGCTGTACTACACTCCGTTAATAACATGATATCTGTACTCGGTACTACGGTAGTGGCTTCTGCATTCCGCGTAGTGGTTCGATTCGGGAATCGTTGTTATGCCTACTAGAGCATCATCAAATGCAGGTTCATATTTTCTGTTCCGATTTACGATTATTTATCTTCAGATCTACATCCGGCCACCTCCAAAACCCAGATATTTAATAGTAATCCTGTTTTTATTGTTGCGGTCTGATTTCAGTTCCTTCCGATGATCACGGTCTGGCTCTAAGTTTTACAGGCTCACCCCTTCGATCTCTACATTAGATTACTGTTGAATATTTGTTAGTAATGATTATTTACTGCAGTCGTCTAGGGCCTCTTTGAGTAGTATTGATGCAGCGTACGATAGTAATTTTAATAGTTCATTGTGATCGTTACGGCTGTGCAAATCTTTTGTTCGTTGTCACCCGGTGACAATGTCACCGTCAGTGCCCGATATATTATAGTGATGAATAGTGCGACTTGTGACTCATCTTGCTTCAAGATTAACATGTTCACCGTAAAGAGGACTAATAGTTCTCGACTACTGTTCTGTTTGACTACTGCTCTCTCTGGACTACTATAGTGTGTTAGCAGCTCCATTAGAGCGGGGCTATAATCCACAATATAATGCTGGATGGGCACTACACTAGAGCTGGATGAGGAGCTCAGTATTTGACAAGTGTCTAGCCTGATCAGCCCCAATATAACAGGTGCAAGGTACTGCTGATCACCTCTGAGACCCGTGCATCTCCTGATTATGCCAGTAGTGGTACCGCTATATCCTCGCTATGTGCTAAGTGGAGTATTACCCTATTCGGAGTGACACTTCCCATTAGAATCTAGGTGTTAGGAGGACAATATTTATCACATTATTCTGCTTATAGGCAAATTATCGAAACTTCAGGCACTAAAAGTAAAAGCAGGCTAGTTAGTCCATATAAGGAGATACCAGGCTCGATCTCAATGTTCTATTGCTCTATAAGGGAGATTCAACACTGCAGCTGTACTCAGTTGTTTTCCCCGGTTGACCGGTTGTTGTCGCTCAGTGTTTGTCTGCTGCACCATTAATAGTAATATAGATTAGCTGCTTTATAGAACATAATCAGCAGCCTTCACCGTCGCTTCACTGCAGGAACTGCAACTTTCAATATGCTTCGCTCCACGCATAATGAGTGTAATCAAAAATTTCCTAATACGTTTGTTGAAGAGACGGTGAGATAAGAGGTTGTAGCGGTCCCATTCTAAACGTATGTCCAGTTAAACTAATTAATTATGGCCCGCTAGTAGACGGTACTCAATCCGTTTATGGGCCTGATGCAGCACTGACACGCACCTTGTTGCTTCTCTTACACCTTGTAGCTCTCTCTCTCTCTCTCTTTCTCTCCTCTCGTGCAGCTCTAAAACCAGACTATGTATATCAGGCTCATTGCTGCCACCTTGAGTTTATTGAATTTTTGCATGATATGTTTACGTCAAAGATCGCCCGTATTAAGTTCAACTTTGATCGACAAATGAAAGAATGAAGGAGTTGAGAGTTGAATATTATCAGGCGTGTGAATATGGAATTGTTTCAGTTTTATTCAAGTCTCCTCACTTCTAAAATGTGTTTACTCTCATTCTGATGGCTCGTGCTTCCTAAAATTAAGATTTATTGACTATGACTTTCATCCTATACTTTAGCTCTCGGTTATATCTTTCAGTGTCAAACTTCGTGGCCATTATTTCTTTCTATGGCAACGGCTGATTTTAGAACACTCTCAATAATTCCATGATGCTCCAGTTATAATTATCACTAACAATTACAACAAATTTGTAAATGTAAGGAATATTATTAGTCATGTTATTAAGCTTAAGAGGTCCCTTGAACAATACCTTTCTCACACCATATGTAATAAGTAACACCATGTGGTGTGACTTTGTAAGCAGTTTTAGTTTTGTAGTTGTTAATTGCTCTCTCTCTCTCTCTATCTCTCTATCTCTACCGGGCTAACGACCGTGTTCTCTTTGCTTCTTTGTAGCTGATCCCGGTTTATGCAGCCTTCGTTCAGGCGCGGAGAGAGATTGGGTTTCAACTCGGCTAGAGTTCCTGGTGCTGACTTTGTGTGCTAATTTTAGTGTCCCACCACATGTAGAAGTATTTGTCAGTATGTGATTTTGTTGTCCAGGCATTTGATTGGTTTAAAAGTGTGTGTGTGCTATGACCTGATCGTCACGAACAATATCGAATTAAATATGCCAATATTTATCCCAGTTCTGCTGAATAATTATAATATCCAGGTTTAAGTTTGGTATAACACACAGCTTGATGATATTCTCTTTAGAGGTAGTTTGAATCTACATCATTGTTCTCCGTGGTCCTATTGCGTGTAACTTGATTCTGCTCAGATGTCAGGTGCCCCCTGATCCTGTGACTCATGCTCACAAACTAATTATCCGCAATCATAGTGGTTTAACCTCTCCTCAGTTCTAAATATAGGGTCCTTTATGTGTATACCAGGTGGAATTTGTCGACTTTCAGCACAGTTTTCCGAGAATCGAGATCGGGTTCTTGTTTTATCGATACTATTCATTGTGAACTGCTCATTCAGTGAAATCAGTTTGTTGTCCTCTCATTTCCTGACTGTAGTGTTTCTCTTCTGCCCGCAGCCTGATCGATCAGTGGACGGAACGATCATGCTGTTTTACTAAATTGTTTAGAAAATCATAATTCATTTACTCATCATGCATTGAATTCGAGTTTCACATCTTCCGTAGTTTAAATTTCATCGTCTGTTCCTTCTTACTGCTATTTTTGTGTCGTTGGCTATGCTTATCAACAACGTTCCTGCATAATAAAAGTGATTGAATACCGTCGACGGTGATTGAATGGCATCGTCGGTGGTTGAATGGCAGTGCAGGATTGAAAGTCTGTGGTCCGCAGTTCCAACAATCAGTGCTCCTTGTTGATCACACTCGTTACACTCTGAGATGACACATTACCAGTGTGATCAGGCTTATTTCTCACGAATGATCATGTAATTGTACAATGTACATTGTATTTACATCGTATCTCCTGATGCATTGCGTGTAGCTTCAGCCATTCAGACTTGATTGGAATCCATTCATCTCACGCTTGCATGCTTAGAGTTTGGACAAGTTGCACCTGTATTCTCCTTTGATCAGTTTGTCTAATATGTCTTTGTCACAATGCCAGAACAGCACTGTTCTGATGATGTCTAAGATAACTAGAGTTATACCGTTATGAATTTTGTCAGTTGTCTCTGAGCCAAGCCATATTTGTTGGCTTCAAGCCTGTAAAACTAACATCAAGGCTATCATTATACTCTAATGATGTGGTACTTAGCAAGTCTGCCCCGAACAATGAAATCCCACCGTGTTAATCGTCCACGCCCCTCTCTTTATCAGTTATTTAATTCTAGAATTTTATTTTCCAGTGTTCTACAATTTTTTAAACCACAATCTCTGGTGATTTTATTATTTGTCTATTTCGAACCATTCTATAATCACATAGTCTAACTTATTGTCTTCCTCTAGTGTCATGTGAGGGAACGGAAAGTGAGGTTAGAAGATCTATCAGATCGCATGGAGAAGTTCGATAAACTAATCCAGGCGCAACATCACTGGCTGAACACATGCTCTGATAAGATAACGAAAACCCAGACCGACACGGGAGGAGCTCACGACAATGAGGCAATAATATCTGAACTGCAGACCCTGCACGCTCAACTCCTAGCAACCAACAAGATAGGACTTCTGCTGATATACCAGCATGGAGAGGTGGTCCTGCCTACTATCGGCAAGATCCTTGATCTGCAGATGCACTTTGATAACACGTGCAGTGAGGCGCATTCTAAACATTGCCACGTCGACAAGTCCCAGCTTCAGCTCAAACTATTTAGGGTAAGTTTTGGGGAACTTCTTGTTGCAGGGGTGTGAACTGTGAAGGGCCGGCTCTTAATTTCTTTTTATACGTTCTAAAATATGGTCCAAAAGCTTAGCTTGGTCATTGATCGTTAATTTGGCAAATTGAAATTCTTGAAGTGTCAAAGCACAAATTATCCTTGTATTATCAGTCTTTTATCGCTCAATAAGTCCGTTTATTTTGTCAGGATTCATTAGAGGGCATGTTGGCATGGTTACATAAACAAAGAAAAGCTGTGGACGAGAAATGCCGTCTGGTTGGTTCTGATGGTAAACTTGATGAACTTATCGAATGGCATCGGAAGACTAAACAAGATATCGAGACACACAGAGGGGTTCGGGATAGTATCCTTCTTATATCTGACAGGTACCTTTTCACCCACCGATTTTGATATTCTGTTCGAACAGTCTAGTGAATCTTGTTAATCTTGATTGAATTTACTAAGCTATTCTGCAGGTGTAAACGAGGCGACAATAACTAAGTACTACGTATTACTAACAAATAACTATTAATAACTAATTACTACTAATTACTAACAAATAACTATTAACTTTTTCAGGTTTATCAAGGAATTAGGACATACCGAGATAAACCAACTTAAGACTAGCGTATCTGAACTGAAGGATGGTTTCAGCAATTTAGAGATATCCTTTAAAAAGGTAAGAGATTTACCCTCTTCTCTTTTCATAAAGCTGCATGTATGATTTGAGGTTTAACAATTTAGTACCTCAAATATTTGTGTATGATTGATTCCGATTCTTGAATTGAATATTGGTTTGTCAAAGTATGAAGTTGGCCAGATTTAACGTTACATTGGAATGTTTCCTAGCGTATATTAAGACTGCTTCATGCAGGTCTTTGCATTCTCATTTCTCGTTAAGTTAATTCTGGCCCACTTTGTTGAAAACAATTCTTAAATGGATTATCTGGACCATTAAACTGACTATGATTATTTCTATTTGTGAGCACCTGGTGGCTATTTTGCTATTGCTGCTACGGCACACGCACATATGCCGACAAATTATGACGGATTAAGACACATTTATGTGACAAATCTTATGATAATTATACTGACAGACACGTTTTTATTTTAGTGCCAGATCAGGATTGTTCAGTTTACTCGACAGTTCTACCGCGACAAGAGACGACAAATACAGGAATTAAACGGACTGACTATTTCCATTGCCAGCAGCAGTCACCAGACTGCATCCTACCCGGAGACAGAGACAACTAGACTGGAGAAAACTAGAGACATTGAGACAAGTCTCAATAATGAGACAGACAGACGTTATGACAGGACTATAAACAGAAGTAATAGCTTGCGCTGTAACTCTCTCACCGCTCCGCTGAGTGTGACAAACTGAAATTCTGCGAAACAACCCAAATCTCGTAAAAATGGCAAAAACAGGGACAAAATTAGGACGAGGACAAGCAATTCCTCAAGCTCAAAACGACATGTTCAAGAATCAAAATCGTTGCGAAATTCAAACTCCAGTATAAGTGGTTCATGGACAGACTGGTCGACTATGGCTGGCAGTGTGCCAAGCTTGCCACGTGACAGTATCTAGTGACTAAACACACACTGGCAGTGTGCCAAGCTTGCCACGTGACAGTATCTAGTGACTAAACACACACTGGCAGTGTGCCAAGCTTGCCACGTGACAGTATCTAGTGACTAAACACACACTGGCAGTGTGCCAAGCTTGCCACGTGACAGTATCTAGTGACTAAACACACACTGGCAGTGTGCCAAGCTTGCCACGTGACAGTATCTAGTGTCTAAACACACACTGGCAGTGTGCCAAGCTTCCACGTGACAGTATCTAGTGTCTAAACACACACTGGCAGTGTGCCAAGCTTGCCACGTGACAGTATCTAGTGACTAAACACACACTGGCAGTGTGCCAAGCTTGCCACGTGACAGTATCTAGTGACTAAACACACACTGGCAGTGTGCCAAGCTTGCCACGTGACAGTATCTAGTGACTAAACACACACTGGCAGTGTGCCAAGCTTACCACGTGACAGTATCTAATGTCTAAACACACACTGGCAGTGTGCCAAGCTTACCACGTGACAGTATCTAATGTCTAAACACACACTGGCAGTGTGCCAAGCTTACCACGTGACAGTATCTAGTGACTAAACACACACTGGCAGTGTGCCAAGCTTACCACGTGACAGTATCTAGTGACTAAACACACAGACACAGTATTATCGGTACCCATTTTCTGTGAAGATTTGACAGTTTATTGACCATGAAGCATCTACCGACTTGTTCAGAGCAGCTTGATTGCTACAATGTTTTTAATCAATAGCACTACCGCTCACAGTTACACCACTTTCCGGCAGAATATCTAACCAAAGATAACAGCTATCACATTTCACCGGACACTCACAAAACATCGCACCAAACCTCACTGAAAACCTCACTAAACTTCACTGCAAACCTCACTGCAAACCTCACTAAACCTCAACCTGATCACGTGTGTGCCGCTGAGATTGGCTTTTTGCTTGAGCGCCCTCTCTGTGCCTCCAAGAGAGGGTGATGCATTCTACCTTTATAATATGCGAGTGAGATGTGTGACTCTACCCTCCACTTTCTCTTATCTTAGATAATTTAACTTATAAATAACTTATAACTTATAAGTTATTAAGTTATTTCAGCATGATCTGCTCTTTATCTCATGACCCAGTCTCTGCATGTTATGATGATTTCTGTGTTGTGTGCGTTTTATAATATCTGATTATTATTCGAACACATTTTTAATCATTTTTGTTATCACTGTAAGCATTTTTTCCGATTTCGCCAAGGTCCATCTGTATGGATTGTATGTCTGAATTCAAGAAATTTTAAAATTGAAATTCAGCCAAAAGTAGACCGATTTTAAAACGTTAGAAATCACACAAATCGCATTTACATTGTATGAATAGTTGAAAACATCATTATTTGGCTTTACAAACTCAGTAAAAACCTGCACGTGCAATACTTCGTCGTTTCAACGCCAAAAAATATTATATTTCTACCACAAACATCTTGAAATAGTTGTTGCTTATTATATATGTACATTCCGATTTCGTCAAACAGTTATAGAAATCTAAGACACAAACTTTGTCGCTCTACCTAAGTAGTAAGTTCTTCTGAATTTTGACGAGACAAGTAAAACTGTAACCTATAAAGCTATAAAGCTATAACTGCAGTGATTACTACAAAACTGTGTGAAATAATGTGTGACGCTGAAACTATCCAAATGAGAACAATATTGTGCTACTAAAGCGCCAAATTCTTGCTTTCCTCTCGCAGCGTTACCTCTGAAAATCCAGGCTGGTTTTTATTTTTATCTGGATTTTCTAACGTCCCGTGAACAGTTTTCAGGTAGCATAGGAGTGTAGTGCGTGAGCGAGCGATAGCCTGAGAGACGAGCGATAGTTGCCATGACAAATGTGGTGATCACCTTGACAACACCTTGGCAACACCTTCATCTCACCATCACTCCCGCGCCTCCAGCTCACCAACTTTTTGTAGGACACTTTTTAACTGTGTAAACTGTAAACCGGACCTAATTAACTGTACGTAGATTTTTTGAAATTATATTAAAATTCGACTAATAATAGTTCGCGATGATGACGATGACCAGATGTCAAAGACTTATATTTATGAAGTTTAACATAAGACACTGGTCTTTAGATCTAAATTAAAACTGTTGTTATATTATGCGGTTTACGTAAAAGCTTGATATGATGTATTATGACTGACAATGTTATTGTTAATGCTGGGTTTATTTTGACCTCTTCAATTTGACGAATTTTTGAACGGATTTAAACGTTAGAATATTATTTTAATTTGACAAACCGTTCGAGAATTTTCTCTATGGAGTTTAATTATAAGCGGTGAATGTTATTTTTGAGTATTTTTTCTGACTTGTAAATAGTTATAGCGCAGTGTAGGGCTAGTATATCTTTAAATAACATACAATTTTGTATTTTAATTACCATTTAATACGTGGTGCGGAATATATACCAATAATTTTTAAAATTCGATCGACACGTTTTTCTTTAAAGTTAAACTGCTTTTTTTGTAATAAAACTGAGAAATATTGAATAAATTATTTCCCCGAGTTATGCAAAAATCACGAATTTTATTTGCTTCAATTAAATTGGAAGGTGTAAATCAGTGGATGTAAATTTTGCAGTAAAGAAGACATACCAGTCAAGCTAAAATGTTGTGTTTGCAAACTGTAAAGAGAACATCACTATGCGCTCTGCTGAAGTTGGTTTAAGTTTAGGTGACAATTTAACCGATCAGATTCGGCGGAATGACAACTGTCACACGCGTTTCCATGGGCAACACTGTCTGCCTCCCGATAAACGGGTGATACCCGCACAATGTTTTAAACTGTGATGTAATGAGGATCGTGAAGGCGAAGCAAGTCGGAGCGCGCGCGTCAGTAAGTTAGTGATAGTGATACACGTTTTTTACCTCTTATCTTACTCTTCAAGTAAGTTATAAACCTGCAATCTTCAGAGATTGGTTTGTAGGTCTATACAACTTACCAAGACACGCGCCGAGTTAAACAAATATTTTACGAGTATTACCCGTTCAAACAGTGGTGTGTCTCCTTAAAAATTAATGTTCATAAACGCCGAATAGAGATTCGGCGGAATGTTAGGCTGAGCGCCGCCCAGTAAGTCATTAGTACTATTAGCACTAAGTTGTTTCACATATCTCATTATCCCTGGTAACTTTAACGGGTGATACTCGTAAAATATCTTGTTCCATATATCGACGAGTCCAACTCGGCGCGCGTCCTGGTAGGTTATAAACCTACAATGGTAACTGCGTTTCTATCATGAATAACCACGCTTACAGTTTCATTAACGTTATATTTCAATTCCAAAATGATTCCTTCAAAATATTAAATTTTTGGACCTGCGTTTTCCAATTTTTTGTAAATGGTCTACACTTTAGTTGAACTCCGCGTTTCCCTTGGGAATTGCGATGTGCATCATTATCTGAATTATATTAGCCTCTTCCCCTGCGACTTCTGGGCTCTAAAACCCTAGCATATCGTTTATAATCTGGTTTATAATAAACGCTGCATTTTCCGGGCAAGTACGCTTTTCCCTGGATAACCCGCTTTTAGTTTTACTTAAACTTGCTGCTAATACTAATAGTAATACATTATCATCCGGATTCCGGACAGTTGAATACCAGGAAGTCTCATACTCATAGTCTGGAAATGGAAATTTAATGTTTTAGGGTCATTTTAAAATAAGATATTTGGCTTGCAGTTGCAGGTTAAAATAGTTCCCTTGTATAACTCTGTTTTAGGGATGAAATATTTAACTTCAAATAACGCGCTGCATAAGAGACCGTGCTATAACTATAAGCTGGAATAAAATCAGCAAAACAGTGCGCCTGATCAAAAATAAGCAGACACGTCTAGGTATGATAGGTCGTTCATCATTTCACACAGTTCTAACACAATCGAATAATGTGTGGACAGCGGCTGCCATGGCACCCACGGTTACTCGATGCTTACTGCAGTTAATATAGATTCGGATTATACATAAATCGAATACGTGGTATAATTTTATTATTTATCTTCACATTGGACATAAAACTTTATACCTGAAATGGTGAGAATGTAACTCAATGCAACTTTGACCTGGAGTGGAGATTGGGTACTTACTGAAATCAGAATTGTATGATGCATAATCTAATATATCATTGGATTAGGTAACGCAGCAAAAAGCGGGTAGATGTCTCAATTACCGAAAATGGAACTTTTATTTCGTCTTAAAGCTTTAAAGCATAGATGGTATTTTAGGAAAAAAACTGGCCACAAAAATAGAGCAATGGTTCTTTCTACTCCTAGAGTTCTAGGGTAAATATACGCAAAATTGTTGATCAGAAAATTATCGTTTATAAGTTTATACTAAAATTCGTATGCTGTTTATCTAATGGTTTAGACACATCACGTGTGATAAAAGTCTCCTAGAATTTTTGTAGCTCCCTCCAAAAGGGTCAGTAATAAAGGGCTTGCATAATGTACAATATTGTACCTTGTATCTTATAGGCTGAATAGCTGTCGCTTAGTGTGGTAATGTCGTGATATGTTTATGCGCCGAAAACAAATCTTGTGTTTTGACGGTCAATACCTGTGTAGTAATGCTTTTAGTTGTCATCTTTTAGTTCAGTCGTAATTTCCTCTCTCATTATCAGAATATTTGGGTTTCTGTTCAAAATGAAAATCCGTCTAGTTTAATTTAAACTACCTTAGTAGCCCTTTTTTTAAACAGACCAAGATTTTTGGACGAACCGAGCTGATCAAACAAGGGCCGTCTATCAAAGGGCCTCTAACTACACTTCTAGTTTTTATCGTTAATTTTAAATAAACACTATATAAACATATCCATTGCAATATTGCATAGTGACGAATGTAGGTCACTCATTCCCTATAAAATGTATCTTAGTTTTAGCGAATAATGCGGGAATTAAATCTGAATTGAGGATCCGCCCTGGGTACCATCATGGACTCGGATTCAAGTATTCGCCAACATTTGGTAAGTAAATTTTGTCATATTAGGTCATCAGAATTATAAAATATATGAGAGACAGAAGTTGAAGAGTCAATGATTCAGTATACAGCTCATGACCTCTTCCTACGCTCAATAGTCATTAAAATGAGATCCCTTGAAACCATTTTATAGTAGATTCCTTCAGTGCAGTATTTCAAGTTGAGCAATACAGTTTTCCTCCAAAATTGGTCAGATTCGGTACTTTGATGATGAACAGAGATTAGATGACACGAATACCGCGGGTCCAACACAAATTCCGGCTCTGATATGATTTTACTCTAAGAGCGATTTACAATTTATTAAAACGTACACTCCCGTTGTAACGTGATCTATTCATGGGGTTCTTCATCTTGGTACCAATTTCTGAGAAATATATTGTACGCCACGAAATAATACTGCAATAGCAAGGGAATTTACTAATACAAAAAAACAGGGTCAGACTCAACTTGGCCAGACACAGATGAATCAGAATCAGCAACTAGGCCAGGTTCAACAGGGCCAGACTCAACTTGGCCAGACCCAGATGAATCAGAATCAGCAACTAGGCCAGGTTCAACAGGGCCAGACTCAACTTGGCCAGACCCAGATGAATCAGAATCAGCAACTAGGCCAGGTTCAACAGGGCCAGACTCAACTTGGCCAGACCCAGATGAATCAGAATCAGCAACTAGGCCAGGTTCAACAGGGCCAGACTCAACTTGGCCAGACCCAGATGAATCAGAATCAGCAACTAGGCCAGGTTCAACTGGGTCAAACTCAACAATTTGGCCAGTCTCAACAGCAGCACGGTGGAGGGTTCTTCAAGGAGGACTATGATGGCAAGGCGGTAATAACCCTGAAGCTGTTCTGCTGCCATGGCCTAGACCATGGCCTAGACCATGGCCTAGACCATGGCTCGTTTTACTCGATCAGAACAACCAAGATCTACCAAGAATACTGAGACTGGTAGTTTTGGTTGAAATTGTGTACACTGACAGGTTGTTGTGGAACTATAGCACCGGATAGCACATTTCTTAAGCTTGGAAATCACCCATGGCGTTTAATTGTATTTTTGTGTATTCTCGAAGAAATCTCAGTCGAAAAATTGCATCCTATATTATAAGTATAACCTTCAGGTGACAGGTCACACCCACTTGACGGACCGCCCCAGTGCACAATATTTAATGTTATTGCTAGTTGTCTAGTTTGATCTGACGGACCTTGACGGACAATATTATAACCAACCCGAAACAGGCTCAATTGATGGCATAGGTTCAAAATAATAATGTTATGCGGAATAATGGAAAGCATGAATATTATTTTAAATCTTATTAAATATTTTTGCTTGAAGCTGATTGGATGATTTTCAGGCCCAGTATAAGCTAGAAGAAGAGAACTGTAATTTGAAGAATATATCAGAAGCTTTATCTACTCTCAACAAATGGATTCATACACAGTAAGACTTCAATTTAAGACTTAAATTTGTATGTAGTTTTGGTAGAACTAGAAGATATTGGGTGACACAAATCGTGCTCCGCTTGGGACCTAACTCAACTTTCCTGAAGAACCCGGGTCAAATCTGCTAAAGAACCCGGGTTGTTACAATGTCGTTATCAGGGATATTTATTATTTCAGGCAGAGATTCGTGAAAACGCAGTCCACAATAATTCCGGAGGGCAAGATTGAATTGACACAGTTTAAAGTAGAGATTAAAGCTGGTCTGGTACAGTTAGAGGAACGGGAGATTCATGTTACTGTGACCTTGAACTCAGCTCAAAAACAAATTCTTAGGATTGAAGAGGAGGTTTTTACATAATTTGTATTGTTTTTATTGTTTTTATGGTGTTTACTTGATTGACAATAGAAGGGTTACCGCTAAAAGAGTTTATTGTTATGCTTTTACAATTCATGACTCTAAATCTCTACAGAAGCATTCAGAGGCTATTCAGAAAATGGCGGATCAAGTGAAAATAAACTGGGAAAAGCTTAGAAGGAACTTCGAGAAACTTGGAGCCACCGTGGATGCAGCACTCAACCAACTTGCGTATGTGATATAGAACACTTTATACTCTGCCATCTGATCGTATCCTAATTACTTAATTAACTAATTGGACTTGTCTGTCAACGATATTTTATCATTGAAAACTCTAGACTTCATTATATTCCTGACTCCTTCAAAGATGAATTTAACGTAAAGTGATAAGTTTGATATTATACCGTAAGTCCGATCCCTGTCCAGGCTGAACGATATAAAGCTTCAAGAGGTGTACCAGTGGGCAGTGAACTTCTACAAGATGGTTAGCCTCAGTATAGAGGAGAGCATCACCCTGGTCTACGAGGAACAGCTCTATCTCCTCAAGGTATGTAGATATGTATAGCTTCACTCCTCAAGGTATGTAGATATGTATAGCTTCACTCCTCAAGGTATGTCGATATGTATATAGCTTCACTCCTCAAGGTATGTAGATATGTAATATGTATAGCTTTACTCCTCGCGATTTGTAGCTATATTTAACTTCACTCCTCACGGTTTGTAGCTATATATAGCTTCACACCTCGAGGTATGTAGCTACATATTAAAACTAAGTACAATTAGAAGATGGTCAATTTTTGACGCGCAAACTCTCTGTAAGTCTGTAAGTTTAATTTATCTGCTGCTATGTGATGTTCTTATGTTGATTTTACCCCTCCACAGTCGTACGAGTACCAAATCAGTGAGAAGGTAAAGATACTTGTAACCCTGAGGATAGATGTGGCTATGGAGGATGTCAAATATTCTGCTCTATTTATCAAGATTGAAGCTGTAATTTCAAAGGTAACTACTGGCCCGTGCACTAGAATTTAAAGTTAAACCTTTTCTTGAAGATTTAACTTAACTATTAAAATTTTTTTCGATAGATCCCGAACTTTCACGATTGTTAAGTTAACACGTGACTCACCATCAGATGACTAAGAAGATTGAGGAGAGAAAAGAGGAACTACAAATCACGATAAGTCAGCTAGCAGAGTTTGAGGTAGCAGTTGACAAGGCACTGTCGTGGCTCACTGACCAGGAGGTCATATTGAAGCAGATCGTGGTTATTCAGGATGAAGAGAGTGTTGATCTACTTATCGTGAGTAAATTGGATCCGTCAATAATAAATAATAATACATTTTTGATTAATTTGCTCCTCCAAAGAGTAGTAAAAGTAATCTCCCACTACAACCAGTAAAAGTAGTGAGAGTACCTATTTAGTAGCTCAGTAGTGAGAGTATCCAGTAAACAAGTGAGAGTAGTAAAAGTAATCTCCCACTACAACCAGTAAAAGTAGTGAGAGTACCTATCCAGTAGCTCAGTAGTGAGAGTATCCAGTAAACAAGTGAGAGTAGTAAAAGTAATCTCCCACTACAACCAGTAAAAGAAGTGAGAGTACCTATCCAGTAGCTCAGTAGTGAGAGTATCCAGTAAACAAGTGAGAGTAGTAAAAGTAATCTCCCACTACAACCAGTAAAAGTAGTGAGAGTACCTATCCAGTAGCTCAGTAGTGAGAGTAACCAGTTAACAAGTGAGAGTAGTAAAAGTAATCTCCCACTACAACAAGTAAAAGTAGTGACAGTACCTATCCAGTAGCTCAGGAGTGAGAGTATCCAGTAAACAAGTGAGAGTTGTAAAAGTAATCTCCCACTACAACAAGTAAAAGTAGTGAGAGTACCTATTTAGTAGCTCAGTAGTGAGAGTATCCAGTAAACAAGTGAGAGTAGTAAAAGTAATCTCCCACTACAACCAGTAAAAGTAGTGAGAGTACCTATCCAGTAGCTCAGTAGTAAGAGTATCCAGTAAACAAGTGAGAGTAGTAAAAGTAATCTCCCACTACAACCAGTAAAAGTAGTGAGAGTACCTATCCAGTAGCTCAGTAGTGAGAGTAACCAGTAAACAAGTGAGAGTAGTAAAAGTAATCTCCCACTACAACCAGTAAATGTAGTGAGAGTACCTATCCAGTAGCTCAGTAGTAAGAGTATCCAGTAAACAAGTGAGAGTAGTAAAAGTAATCTCCCACTACAACCAGTAAAAGTAGTGAGAGTACCTATCCAGTAGCTCAGTAGTAAGAGTATCCAGTAAACAAGTGAGAGTAGTAAAAGTAATCTCCCACTACAACCAGTAAAAGTAGTGAGAGTACCTATCCAGTAGCTCAGTAGTGAGAGTAACCAGTAAACAAGTGAGAGTAGTAAAAGTAATCTCCCACTACAACCAGTAAAAGTAGTGAGAGTACCTATCAAGTAGTGACAGTACCTATCCAGTAGCTCAGTAGTAAGAGTATCCAGTAAACAAGTGAGAGTAGTAAAAGTAATCTCCCACTACAACCATTAAAAGTAGTGAGAGTACCTATCCAGTAGCTCAGTAGTGAGAGTATCCAGTAAACAAGTGAGAGTAGTAAAAGTAATCTCCCACTACAACCAGTAAAAGTAGTGAGAGTACCTATCCATTAGCTCAGTAGTGAGAGTAACCAGTAAACAAGTGAGAGTTGTAAAAGTAATCTCCCACTACAACCAGTAAAAGTAGTGAGAGTACCTATCCAGTAGCTCAGTAGTGAGAGTATCCAGTAAACAAGTGAGAGTAGTAAAAGTAATCTCCCACTACAACCAGTAAAAGTAGTGAGAGTACCTATCCAGTAGCTCAGTAGTGAGAGTATCCAGTAAACAAGTGAGAGTAGTAAAAGTAATCTCCCACTACAACCAGTAAAAGTAGTGAGAGTACCTATCCAGTAGCTCAGTAGTGAGAGTATCCAGTAAACAAGTGAGAGTAGTAAAAGTAATCTCCCACTACAACCAGTAAAAGTAGTGAGAGTACCTATCCAGTAGCTCAGTAGTAAGAGTATCCAGTTAACAAGTGAGAGTAGTAAAAGTAATCTCCCACTACAACAAGTAAAAGTAGTGACAGTACCTATCCAGTAGCTCAGTAGTGAGAGTAACCAGTAAACAAGTGAGAGTAGTAAAAGTAATCTCCCACTACAACCAGTAAAAGTAGTGAGAGTACCTATCCAGTAGCTCAGTAGTGAGAGTATCCAGTAAACAAGTGAGAGTAGTAAAAGTAATCTCCCACTATAACCAGTAAAAGTAGTGAGAGTACCTATCCAGTAGCTCAGTAGTGAGAGTAACCAGTAAACAAGTGAGAGTAGTAAAAGTAATCTCCCACTAAAACCAGTAAAAGTAGTGAGAGTACCTATCCAGTAGCTCAGTAGTGAGAGTATCCAGTAAACAAGTGAGAGTAGTAAAAGTAATCTCCCACTACAACCAGTAAAAGTAGTGAGAGTACCTATCCAGTAGCTCAGTAGTGAGAGTATCCAGTAAACAAGTGAGAGTAGTAAAAGTAATCTCCCACTACAACAAGTAAAAGTAGTGAGAGTACCTATCCAGTAGCTCAGTAGTGAGAGTATCCAGTAAACAAGTGAGAGTAGTAAAAGTAATCTCCCACTACAACAAGTAAAAGTAGTGAGAGTACCTATCCAGTAGCTCAGTAGTGAGAGTATCCAGTAAACAAGTGAGAGTAGTAAAAGTAATCTCCCACTACAACCAGTAAAAGTAGTGAGAGTACCTATCCAGTAGCTCAGTAGTGAGAGTATCCAGTAAACAAGTGAGAGTAGTAAAAGTAATCTCCCACTACAACCAGTAAAAGTAGTGAGAGTACCTATCTAGTAGCTCAGTAGTGAGAGTATCCAGTAAACAAGTGAGAGTAGTAAAAGTAATCTCCCACTACAACCAGTAAAAGTAGTGAGAGTACCTATCCAGTAGCTCAGTAGTGAGAGTATCCAGTAAACAAGTGAGAGTAGTAAAAGTAATCTCCCACTAAAACCAGTAAAAGTAGTGACAGTACCTATCCAGTAGCTCAGTAGTGAGAGTAACCAGTTAACAAGTGAGAGTAGTAAAAGTAATCTCCCACTACAACCAGTAAAAGTAGTGAGAGTACCTATCCAGTAGCTCAGTAGTGAGAGTAACCAGTAAACAAGTGAGAGTAGTAAAAGTAATCTCCCACTACAACCAGTAAAAGTAGTGAGAGTACCTATCTAGTAGCTCAGTAGTGAGAGTAACCAGTAAACAAGTGAGAGTAGTAAAAGTAATCTCCCACTACAACAAGTAAAAGTAGTGACAGTACCTATCCAGTAGCTCAGTAGTGAGAGTATCCAGTAAACAAGTGAGAGTAGTAAAAGTAATCTCCCACTACAACCAGTAAACGTAGTGAGAGTACCTATCCAGTAGCTCAGTAGTGAGAGTATCCAGTAAACAAGTGAGAGTAGTAAAAGTAATCTCCCACTACAACAAGTAAAAGTAGTGAGAGTACCTATCCAGTAGCTCAGTAGTGAGAGTATCCAGTAAACAAGTGAGAGTAGTAAAAGTAATCTCCCACTATAACCAGTAAAAGTAGTGAGAGTACCTATCCAGTAGCTCAGTAGTGAGAGTAACCAGTAAACAAGTGAGAGTAGTAAAAGTAATCTCCCACTACAACCAGTAAAAGTAGTGACAGTACCTATCCAGTAGCTCAGTAGTGAGAGTATCCAGTAAACAAGTGAGAGTAGTAAAAGTAATCTCCCACTATAACCAGTAAAAGTAGTGAGAGTACCTATCCAGTAGCTCAGTAGTGAGAGTAACCAGTAAACAAGTGAGAGTAGTAAAAGTAATCTCCCACTAAAACCAGTAAAAGTAGTGAGAGTACCTATCCAGTAGCTCAGTAGTGAGAGTATCCAGTAAACAAGTGAGAGTAGTAAAAGTAATCTCCCACTACAACCAGTAAAAGTAGTGAGAGTACCTATCCAGTAGCTCAGTAGTGAGAGTATCCAGTAAACAAGTGAGAGTAGTAAAAGTAATCTCCCACTACAACAAGTAAAAGTAGTGAGAGTACCTATCCAGTAGCTCAGTAGTGAGAGTATCCAGTAAACAAGTGAGAGTAGTAAAAGTAATCTCCCACTACAACAAGTAAAAGTAGTGAGAGTACCTATCCAGTAGCTCAGTAGTGAGAGTATCCAGTAAACAAGTGAGAGTAGTAAAAGTAATCTCCCACTACAACCAATAAAAGTAGTGAGAGTACCTATCCAGTAGCTCAGTAGTGAGAGTATCCAGTAAACAAGTGAGAGTAGTAAAAGTAATCTCCCACTACAACCAGTTAAAGTAGTGAGAGTACCTATCTAGTAGCTCAGTAGTGAGAGTAACCAGTAAATAAGTGAGAGTAGTAAAAGTAATCTCCCACTACAACCAGTAAAAGTAGTGAGAGTACCTATCCAGTAGCTCAGTAGTGAGAGTATCCAGTAAACAAGTGAGAGTAGTAAAAGTAATCTCCCACTACAACCAGTAAAAGTAGTGACAGTACCTATCCAGTAGCTCAGTAGTGAGAGTAACCAGTTAACAAGTGAGAGTAGTAAAAGTAATCTCCCACTACAACCAGTAAAAGTAGTGAGAGTACCTATCCAGTAGCTCAGTAGTGAGAGTATCCAGTTAACAAGTGAGAGTAGTAAAAGTAATCTCCCACTACAACCAGTAAAAGTAGTGAGAGTACCTATCCAGTAGCTCAGTAGTGAGAGTATCCAGTAAACAAGTGAGAGTAGTAAAAGTAATCTCCCACTACAACCAGTAAAAGTAGTGAGAGTACCTATCGAGTAGCTCAGTAGTGAGAGTATCCAGTAAACAAGTGAGAGTAGTAAAAGTAATCTCCCACTACAACCAGTAAAAGTAGTGAGAGTACCTATCCAGTAGCTCAGTAGTGAGAGTATCCAGTAAACAAGTGAGAGTAGTAAAAGTAATCTCCCACTACAACCAGTAAAAGTAGTGAGAGTACCTATCCAGTAGCTCAGTAGTGAGAGTATCCAGTAAACAAGTGAGAGTAGTAAAAGTAATCTCCCACTACAACCAGTAAAAGTAGTGAGAGTACCTATCCAGTAGCTCAGTAGTGAGAGTATCCAGTAAACAAGTGAGAGTAGTAAAAGTAATCTCCCACTATAACCAGTAAAAGTAGTGAGAGTACCTATCCAGTAGCTCAGTAGTGAGAGTATCCAGTAAACAAGTGAGAGTAGTAAAAGTAATCTCCCACTACAACCAGTAAAAGTAGTGAGAGTACCTATCCAGTAGCTCAGTAGTGAGAGTATCCAGTAAACAAGTGAGAGTAGTAAAAGTAATCTCCCACTAAAACCAGTAAAAGTAGTGAGAGTACCTATCCAGTAGCTCAGTAGTGAGAGTATCCAGTAAACAAGTGAGAGTAGTAAAAGTAATCTCCCACTACAACCAGTAAAAGTAGTGAGAGTACCTATCCAGTAGCTCAGTAGTGAGAGTATCCAGTAAACAAGTGAGAGTAGTAAAAGTAATCTCCCACTACAACCAGTAAAAGTAGTGAGAGTACCTATCCAGTAGCTCAGTAGTGAGAGTATCCAGTAAACAAGTGAGAGTAGTAAAAGTAATCTCCCACTACAACCAGTAAAAGTAGTGAGAGTACCTATCCAGTAGCTCAGTAGTGAGAGTATCCAGTAAACAAGTGAGAGTAGTAAAAGTAATCTCCCACTACAACCAGTAAAAGTAGTGAGAGTACCTATCCAGTAGCTCAGTAGTGAGAGTATCCAGTAAACAAGTGAGAGTAGTAAAAGTAATCTCCCACTACAACCAGTAAAAGTAGTGAGAGTACCTATCCAGTAGCTCAGTAGTGAGAGTATCCAGTAAACAAGTGAGAGTAGTAAAAGTAATCTCCCACTACAACCAGTAAAAGTAGTGAGAGTACCTATCCAGTAGCTCAGTAGTGAGAGTATCCAGTAAACAAGTGAGAGTAGTAAAAGTAATCTCCCACTACAACCAGTAAAAGTAGTGAGAGTACCTATCCAGTAGCTCAGTAGTGAGAGTATCCAGTAAACAAGTGAGAGTAGTAAAAGTAATCTCCCACTACAACCAGTAAAAGTAGTGAGAGTACCTATCCAGTAGCTCAGTAGTGAGAGTAACCAGTTAACAAGTGAGAGTAGTAAAAGTAATCTCCCACTACAACCAGTAAAAGTAGTGAGAGTACCTATCTAGTAGCTCAGTAGTGAGAGTAACCAGTAAACAAGTGAGAGTAGTAAAAGTAATCTCCCACTACAACCAGTAAAAGTAGTGAGAGTACCTATCGAGTAGCTCAGTAGTGAGAGTATCCAGTAAACAAGTGAGAGTAGTAAAAGTAATCTCCCACTACAACCAGTAAACGTAGTAAGAGTACCTATCCAGTAGCTCAGTAGTGAGAGTATCCAGTAAACAAGTGAGAGTAGTAAAAGTAATCTCCCACTACAACAAGTAAAAGTAGTGAGAGTACCTATCCAGTAGCTCAGTAGTGAGAGTAACCAGTAAACAAGTGAGAGTTGTAAAAGTAATCTCCCACTACAACCAGTAAAAGTAGTGAGAGTACCTATCCAGTAGCTCAGTAGTGAGAGTATCCAGTAAACAAGTGAGAGTAGTAAAAGTAATCTCCCACTACAACCAGTAAAAGTAGTGAGAGTACCTATCCAGTAGCTCAGTAGTGAGAGTATCCAGTAAACAAGTGAGAGTAGTAAAAGTAATCTCCCACTACAACCAGTAAAAGTAGTGAGAGTACCTATCCAGTAGCTCAGTAGTGAGAGTAAACCAGTAAACAAGTGAGAGTAGTAAAAGTAATCTCCCACTACAACCAGTAAAAGTAGTGAGAGTACCTATCCAGTAGCTCAGTAGTGAGAGTATCCAGTAAACAAGTGAGAGTAGTAAAAGTAATCTCCCACTACAACCAGTAAAAGTAGTGAGAGTACCTATCCAGTAGCTCAGTAGTGAGAGTATCCAGTAAACAAGTGAGAGTAGTAAAAGTAATCTCCCACTACAACCAGTAAAAGTAGTGAGAGTACCTATCCAGTAGCTCAGTAGTGAGAGTATCCAGTAAACAAGTGAGAGTAGTAAAAGTAATCTCCCACTACAACCAGTAAAAGTAGTGAGAGTACCTATCCAGTAGCTCAGTAGTGAGAGTATCCAGTAAACAAGTGAGAGTAGTAAAAGTAATATCCCACTACAACCAGTAAAAGTAGTGAGAGTACCTATCCAGTAGCTCAGTAGTGAGAGTATCCAGTAAACAAGTGAGAGTAGTAAAAGTAATCTCCCACTACAACCAGTAAAAGTAGTGAGAGTACCTATCCAGTAGCTCAGTAGTGAGAGTATCCAGGAAACAAGTGAGAGTAGTAAAAGTAATCTCCCACTACAACCAGTAAAAGTAGTGAGAGTACCTATCCAGTAGCTCAGTAGTAAGAGTATCCAGTAAACAAGTGAGAGTAGTAAAAGTAATCTCCCACTACAACAAGTAAAAGTAGTGAGAGTACCTATCCAGTAGCTCAGTAGTGAGAGTATCCAGTAAACAAGTGAGAGTAGTAAAAGTAATCTCCCACTACAACCAGTAAAAGTAGTGAGAGTACCTATCCAGTAGCTCAGTAGTGAGAGTATCCAGTAAACAAGTGAGAGTAGTAAAAGTAATCTCCCACTACAACCAATAAAAGTAGTGACAACTGACAGTACCTATCCAGTAGCTCAGTAGTGAGAGTAACCAGTAAACAAGTGAGAGTAGTAAAAGTAATCTCCCACTACAACCAATCAAAGTAGTGACAACTGACAGTACCTATCCAGTAGCTCAGTAGTGAGAGTAACCAGTAAACAAGTGAGAGTAGTAAAAGTAATCTCCCACTACAACCAATAAAAGTAGTGACAACTGACAGTACCTATCCAGTAGCTCAGTAGTGAGAGTATCCAGTAAACAAGTGAGAGTAGTAAAAGTGATCTTTCTGGTCTCCGATACAGTCTTACATCAATGCTTGCAGCTGCATTCACTTCACTAATTTTGATTATCGGAATGCCTACGGTGTAATGATTGCAATGATTTCACTCAAAGTAACTGATTGCCTGTTCTAAGAATGCTTCCACTACCATATAGGCTGATGCAAATTTAGTACATCTCTATCCCGATTCACGCACCAGGGTTCCTCATAAGAGGCTGTCTCAACTTTCTTCAGTGGCATAGTCAAATATAGCTTTGTATAGGTCGGCCTTGTTGTGCTCTACAGTCTACACAGTGTCTGATTCAGATTTCTAATCTTCTGCTTCGTACATTATTTACGTTTGATAGCATTGATATGCTGTACCGTACAATGTGACGTTGGGTAAGCGGACGGTATCAATATCGTTGCGTTTGTCCTATCCAAACTTTTCTCTTGAGCCTCTGTTAGTGTTTAGGTTTTTGATCTGTAGAGCAATGACATCTATGGGTATGAAGGCCGAAGTTATATAATCAATTTAGAGCTTCCAATATAGTACAGTCAAATCCGTCCTAATTTAAGCCTTTGTCGGACAAAATTCGCAACAAAGCGATTTTAACGGGATATGGTCGGGACAGGTCCCAGGAATCATTCAAGAGAGTTCCCAAAAAAAAGACTTCAGGAAAATCCACAATTACCACTTTTCTACCACCTTTTTACCACTTTGGTTTTCCGCAAATAAGTCACGTTCTGAATATCCTAGAAGATTCTAGTTTAAAGCAGTGTGTCTAGAAAACAAATAAGAACAACTTTTTCTTTAACAACTTTTTCAAAAATAAATTATTTAATTAATTAATTAAATAATTAAACAATTTTAAAATATTTCAAAAAAATATTTTGATAAAAATGTTCACAATTACATTCCACGTATAATGAACTAATTTTTATAAAACTTTTGAAAATTTTCACTTTCAATATTTTGGACTTAAAAAATTTTCGAAATTAGTAAAGAATAACCACTATTTACCACTTTTTACCACATTGAATCTCCGCTAATAAAACGACTTCTGAATGTCGTAGAAGGTTTTAGATTGAACCAATGTGTTCAAAACATAAAAGAGAACAAGGTCAGAATTTCCTAAGTCACATTATTAATATTGTTTGCTTACATAAAGTCTATTTCAGACCCAGAAAGAGGAAGTATACGAGCTTATCGAACATGTGAAGGACAACATGGAATCTATTGAAAGTGTACTAGAGACTGGTAATATTTTTCTCCAAATTTGTCTGATGTGCAGTGTCTCCAGTCTCCACTCTCGGAAATGTCTACTCTTCTCAATCAACCTCTTCAATTCTCACATTTTGCGATATGCTGTAAAGTATTTTAGAGTTGATGTAATTTGAATGCTTTCTCTGAACCCTCAGGAGAGGATATAGGACTGAAGGAGATGAACAGATTCTCCTTGTACACAAAGCTAGTAAACCTCAAAACGCGGTGGACGCAGCTTGATCTCGACTGTCATCAGAAGATTATACAGATCGAGCTGAATATTATCTCTATTAAAGAGTACAAGTTACTTCAATGGCTTGTTAAGGTGAGATCTGCTGACAAATGCTGTCTCTCAACTTCCTATTAGTATTATCGATGGGCTTATAATAAATTAAGCCATAAAATCACCATTAAAAAGTTCTATGAATCTCTGTGACTTACCATTAATTAACAGCAAGAAGAGAGATTGACTGTCAACATAGAAATCCTAATTCGAGCGGAACTAGAAGAGATCCTGGCCATGTACAAAGAGTACAAGGTAAACTACGAGGAGGTTAGAGTCCTGTATCTGGAACTGAAGGACAAGGTGGACCTAGTTGAGAGAGAGGAGCTCGAGCGGGATATCCGGATTATTGAAACTCACTGGGTTAACGTTTACGAGCTCCTCATGTCTGCTTTTGCTGTTGTAAGTTGGCAGGTTTGTTCTAATGGTTTTTAGCACGTTTGTGATTGACTACAAATGTAGATTTGATTAAGTAATTTGGGAAAATGGGCCGGTTTATTTTAAGAATAAAGCTGTACTTGCCGTATGGTTGTAATATAATGTTTGCGTAGGTGTCTGCAAGAGAAGAGGCAGATAGTGAGTCCGAGGAGGAGGACACAGAGGAGGACAGTTCTAATGCTGGACGTAAAAGGGGCTTTGCCTTCAATGTTGAATTCGGGGTAAGTTATTTGGATAATTAATGTCGTACTTGGAAGGTTAACCTTGGAAATCTTAATCTCTCTCGATGCTCTTTACTTAAACTTTTCTTCAAAAGGAAGATGGGGAAAAGCCGATGGAGGCAATGGTTCCAGAGAAAGACGAGCCAGACATAATCATGGCACCTGAAATAATGGTAAACGTGGAGAACAAGCCGACCCTGGAATCTGCAGCGCCTGCTCCGCAAGCAATCGGCGGAGGTTGGGGTGGAGTTGACATTCCTGACATAAATATCAATGGTATGTAATTTAGTATGTCATTCACTGGGTGAATAATATACACACTGCTTTCAAATGGCTATGATTTCGAGACTAATGATAAGATCTCTTCAAGTTATACTTATGTTCCAAAGTGTGTGAAAATTATAATAATAAAATGAAAACACTAAATCAAAATGATGATAATTTGCTCAATCCAATAAATAACAACAATGAAACAAATAGTATTTTAAAATTCATTAGTTGCTCCTTCGTAAATATTGTTATAAATTTAAAAAACAAGGCGCCATTTTTAACTGAACCTGTATAGTGAATAGTCCATGAGTTAGTTCATTTAAGTGACCCCCATTATACATATTACTGACGTTCACCTCAGTTGAAGGAGGAAATGTAGCTATGACGAACTCTGCGGCCCCTGGAGCTGAGCGAATATCGGCATCCTCAGAACAAAAGAAGGAAGAAAGTAAAAGCATCAACAACCGTTTCAATGCTGGGGGCTACAACGGGTTCGGGGGTGGTGGGGTGCCTTTTCAGCTACCCATGTTGCCTCAGCTTCAGTACAATCAGAACGTGGGTAATCACACCTGTTGTGGGGGTAACAACTCAAATGTTACAGAGATCGACAGCTCTAAGTTCCTCTTAGCTATTGTTGGTAAGTCTAGTACATTGGTCTGAGGTCTGAGACCGGTTGGATTTGATCCAGTACGGACCTATTCTCAGCATAGGTTATCCGTAATTTATTTATTTATGGTCGGTTCACTGTTATAATAATATGTTGAAATGTGCGTTAAAAACAGATTATCTGCAGCTACCACTGCACGTTTAAAGGTTTAACATAACCGTACTAGATGTTTATAATGTAAACCTCTCAGATTTGAGATCGTGGATCACTAGTCATCTGCAAGAGTTGATGAACTACGATAACCCCGACATAGACGCCCAGTTACAATGGCTAACTGATCTTAACCAGGTATAACAAATTGATCTATTACTATAATTAAAACAGCATAATATTACTTGTAACAGTATATTTCTTGAACAGCTGATTGTTGAAAATTGTCCTCTTGATACCCTCATTATTCTGGTTGTACTTGTTTCAGGTATTGATGAACCAAGAGTTGACTGTACAGGATACCCATAACACGATTAAGATGATGTTACCAAAACTATCCTTGACTGCAAAAGATCAGCTAGTCTCTCAAATCGAGGGAATGTTGCATGATTTCAGTGAATTGAAGGTAAAGACCAGTCTGAAAATTTAAGAAAAATTTATTCATATAAATAACTCATTTAAAACATACTGAGCTTACTCCAGGTAAGGTCGAACTCTTCAAAAACAATTCATCTTTAATTTTGATTCGACTGTTTATGTTATGAAATAAATTTTACATCAAATTTAGTAAAGTCTTACAGTAAATTCTTTTCCAGAGCCTGGTAAATTCGAGACTGCTGGCAGTCCGAAAAACAAAGGGTGAATGTAATGACTTCGAAGACACCATGGCTGAGTTCGAAGAGGAGCTGATAGATGCTGAGGAAATATTTGACAAGATCAAAGGCAGGATCCACAATCTTGATGAAATCATCGTCAACATCGAAAGTTTGTTTGGTTGTTATCATTGTTTTTGTCTCGTTCGTATCTCAGCCGATAACTACTGTGAAATGTGGATTGACCACGGGAAAAGATTTCAACTACACAGTATACTTATTGCACTTCTGTTATTACTTTATTACACTAAATTCTGCTAAAAGCTAGAACATGAAAGTTAAACTCATTAAAACTACTAACTACTCGACTTCAGGTCTGGCTGAGCTGGAAGGTAAGCTGGAACTGTGGAGGAACCTGTTTGATAAGGGGGTAGAAGGTGCGGGGTGTCCTCCTTCTCTCCAACACAATACCCAGATCATTGCAGCTCAGTGGAGTGATTTGTTCGAGGGAGTTGCTGATTGTAAGATCATGCTCAAGTCTGCCCACCAACGTGTTGCTCAGGTAATCACAGTGGATTTTAACATTCACTGTTTATTATTTTGTACATGATTTCATCGATATCGGTTTGTTTATATCCGTATTACTTTCTGAATGTTAGAATTACAAACCATCCCATTTAGATCGAACTAGATTTGAAAGAAGTTCACGAGTGGCTGCAAATAAAAGAGTCCTCCATGAGCAGATCCAAATTGTACACAACTATACACGAGATGGAGATATCGTTCTCAACCGTGTCCCAGATAGGAATGGATGCTCAGAATAAAAGACTCTTCTTCGACCCACTCAAGTTTTCTGCGGTAAATTTCAAAAATGTTCAGTAAAATAACAAACCACCCATTATCAACGAACCAAACTTGTTTATGATTAATATTAATCACATTAATCAATAAATGTTTTTGCCATGAAACGGACCAAACTGATCCTAACTCATATTCCACTCATCATAGCATATTGCTTAAGCATGTACAAAGGGCATAACCTCAATCAGTTTAATGTAGTGAAATGACTGGTGTGGATGAAGTAGTGTACTAATACATGTTGGAGAGGATCAGGTAAGTTTAATCACATTAATGACCAATTATTTATTTATCGATTAATTATCTAATAATCAACCGCTGGACAGGTTGAGATGTTTACCGGAGTGTGTATGACGAATGTCAGAGAATTTTACTCCAGTCTGAGTACCAGAGTGGTTACATTGTGGCAAAACGCTGAGGATCTCTCCCTTACTTTTAGACAGAATATTAACCTTGTACATGACATTATCGGGAGCTGCGAGGTAAGTTACATTCATCGAGTCATTGAAATTATACATGATACGTTGAAATAATCAGAATCAAATAAAGAGCACATGAATGAGATTGTAATGTTAATGCATTAAAAGCAACTCGTATTTCTAAATTCGCCCCTTCATAGAAGCCGGATATTCTGTTTGACTCACCTCAAGTATGAAATGAAAATTGTCTGCATATGACTCAAATTAAAAATGATTGGTCGAAAGTCAAATGCCTGAAAATGTGTATCTCTCAGAGTTTTATCACTTGGGTGAAGATGGTCTCCGCCGAAGTAGATAGTATTGAGAAACCAGAGAACAGAGAAGACTCGGTCAAGTCCCTCTCGAAGTTGGACGACTACATTGATCTAGTTCCAGAGAGAGAGAGGGAGTTTGATACGCTCGTTGAAAGGGTCAAGGACCTAGATAATCTGGCTAGCAGCCTCATCATCGGACATATCAATCAGTCCTCTCAGGTATTAGCGTGTACTGGAATCAAGCTTAAAGATAAATAATTCGCAACATTGAAACTCATAAGCAGTTGGTTATAAGGTTTATGAACAAAAAGTAGCTTAAATTCGCAATTTGCTCCTTCATAAATATTTTTATAGATTTTTTTAAATGCAATATTTTTGACTCAGTAGATATATAATAACCGTCGCTCCATTTGCATCATCAATGTTCGATATTGAATATTTATATAAACATGGTAATTGATCTAATAGCTCGACTCGATTTCAGGAGTTCAACTTGCTGAAGATGTTGCTAAAGAAGAAACACTCCATAGTTTCCGGCCTGGTGACCCACTATTCCGCCGAAGAAGGCCTTTTAAAGAAGATCCAGGACGCTCTTCAAGAAGCAGAGAAAGTTCTCAACTCTCCCATGCTTATCCCTTGCAATATTGAGGGTAAAACATCCGCTTTTTCGATTTCTACATAAATAGTATCTTAGTTACTTTTATCAACGATAAATGCAATATATACTCAGCCGGGACTAAATGTATGATACTGTCTGCAGGTCTTGGTGCGATAAATGAACAGTACAGTGACATCAGCAAGCAGTTAGAACGTACTAAAGAGATGATAGAGAACATAGCTCAGCACAGTCCCGAGTTAGCCGCCCAGCTAAGGGAGCGATGTGGTCATGCTTCCAACGAGCAGCACAACATTTCCCTGAAAGTTGGAGAAGCTTTGGGATCCCTTAAATCTCTCCACCAACAACTCGAGGAGATGATCGAATGGGAAGATCACATGATTAAAAAGATTGGGGAACTGAATATTCCTACTGGGAGCAAAGATGAAGTTAGTGCACTTTAACCTATTGTTATTTTACGATCTCCTCCCTTTCTTTAACATAATCCAGATCGGAAGACTGGTGTTTCAATTTTCGGTGTGTTGTTTGGCACAAGGAACGATCTGTTGAAATTAACATATACAGTTAGCTCTCAATATTTCCCAGGTTCTGGATCTGGAAGAAAAGATCAAGGAAATCGGCACGAAGATCGAACGCCAGGAAATGACTTACAACCGACTGGAGGACAAGACCAACAATGTCATGATCCAGTTCGAGTTGGGGACCGGAGAGGAGATCGAGGAGAAGCTAGTTCAGATGCAGAACCTTTGGAGGGAAATCACCGGGGTAACTGCTGAACACAAGTTAGAACTCCTTGTTGTATGCCGTGTGTGTATTATGTCCATTTAAGTCTGTGACTTTCAGTTATTTGTCTGTCAAATGAAGAGGTTTCCCAAAGTCTCAAATTGTAACTTTACTTTCCTTCGCTGTGCCAAAATGTTGGTTATTCGTTTTAACAATGAATGTATTTCAGGAGTCGAGTCGAGAAGGCAATGTTCCATTTTGATACATTTGACTCTACAATAATGAACCACGAGGCCTTCCTGCAGTCGCAACAGAGTCACTTCAATTTCATCAAACAGAACCCAGAGAATGAGACTGCAAAAGAACGGTATGATCATTAATGTTACTTCTGCATTGAAAGAGAAAAGGAGCGCTGCATCGTGCCGAAAAAGTTGCAGAACAATTATTTTAGACTTAATAATTTGTTAAATTACTGCAATATTGATGATGTAAGATAGGTTTTGTTTCGATTTAACATTGCTTTATCCAGGAATGAGAAGTTACGCGAGGAGCTGAACAACTCCTCCCTGTTGGATGACATGACATACGCTCTCACCCAAATGAAAGAGATGTTTCCTGATGTCAGTGTAGCGGACGAGTTCGCAAAGCTACAGACAGTTAAAAGGTAGGAATCACGTGATATTTAAGGCTCCTTTCTGTGTTTGTTGTTATTTTACAGAATCCCTAAAAATGTAACAAGCTATTAAATATCGTGAACGTTTTCACCAATACCAGAGTTTTACAAGCCCACACCACAATTCTCAGCCACCAAGAGGCGTTTGTGAGTAAAGTAGAGGACCACAGCAAGCATATAGAGGACCGTATAACAGCGTCAGTGTACGAGAATATCCCAGTTCAGGCCCTGATGGACTGGGTTAAGGAGACGAAGGAGAAGGAAGTACATGATCTGGAGGACAACATGCCCGGGTCACTGGAGGAGTGTGAGATGGAGCTGGATAATCACGAGGTAATTTACCACGTGCTCTGGTTCTGGTCACTTTCCTCAACCTCTGACTTACCACTTGTTCTGGTTCTGGTCACTTTCCTCAACCTCTGACTTACCAGGTGTTCTGGTCAGTTTCCTCAACCTCTGACTTACCACGTGTTTTGGTTCTGGTCACTGTCCTCAACCTCTGACTTACCACGTGTTCTGGTTCTGGTCACTTTCCTCAACCTCTGACTTACCACGTATTCTGGTTCTGGTCACTTTCCTCAACCTCAGACTTACCGCGTGTTCTGGTTCTGGTCACTTTCCTCAACCTCTTACTTACCACGTGTTCTGGTTCTGGTCACTTTCCTCAACCTCTGACTTACCACGTGTTCTGGTTCTGGTCACTTTCCTCAACCTCAGACTTACCACTTGTTCTGGTTCTGGGCACTTTCCTCAACCTCTGACTTACCACGTATTCTGGTTCTGGTAACTTTCCTCAACCTCTGACTTACCACGTGTTCTGGTTCTGGTCACTTTCCTCAACCTCTTAATTACCACGTGTTCTGGTTCTGGTCACTTTCCTCAACCTCTGACTTACCACGTGTTCTGGTTCTGGTCACTTTCCTCAACCTCTGACTTACCACGTATTCTGTTACTGGTCACTTTCCTCAACCTCTTAATTACCACGTGTTCTGGTTCTGGTCACTTTCCTCAACCTCTGACTTACCACGTGTTCTGGTTCTGGTCACTTTCCTCAGCCTCTTACTTACCACGTGTTCTGGTTCTGGTCACTTTCCTCAACCTCTGACTTACCACGTGTTCTGGTTCTGGTCACTTTCCTCAACCTCTGACTTACCACGTATTCTGTTACTGGTCACTTTCCTCAACCTCTGACTTACCACGTGTTCTGGTTCTGGTCACTTTCCTCAACCTCTGACTTACCACGTGTTCTGGTTCTGGTCACTTTCCTCAGCCTCTGACTTACCACGTGTTCTGGTTCTGGTCACTTTCCTCAACCTCTTACTTACCACGTGTTCTGGTTCTGGTCACTTTCCTCAACCTCTTACTTACCACGTGTTCTGGTTCTGGTCACTTACCTCAACCTCTGACTTACCACGTGTTCTGGTTCTGGTCACTTTCCTCAACCTCTTACTTACCACGTGTTCTGGTTCTGGTCACTTTCCTCAACCTCTGACTTACCACGTGTTCTGGTCACTTTCCTCAACCTCTGACTTGCAAGCCGCGTTAATTGTGCCTCGTTAAACTGAATTTCTACATTCTGGCTTTTAGAAATTCCTTGATTGTGCTCTAGTTTACATATAATCTTATTTGAAACTAAAACAATCTCACCTCAGAAAATTCTGCAAGAGTTGGCAGCTAAGCAGAAAGAAATCATCAAAGCACAAAGCGAGGCGGAAAAGTTGTTCCAAGAAAAAGGGTTTGATCCAGGTGTCCAAAAGCTGGCAGAGGAGATGAAGCTGCTTCAGGAACAGTGGGACGATGCTACACAGGTTAACATAACATATTGTATAAATGGCTCTTGACATGAGATAATAAGTGGGTTTTGTAAATTTCACCAACTGAAAGTACATTAAATACTGGTGTGCACTGTGCATGTATACTATTATATTGATCTGAAACAGACTAGAAGACAACAGTTTCCACCCCCAGCTGATAACGCAGAGACAGAAGCTTCTAGAAGAGAGACTGGTGACTTTAGGAGCTCTGTCAGACGATATAGAGGATCAGTTCTCCTGGTTAACCCAGACGAGACGGTTGATAGAGGAGGCTGAGGAACCCTCCACTGAGCTCCATTGTCTTATTGAGGATATCACTTCTATCAAGGTGGGTGCAGCTGTTTTAGAGTTTTAGTCAGATCGTCCACTTTGAGGTAATATTGGATTAGGGATCAGATCGCCTACGATCACATTTTGACTTAATAGTCCAGTCATTTAAGGACAGCTGCCTGCAAATCTTCAGATACTCACGAAACTTTGCACAGACCTTCCTCAAGGTATGAATAAACGATTTTCGGTTGGAGACATTTTTTTACCGTAGGGAAAACCCAGGAGGGCCACGCCCATATTGACCCAATAACGTAACTGACCCTTTGCTTCTAAAGGTCGTAGAGACTTCAAAATAGGCTTAAACGAAGCCGCATATGCATGTTTATATAGGAGTTATTGATCACTACATGGCCTAAAATCCTTGCTTTTCGAGAAATTCGCCAAAAACCATTTTGGGCGTGGCGCTGAGCCCATTTTACTAACTTTTGATAGGATTGTGATAGAGTCTTCGGATAGAGTGCAAAAGAACTGCAATTGGCATATTTATAAATTATATATGACTTACGAAGAAACATATGCCTTAAAGTGCTTACTGTTTCAGTTATTGGCGAAAAACTGATTTTCGGTTCCAGAAATCATGCAAAAATATGGGTATCTGGTAAATTGGGCTATGAAGGCCCTAGAGATTTTTTAATGAGTGCAAATTGTGCAGAATGGCCATGTTTACATACAATTTATGAAGGAACATGTACCCAAAATGCTTACTTTTCGAGTTATTAACATAGAACGGGAGGCAAAAATGGCTGATAAAACCAATTTTGCTCTAGTATTTGTGCAAATTTTCTCTGTTTTTTCCCCAAATAACTCGAAAAGGAAGCATTTTAGGGTACATGTTGCTTCATAAATTGTATATAAACATGGCCATTCTGCACAATTTGCACTCATTTGAAAATCTCTAGGGCCATCATAGCCCAATTTACCAGATACCCATATTTTTGCATGATTTCTGGAACCGAAAATCAGTTTTTCGCCAATAACTGAAACAGTAAGCACTTTAAGGCATATGTTTCTTCGTAAGTCATATATAAATATGCCAATTGCAGTTCTTTTGCAATCTATCCGAAGACTCTATCACGATCATATCAAAAGTTAGTAAAATGGGCTCAGCGCCACGCCCAAAATGGTTTTTGGCGAATTTCTCGAAAAGCAAGGATTTTAGGCCATGTGTTGATCAATAACTCCTATATAAACATGCATATGCGGCTTCGTTTAAGCCTATTTTGAAGTCTCTACGACCTTCAGAAACAAAGGGTCAGTTACGTTATTGGGTCAATATGGGCGTGGCCCTCCTGGGTTTTCCCCACGGTAAAAAAAATGTCTCCAGCCGAAAATCGTTTATTAATACCTTGGGGAAGGTCTGTGCAAAGTTTCGTGAGTATCTGAAAATTTGCAGGTTCATTTGCATAAATGTCCATAAATGACTGGACTATAATATTTGGCTGTGTGATTGAATAAATAGGGTTCCCATGCTTATAATGGCCATAATAAATCTGGATTATCTATCTGTGATCTGTTGCTATACAGTAACTGCCCCAAAGTCCTAATGTATTTCAACTATTGCTCAGATTTTGCATTGGAATTGGGATGTGATAGCCGATGTAACATAAAATATTTCGGTTCACGGTATGTGAAATGTATAGATTTTAAACTTATCGTACACTCAAAGTTACACTCAAAATAACAAACTGCGTCTCGGACTATACTGTTAATGAGTGTAACTGTAAGCTTGTCCCGGTCCCCTGACTGATCTTTACGAATCATCTGCGCTACATCGGGTACGAGATCGTATCACGTTTATTATATCAATACGATTCTTTACTTTGTTCTTAACTTTATTCAGTTTGCTCGAATTGTGCTTAAATTACTGACAAATCCTCTCTGAAAATATCGTTATAACTATAAGCGCAACTAATATTCTATGATAAGGCTTATCTACCGAGCGATAAGCAATAAAATATTGCAAATTTCAAGTTGAGTCAAGGTTACTCCATTTCTATTTTATTCTCGCTTTTACCTTTGTAATGTTACAATTATAGTATAATTTTGCTTAATGGTTTTAAATTTTTTTCATCATCTGTTCTTTTTTTAGGCGATGCTCGCATGTTTGATTTTTTTTTCTAATCTTATCTTACATTTTATGATAAGGCTTATCTACCGAACGATAAGCAATAAAGGTTGCAAATTTCAAGTTGAGTCACAATTACTCCATTTCTATTTTATCCTCGCTTTTACCTTTTTAATGTCACCATTATTGTATTAATAATTATTAATTAATATTTTGCTTAATGGTTTTAAATTTATTTCATCATCTTTTATTTTTTTAGGCGATGCTCGCATGTTTGATTTCTTTTTTCTAATCTTATTTAACAATTTGTTTCATGACTATCTTTACGATTACAGATTTGAGCTGTCAATATCTTTGTAGAATGTTTTTTGTTTAATTTCGTAGGCCAACTGTTCGATATTCTATCCTAACTAAACCCTCCCAATAGTTAGTGTTGTATCCTAAACTTCGAACTAATCTCAACACTATCAAAATCCAAAATGGTCAACAAGGTAATAATATTTCTCATTAATTCGTCTGCTTTTATGTTCATTGCTTTTGTTTGAAAAGAACCCTGTTAAATCACAAACTCTGATTTTCACCATCAAATCTACACCACTTATCATTACTGGAGATTAATTTCTAGGCTAAATTTCTATAAGGCTAAATTCAAATTATGTATTGATTTTTCACAGGACGAAGGTTTCGAGGATCAAGTTAAGTGCGATGTGGCTATTGTTGGTGGTGGGGTATCCGGGCTATACTGTGCGATGAACCTGATGACTGATCCCCGCACAGTCGACCGTGGTATCAAGAATATCGTCCTTCTGGAAGGTTCCGACAGATTTGGTGGACGATTCGACCTTGACTCGGTGAACGATGCTTCCGGCATCTTCCGCTTTGCTTACAAGGACCCGAAAAGTGATGAGATCTCGCACATGCCCCTCATGTCGCAACTAGTTACAGATTTGGGAATGCAGGATGACGTCGTCAAGGAGACGGTTAGCACAGAAGATACTTCCGTGGGTTATTTTGGAGGGTGTCATGTGACCAATCTTGATGTAAAGCTTAACCCGACCATTTGGAAGGACCTGTTTCACTTGAAAGACGGCGAGGAGATCCGCTCAGTTGACGACGCTGACATCGTCATCTACAAGAGGCTTCTGGAGCACAACAAAGAGAAGCTGAAAGATAAGTATCCTAACCGTGCAGCTATTATCCTAGCTCAGAAAGACCAGAAAAGTCTTCAGGATCCTGACTTCTGGACCTTCTTTAAAAACGAGCTAACGTGGCCCATTGGCTCACAAGAGGTTGCTCTTAGAGATCTCCCTATGTCTACATTGGTCTCAGTTATGAAGTTTTCTCCGAGTTTCTCTTGCTTGATGGACACCAAATCCTCTTCCAGAGATGCCGGAACGTACTTACAAAATCAAATGAGCATGAAGATGCTTACCACAGAATTTTACCACCTTAACAGCGGATGGACTTCAATGATCAACAAAATAGAGAAACAACTCTTAGACCTTGACGGTACAAACGGTATTAACATCAAACTTCGTCGTAACTGCTGCGCTAACAAGCTGATGGTCATGAAAGACGAAGCAGAGCCAATCTATCTGGGGTTTGAGGAGGGCTCCAAAACTGCAGTCATGGCAGCTGACAAGGTCATCATGGCTGTACCCCCGCCAGCTGTTGAAAAGATCAGCCTCCGTTTGGGTGACACCGAAACTTACAAGGCGGGATGTGATGCCATCAAGAAGATGTGCAGCAAGGTGTCCGGAGAAGACATGACTTTCATCAACCTCTTCTTTAAATCTGACTGGTGGAACAAGGAAGGAGACCCAAAGATGACAGGTCCGAGTTGTTCAGATCTTCCTTGCTCCATAATCTACCCATTCTACAGTTCCTGCGCAAAGAAAAGCTGTTCAGGCTGCAAAACCTGTTCAAATGATCCTTCTCCAGTTGGACTTACCATCCTCAGTAGAAGGAAGAACGCCGAGTTCTGGGCTTCTCTTCAAAGAATTGGCAACCCCTACAATCTATGTACAATAAAGAACCCGGAACTCACACCGACCTCCGAAGCTGTTGTAGATGTGGCGATGGACCAGCTAAAGGAGATTTTCAGACGAGGCGTGCCTCCACAACCGGTAATGGCAACGTACAGACGTCTTGACAAGGATAGCAAGTACGGTTATCCCTCGTACTGCTGGAAAGTGGGAGTGGTCGGGAGCGAGCTAGAGGGCCCCAAACCCATACCGGACAGGAACTTGTACTTCTGTCATGACGCTTGGAGCGATTATCAGGGCTGGGTCGAGGGGTCACTCAGGTCTACTAAGAAGGTTGTAGAGAGAGTCCTGGAGAAAAGTGATTGATTCGAATTCAAAGTTTTCACGTGGATTGTATTGTTTGAAATTCCATATTTTTGCAAAATGAGCCATTAAGTTGTGAATATTTATTTATTTTAATTAATGTTTTGAATATTTTATAATTCTTTAAATCATTTGCACCAATATTTTCTTTACTGTGTCTTCCGAAGAGTGAATAATCAAAATAAATAACAAAAATAACGCAGAAAACAATTGCAATCGCTATAAAAGGGCCCTATAAAAGAGGTCAGGGATCATGCAGTTGTGATTTTTGAAAGGTTGAACAATTTGTTTCCTAGCAATCAATTATCTTTTAGATGGTAGTTTAAGTCAGCGGATCACAGATAGTCGCTCGAAAGAATGAGGCTGTGTCTGAGCTGGGGTGCTTATATCTTAAATCTAGAAAACAGGAATATAAAATAATCAATGACGAATTTATTACTATCTATCTGAGACAAACATCTGCTATTCAGTATTTTCATAATAACATCTTACCATCATATTTGTCGAGCTAACTCTCATTTTTACCAGAACATTCGAAGTGACGTTGGGGACCACGGTCAGGACGTAACTGACGTGTGCTCCAAGGGTCACGAGGTCCTCTCTACCAGTAAGAACACAGACAAGGTCTCTGCAAGACTCAGGGATCTTACTGATGCGTGGCAGGAGTTAAATGATGTTGCCAGGGACAGACACATCCTGCTTCAGAACGCGCTTCAGGTTCGAACTTAAGTTTAAAACCAATTTTTCTGACTGTTTTTCTGTATTCGTAATTATGAAAATAGCCATCCAGATGATATTCCATACAAATGCATTACTTGCAGATGCTTCAAAAAGCTGGAGAGTCGGAGACTGATTCGCTGTATAACTGGGTAAAGGAGGTATCAGATAACCTGGGTCCCTCTGCCCTCCCTCCCAACTTCACCTCGGAAGATTTACAAGAGATGGCTGTTCATGTTCAGGGAATCAGTAAGTAACGTGTTTTCATCATACTTACTAGAATTTATAAAGGTTAACACAGCTTTAATTAAATTCGCCGGGAAATTTTTATTAAACGATCGCCCACGCATCTTGGCGCGTCGAAACTTCTAGTTCTATTTTGAAACCCCTTATTTTGGTACCATATTAAATAATATTATATCGTTTCATGCTCCTATTAAAAAGTAACGTCATGTCTACAATTAGTTTTTTTCATAATTCTGTAATTTAGGAGCGAGCACAGATCAGAAACTGGAGGAGCTAAATGCACATATAAACATGATGAAGGGTAAAGGGCCTCTCAAGGGTAAGACAAAACGTCTGGAACAATCCTTGACGCACACTTTGAAGAAGCTAGCCGACCAGGAAGCGTAAGTTTCTGATCAATATTATTTCTCCTGCCGTTTAAATTAAAGAGACAGCAAATTTGAGTTTTTTAATAATTGACAGGACGTCTTGACAAATAGAGCAAGACAGTTTGTTCAACATTACGATTCATGATCTCTAGGAAATAATAGGTTACCAACTAACAAAATTTGTTACCCAGGTATCTGCGAGACCACCAGGAGATACAGGTGCAGCTGGATAACCTGAAGGAACTGCAGTCTTGGCTGGACCAGAGTCAGGCTATTGTTGAGGAGCTCAGCTCACTAGACTCCATGGAGCCTGATCAGGTTGGTGGCTGATTCTTCAGTTAGTTGCAAAGTGTACGACCTCCTTGGACAGCCATATTAAACCATCCCATATTTGTATTCTACGAAATCAGAACAGTCTCCATAACATTGGTAAAGGCCAGTTTGCTCTTCTTTGTAACAACTTGACAATCCCTCTGTGCAGGTGAGGACAGCAGTGGAGTGTTACGAGCAGCTGAAATCAGACCTAGACATACACATAAAGGACATGGACTCTCTGTCCGGTATACCCCCGGAGTGTATACCCTGCAACTACCGGAGTGCTCTGAAGGAGGTGCTGGAGCAGTGGGAGGAGCTCGTCCAGGATGTCAACGACAAACAGGTGCCATACCTCCAGCTCCATCATACCAAGGACTTGTTTTATTCTAAATGAAAAATAGTGTACACAAACTTTCGCTTTTGAAACGTTTTGGCGCTATAATCAATATATTAATATCATTAAATATTTCAACAAAAAAAGGCGATTGACGTCATTGATGATAATACAGATAATAGAGCGCCTCAAAATTGTGTCACATGATACGTAATCCGCTTATTTTACCATATCTTATTCAGGTTGATATGGGTGAACTGAGTGGAGCTCTCTACTCGTTTGACGACAGTCTACCTTATCTTATATCAGTAAAGGACGACCTTACGGTGAAAGTATCAACCATCTCATCTGAAAACTTCAACATTGACGAGGTGCGTGCTTAAACGTTGACGTATTAAAGTATTAAGTATATTAAGCTTCACTTATGTTACAGCTACGAATAAACAATGTTAAGGTTGAAACAGAAGGATTAGATCTCATGTAGTAAGTAGTTCGTCCAGGAAGGGGAGTTTGTCTTGTATCAAATATGCAAACTTTTTCGTTGATGTCTGGAATGTCGATGCACTGCAAGTGCAAACACAGAAACAGTAGAACTATATTTAAATCGTGCTTATCCTGCAGATATCGATGAAGCTGCAGCAACACAAACTGATATCTCGAGAGATAACCAAACTGGTGAACTCTGAACCCTCTAGGAATCTAGAGAGAATACTTAACAGTGTCAACAAAGTAAGCATTCCTTAGCAATTTAAAACCTTTATTGTTACATAATTAGCTCCTGAACTCTGAACAGTTAAACTAGATATCTACATGATTCTACATGTCCTACCAGAGTGGTTTGAACTCTGAACACAAATAACACTCATTATATTACACGTGACCATTAAAAGCCATAACGTCGGATGAATAACCTCTGATATCTTAGATTCTGGGGTGCGACAACGTGTTCTCACAAGAGATAGCCACGTTCCGTGCACAATGGGAGATGTTTGTTGACACAGTTAATGATCAGAGGAACTCTCTCACAGAGGAGAAGTTGGAGTGGAAACAGTTCAACGATAGCTGCTCTTCTAAGATGACCTGGATTAAGGAAAGGTAAATACTTTAATAACGAGAACTTGAGGTCCTTCTGGAGTTTCAGATTTTGTACTTTATGTATTTGATAGCGCTCAATCATTTAACTTGTGATACTTTTATAACATCATAGTATCTACAACTGACAATTCTCTCTAAATATTTGAATCATCCCAGACAACTAGAAGTGGATGATATAATCCGAGAGTGCGAGGGTGGTGGTAACGAGAACCTTCATCAGAATATGGAGACCCTTAGAGTTTTATCTAAATCTTTTGGCCTCTACGAGGAACAGATTCAACAGGTATACTGTTAAAACACTTTCATTATTGGTTTTCAAGTTTCAAGTATTGTACAAGTAAAAAGTAAAGAAACTAATCGAAATTGAGAATGATACAAAAATCAGAAGTTGTAAATCAGCCTTACGCCTCTCAGTTTAATTGAAGAGTTTTCCTCCTCCTCACTACCCAACAACCCACATCAGGTATCTGAAAATTCACACAAGTTTACCAAGAGCATGGAGTCACAGTTGGAGAACCTAAAGAAAGCCTGGTTACAACTGGGAGACAAGATGGAACAGGCTAACAACCTTCTGGATTGTTCTTACAATTCTGATAACTTCTCACAGTCCCTCCAGTCCCTCTTCCAGTGGCTCGGTGATACGGTCAGTGTTACTATTGTGAACCTCATTTTACTCTCAAGGGAATTAATCCTTCCTAATTGCGATTTTTATACTCTTAATTTTGTTTTGTGTCATTCAAAAAACTCCTTATTAGGAATTTTCATAAAATTATCTTGACACCACCTTTTTGCAGGAGCAATTACCGGTACTTTCTTCCATCATACCGAAGGACCTGGAACTGTTAGACAAGGACACAGAGTCCCTGAAACAGCTGTTTACTGAGCTAGAGAAACACGCTGAGAAAGTGGAGGAGCTAGTTGAGATGGATACCGGGACTAGTGAAAAGTTTCTTGTGGACCAGGTTTTACTGAAGTTTCTTACTTCCTCGGCTAGATCATATTAAAATGATTCCAATTTCCAATCACAACCGTCGGGAATTTACTGCACACAATCTGTTTAACCACATGGTTGATTTAAGCTAATGCCAACCACCTGGAAAACAGTTTATGTCCATTAGACGAGTGTCGCATCGTTTTTTTACGCAAGTTATCGAACAGTTCCAACTAAGGTACCCTTCCCACCCTTCCCAACATTAGATTTGAAGTATCGTGACGTACTTTGACGTATCATGATTACAGGTGGAGTTGTTGGAGCAGAGGTGGAATAATATATGTGATATAGCGGCCGCCAGAGAAGAGGAGATGAAAGCTATCAGGACCCAACTGGAGGGTTATGAGGCGGAGTTCGGCCGGGTTCAGACCTGGCTTGATACCCAGGAGAACAAACTCACCTCCATGCGGGTTTGTAACTTTTCTACATCTTATCTGCAAGTTCCAGTTGCCCTGTGAGGCCAACTATAAAGTGAGAAGTGATTTATTTCATAATCTAAGGAAGCGTAACTGATTTACAAACAATAAAATTGTTGAGAATAACAGTCAATGTACCAAATCAGGGGCAGGTTAGCAGCGAATCTATGTTGGAACAGCATCTTGGTGACCTGGATGAGTTTTTGAAGCTAGAGACCTTCGCTCAGGCTGAGTTGATGGGTCTCCGAGAGGCTGCTAAACGGTACTTTAGACTTTACTTACTTTTGTAGTTGTACAATATCAAACCTTATACATTTCACTCTGATATTTTACCTCATAATATTTTAACTTCATCGCGCATCCTCGAGAGACTGATAATTGTTAAACCGTACTAAACACCACGACATCAACTTTAACACGACTTTCCGCGAAAACTGTGAGAGATATACTATTGAAACTTTTTTTGGTTGGGTCGAATGCTTTTTTGGCCAGTCCTAATATAATGCCTTATATGTATTATCATGTATTCTCATGTATTCTCATGTTATAAACCTACAAAATTGTCAAATAAAATCCATATTTTTACCGTACGGAGCTAGATAATGAAGAGAAATTATAACATAACTGATTTTAAATATTTCCCCGAATAAAGCTTTCCACTTCTTGCATAAGGTATTAATATTATATACATTTCAATAGCGATTTATTTGCGTCCCATGGTAGCTGTACTGGCAGGAATCATGATAAGGAAAAGGAAACGTTGTAGAGTAGGTAGGTGAGACAGTGGGAGCAGGCGTGAAAACAGATTCTGCAGGATGAGACATGCGGGATGCTGGCTGGTTCATGGAGAAGGCACTGGGAAGTAATCTGGAACTGGAAAGAGAGGAGCCAGCGAAGTTCAGAGGCTTCACGAAAGGTAGAGGCTTAACAAAAATGGGTCCTCCAACGCTACTGTTGTGGAAGTAATTCGAAGCCTGACCGCTTTCATGAACAAAATGTGATTTCTTTTCAATATCGTTCCGCTGATACAGTTTTTTTCCGGTATGACACCGCCGATGTTTAAGCAGGTCTGATTTTTGTCTTGCACTGTAGGAACATTCAGAGCATTTATACGGTTTTTCACCGGTATGAATCCGCTGGTGTATAACCAGGTATGATTTTAGCCTTGCACTGTAGGAACATTCAGAGCATTTATACGGTTTTTCACCGGTATGAGTCCGCTGATGTTTAAGCAGGTTTGATTTTTGGCTTGCACTGTAGGAACAATCAGAGCATTTATACGGTTTTTCACCGGCATGAGTCATCTGATGGCAAACCAGAGATAATTTGTGGTTTGCACTGTAGGAACATTCAGAGCATTTATACGGTTTTTCACCGGTATGAGTCCGCTGATGTTTATGCAGGTTTGATTTTTGGCTTGCACTGTAGGAACATTCAGAGCATTTATACGGTTTTTCACCGGTATGAGTCAGCCGATGTTTAAGCAAGTTTGATTTTCGGCTTGCGGTGTAGGAACATTCAGAGCATTTATACGGTTTTTCACCGGTATGAGTCATCTGATGGCAAACCAGAGATAATTTGTGGTTTGCACTGTAGGAACATTCAGAGCATTTATACGGTTTTTCACCGGTATGAGTCCGCTGATGTTTATGCAGGTTTGATTTTTGGCTTGCACTGTAGGAACATTCAGAGCATTTATACGGTTTTTCACCGGTATGAGTCCGCCGATGTTTAAGCAAGTTTGATTTTCGGCTTGCGCTGTAGGAACATTCAGAGCATTTATACGGTTTTTCACCGGTATGCATTTGCAGTTGCTGATGCGAAACTAAAGCTGTTTTTTGGCTTGCACTAATGTAAGCATTTTCGCTGGTATGAACCCATAATTGGTGTCGAACTAATACTGATTCCTGATTGGGACAATCCAACTGAGAAACAGAATTCGAATACACTTCTGCTTTAATAAGAAACTTGTCTTCCTCCTTTTTAATCTCTGTCTTGATCAATTCTGGTGGAATACTTTCTTCTTCCATCTTCATCTCATCTTTAAAGTCTGGTACATTTTGCTGCTCCATTTCACTAGAAAGTTAAAGAATTGACTAAAGTTGCCGTTTAACAATCGTCACTAGAAAACAAAATGAATATAAGTTCCAGATATCTCCTCTGTACTATAAAACAAAATGAATATAAGTTCCAGATATCTCCTCTGTGTGGGTTTTTGAGTTTTTGAGGATGTAAGTATTAGGCGAGGTATCAGATCTTATACTCCGGAGAGAGGGTACGTCTGTTGATTTTAGTTCAAAAGGGGACAAGTTAGACTAGTTTATTTACAAAGACGAGTTGGATCAAAATAAGGACAAAGTCAAAATTATCTTTTACTAGATTATGTTCACACAAAATAGTACTGTATTGCACTAAGCTTTTTGGGTCAGAACACGCCATTAAATAGATTTCTACATTCCACGTTCTTCGCGCTAAAACATGCTGTATTAAGCGTCCAATTAAGAACAATGTCAAAGAAATCATTCTTTCATTCATGTATGTATCTTCACGCGATCTGATAACCTTCATAAATCTAAATTTTTAAGGGAAAAAAACAAGATTTTAAATACGTAGTGTTAAAGTATAAGTAACACTGAAGATATAAAATAAACGAAGAAGGTTACCAAATTGGATACAGGTTCGACTTAAGGTTAACAAGGTATTTCTGATAATGCTGATATGTTTCTGCTATGAACAGATTTCTGTTATGAAACCTGTTATGAAATCTGTTATAACAGATTTCTGTTATGAACCAAACTAAAGCTCTATTATGAGTGTGAACTGTGAGTGAGAGCTTTGCTTACCACCAAATTAATGCGGTATTATTCTATGAGTTCGAAACAAAGGCAGCACATCTTACCAAGGTAACGCGTGATGTAAAAAGAGGATCATAGCGTAACCGAGTGTAGCTGTGTTCAGCTTGGCGTTACGTTGTAATTATGTAGTTGAGTGTATGTACAGTAATTATGTAATTAAGTGTAATAATCTTAACAAAGCATGCCTTGAGAAAGGTTTAGTGTGCATATAAGATTCATGTCAGTTTGTTCACAAATGATATGCATGTGCAGTAAGGATTGCTCTCGTGCAGGCAACATCAGGTTAAGGTTTATCTACCTATGTTACAAAGCACACCTCCCCAGGTTACACGGAGACAGTCTACCCCACAAAGTGAGCAGTGCACTGAACAAGAACTCACAGCGATGGAACACCTTGTGCCAACAAGCCAAGTCTACTAAAGTTAACCTCCAACAACGGTCAGTTCAAAACTAACAAATTCTTATTCATGTAAACTCTAATTGATATTCCAGATATTATGTTGACTGAGTAATTTTCAGCTTGAGAAGCAAGATCGAAAGGAAATCACGGCACGTGCGTATTCGCAATTTTTTTAAAAATCTGAGGAAATTTGCGCATTCTCCTTTAAATCCGAAGGCCAAATATCACGTTCTTTATAAAATTATAAGTATATGGAACCAATCACATCCACAGCCTTCCGAATGTAGGTACGGACTTCAGAAGACCGAAAAATATTTTCGGCTCATAATGATCAAAATAGCATGAAATATGAACAAAAGTAGTTTCAGGAAAAACTTCCAAAATCGTATATCGAGAGGTAGGTACGGACTTCAGAAAACCGAAAAAATGTGTTAGGATCATAATGATCAGGGTAGCACTTTCACAAGCATTTCTTAACCCACTCGGCTGCTGACGTAGCATTGTTAGCCAAAAACTTCCCAATTTCCCTAAAACTTAGACATAAAAACTTACGTAGACCACTAGACATAAGTTTACCACTAGACATAAAGTTAACCACTAGACACCCTAATCAATGTCTGGAAAACTGCAAACATTCAGAAGACTATACATAGAGGCCCTCTTATGAACAAAGGCAAAGATGAGGAAATAATACAAGGATAATACAAAGATAATACTAGGATAATACAAGATAATACAAGGACAATACAAGGATACAAGGATTCAAAAGTGATGATTACTTTATTGAGTACACAATAGTTGTAATTCTGAAATAATTTAAGTTACACAATTCTAATTATTTACAAATGTGTAGGAATAATTTAGAAATGTTTTATAATACGAACACAATATGGAGAAAAACTCATGAGGGTTCAGGGTATTGCCTCACGTTGTAGGCACATACGAGTGTGCGGCTGTATATCGTGACTTTCACCCCGACACCATCAAGTGAAACGACGATGGTGGTCACAACCTGATATAATGAGGGTGAAGGAAATATTTCTACGAACATAGTGATAGTGAAAACTTATAATACAAAGGATGCCACAATGCTGGCAACATGCCACCACCTCTAAGTCGCCCACAAAAAGCCACTGAGCTGCAAAATTTTGCCACTACTCGATAGAATTAAAGATGTTAAGTGATTTAAACCTCATTCTGTCCGATAACCATAATGATAATATGCCATAGGACTACTTGTTCCACGTGCCTAAGAAAACTTGTTCGCTTGAAGAACCGTGGAAATTTCTTCGAATTCGCTGCGATTTTCGAGATTTTCGCCGCGATTTTGGCTGTCGCGGCGCCGCGATTTTTGGCCTTAGTAATCGCTAATTTCTTTTGTCCTTGTTGAGAAGTGAAACTGTCGTATAGAATACGACAATTGATGGACTATAACATGACTATTTTGTTGTTTCACTATCCGTGATGACTCTAGTTTAGGAGTTATTTAAGACTGTATATTATATATAGGATAGTGGATTACAATAAGTCACCTAAGTGATGGCAAGTACTCTGGCCACTTGTTCCTTTTCCTGGCTATTTTCCTGAATATAGAATATACATTTGGCAGGTAATAAATGTGACCTTTTGTGCCCTTACGCTCCGAATTTGAACAACATTTTGCATTTTTATGTACTCTGTACTCACTTTCGCAAATGTCTGAGAACAGTTTGACAGTTGCGGCATATTTAATTCTTATCGGATTTTTTCTTGCCCTTAGCCTCGTTGGTTCTTTTGCGATAGTCAAAACGCGACAACTAGCGCTGGATGGCGACAACTAGCGCTATCCAGCGCTAGTTGTCGCCATCCAGCGCTAGTTGTCGCTATCCAGCGCTGGATAACGCTGGCCAGCGCTAAATATATTTGTTCGATAATTGTCGCTATCCAGCGCTAGTTGTCGCCATCCAGCGCTAGTTGTCGCCATCCAGCGCTGGTTGTCGCTATCCAGCGCTAGTTGTCGCTGGCTATGCGACACTGTCGCACGCGATAGTTTGCGATGGCCAGCGCAACTGGCCATCGCAGAAAACAGTTCGATAACTAGCGCGCTGGCCAGCGCTGGCTAGCGCTGGATAGCGACAACTAGCGCTGGATGGCGACAACTAGCGCTGGCCAGCGCTAGTTGTCGCTATCCAGCGCTAGCCAGCGCTGGCCAGCGCTGGCCAGCGCTATCCAGCGCTAACCAGCGCACAGATCAATTTTTGATAAATTTTCGATAAATTTTCGATAATTGTCGCGACAAATAGCGCTGGATAGCGACAACTAGCGCTGGCCAGCGCTGGCCAGCGCTAAGCAATAGCCAGCGCAAAATTTTTGCGATATTACTCGTCAGCTAGCGCTGGCCAGCGCTAGCCATCGCTAGCCATCGCTAGCCAGCGCTAGCCAGCGCTAGCCAGCGCTGGCCATCGCTGGCCAGCGCAATGTATCAAAATCATATAATTATAATTGCGATATTACTCGTCAGCCAGCGCTAACCAGCGCTAACCAGCGCTGGCCATCGCTAGCCAGCGCTGGCCATCGCTGGCCAGCGCAATGTATCAAAATCATATAATTATAATTGCGATATTACTCGTCAGCCAGCGCTAACCAGCGCTAACCAGCGCTAGCCAGCGCTAGCCATCGCTGGCCAGCGCAATGTATCAAAATCATATAATTATAATTGCGATATTACTCGTCAGCCAGCGCTAGCCAGCGCTGGCCATCGATAGCCAGCGCTGGCCAGCGCAATGTATCAAAATCATATACTTGCGATATTACTCGTCAGCCAGCGCTAGCCAGCGCTAGCCAGCGCTGGCCAGCGCAATGTATCAAAATCATATAATTATAATTGCGATATTACTCGTCAGCCAGCGCTAGCCAGCGCTGGCCATCGATAGCCAGCGCAAAATGTTTGCGATATTACTCGTCAGCTAGCGCTGGCCAGCGTAATGTATCAAAATCATATAATTGCGATATTACTCGGCAGCCAGCGCTGGCCATCGATAGCCAGTGCAAAATGTTTGCGATATTATTATTACTCGTCAGCTAGCGCTGGCCAGCGCTAGCTAGCGCTAGCCAGCGCTGGCCATCACTGGCCAGCGCAATGCATCAAAATCATATATTTGCAATATTACTCGTCAACCAGCGCTAGGTAGTGCAAGTTATAAAAATCAAATATTTGCGATATTAATCGATGGCTAGCGCTGGTTAGTGCTGCCCAGTGCAATATACCAAAATCAAATATTAGCGATATTATTTATCGTCAGCTGACGCTGACTGACCAGCGCAATATATTTGCGCTTAACGCGGGTGATACTCGTAAAATTGGAAATATTTTTTCAAATCCAAGTCCAACTCGGTGCGCATTTATATGTAAAGGAACGGTTATAAACCTACATCTACAATCGTCTGCTAGCGTTGGCTTACTAGCTGGGCGGAGCTCAACTTACTGGGCGGCGCTCAGCCTGTCATTCCGCGGGATCTCTATTATATGTTTATCTCTATTCTATGTTTATAAACATAGTAGCCTGCGGTCCCCAGTATGTGGCTCAGTATGCAGTATGCAATACACCGCTATATTAGCAGACTTTACTCAACGCGCTAAATTCTATTACATATATATTATGCGCGGCGCTCTTTTCGATCGTGAATCCTAGTAAGGTCAGGAAACCTTACTGGATGCACAAAATGATCATAGTGCAAATAAACTTCGGCTAACTGCTAACTAAGCAGCAGTTTCTTTGCACTATAGTTAACGGGTGATACTCGTAAAATATTTGTTCCAACTCGGCGCGCGTCCTGGAAGGTTATAAACCTACAACACTATGGTTCTCCTGTGTCGTGCGCGGCGGGTAAGATCATACAACGCGTTGCGTATGACAACAATGTCCTTAATTCTCCTCCAGACCCAGAAAAGCTTACCGGCTGGCCGTGGTACTAGAGGTGGTTGTTTTTCGATGGCACGTGTGTCAGCGCGCGTGACGTAACGTTCACTGCATGATCGCTCGCTCGCTCGCGTGAATTACAATCTGGTATGGAGTCATGACAACGACATTACTTCGCAAAGTTTAAAAGCTGCGATCTTTTATTTAGCCCAAAATCAAACTTTTCGCGATAATTCAAAATCTACATTGTTTTGAATTTGGCTCCTAGGGAGCCTACTTTAGTTTTACGAGACGGACATTTTGTGACATTAAGTGACCGTTGAGCCACACTTCTTGACAAATTTTGTTTAGAATAACGACCCAATCATAAGGTAAAAAGTGTAAGCTGTATTTTAACGGCTAACTTTAGTTCACAGTTCATCTAAGTCATCCAAGTTTGGAGGAATTATACGGCTACTTTTGTGATTCTTTACAGTCTTGAACGATAATACCTTGCTACGTGTCAACTGGGCCCAGGAAACCTTACTGTTAGGGGCCTAACTTCGGAAGTAAAAGAGATAAAAACGTCCGGTTTTCAACAAAATGTCCGTCTCGTAAAACTAAAGTAGGCTCCCTAGGAGCCAAATTCAAAACAATGTAGATTTTGAATTATCGCGAAAAGTTTGATTTTGGGCTAAATAAAAGATCGCAGCTTTTAAACTTTGCGAAGTAATGTCGTTGTCATGACTCCAGATTGTAATTCACGCGAGCGAGCGAGCGATCATGCAGTGAACGTTACGTCACGCGCGCTGACACACGTGCCATCGAAAAACAACCACCTCTAGTACCACGGCCAGCCGGTAAGCTTTTCTGGGTCTGGAGGAGAATTAAGGACATTGTTGTCATACGCAACGCGTTGTATGATCTTACCCGCCGCGCACGACACAGGAGAACCATAGTGTTGTAGGTTTATAACCTTCCAGGACGCGCGCCGAGTTGGAACAAATATTTTACGAGTATCACCCGTTAACTATAGTGCAAAGAAACTGCTGCTTAGTTAGCAGTTAGCCGAAGTTTATTTGCACTATGATCATTTTGTGCATCCAGTAAGGTTTCCTGACCTTACTGCTTACTAGGATTCACGATCGAAAAGAGCGCCGCGCATAATATATATGTAATAGAATTTAGCGCGTTGAGTAAAGTCTGCTAATATAGCGGTGTATTGCATACTGCATACTGAGCCACATACTGGGGACCGCAGGCTACTATGTTTATAAACATAGAATAGAGATAAACATATAATAGAGATCCCGCGGAATGACAGGCTGAGCGCCGCCCAGTAAGTTGAGCTCCGCCCAGCTAGTAAGCCAACGCTAGCAGACGATTGTAGATGTAGGTTTATAACCGTTCCTTTACATATAAATGCGCACCGAGTTGGACTTGGATTTGAAAAAATATTTCCAATTTTACGAGTATCACCCGCGTTAAGCGCAAATATATTGCGCTGGTCAGTCAGCGTCAGCTGACGATAAATAATATCGCTAATATTTGATTTTGGTATATTGCACTGGGCAGCACTAACCAGCGCTAGCCATCGATTAATATCGCAAATATTTGATTTTTATAACTTGCACTACCTAGCGCTGGTTGACGAGTAATATTGCAAATATATGATTTTGATGCATTGCGCTGGCCAGTGATGGCCAGCGCTGGCTAGCGCTAGCTAGCGCTGGCCAGCGCTAGCTGACGAGTAATAATAATATCGCAAACATTTTGCACTGGCTATCGATGGCCAGCGCTGGCTGCCGAGTAATATCGCAATTATATGATTTTGATACATTACGCTGGCCAGCGCTAGCTGACGAGTAATATCGCAAACATTTTGCGCTGGCTATCGATGGCCAGCGCTGGCTAGCGCTGGCTGACGAGTAATATCGCAATTATAATTATAATTATATGATTTTGATACATTGCGCTGGCCAGCGATGGCCAGCGCTGGCTAGCGCTGGCTAGCGCTGGCTAGCGCTGGCTAGCGCTGGCTAGCGCTGGTTAGCGCTGGTTAGCGCTGGCTGACGAGTAATATCGCAAGTATATGATTTTGATACATTGCGCTGGCCAGCGCTGGCCAGCGCTGGCTAGCGCTGGCTATCGATGGCCAGCGCTGGCTAGCGCTGGCTGACGAGTAATATCGCAAAAATTTTTCGCTGGCTATTGCTTAGCGCTGGCCAGCGCTGGCCAGCGCTAGTTGTCGCTATCCAGCGCTATTTGTCGCGACAATTATCGAAAATTTATCGAAAATTTATCAAAAATTGATCTGTGCGCTGGTTAGCGCTGGATAGCGCTGGCCAGCGCTGGCCAGCGCTGGCCAGCGCTGGCTAGCGCTGGATAGCGACAACTAGCGCTGGCCAGCGCTAGTTGTCGCCATCCAGCGCTAGTTGTCGCTAGCCAGCGCTGGCCAGCGCGCTAGTTATCGAACTGTTTTCTGCGATGGCCAGTTGCGCTGGCCATCGCAAACTATCGCGTGCGACAGTGTCGCATAGCCAGCGACAACTAGCGCTGGATAGCGACAACCAGCGCTGGATGGCGACAACTAGCGCTGGATGGCGACAACTAGCGCTGGATAGCGACAATTATCGAACAAATATATTTAGCGCTGGCCAGCGTTATCCAGCGCTGGATAGCGACAACTAGCGCTGGATGGCGACAACTAGCGCTGGATAGCGCTAGTTGTCGCCATCCAGCGCTAGTTGTCGCGTTTTGACTATCGCAAAAGAACCGCCTCGTTTACTTCATTGCTAACAGGTTTAACTTCAAAATACTTAACGAGCTGATGATTCAATGTTTAATTTTAAGCTGCAAACTGAGCATCCATCAGAGGTTGTTTTGAGTCCATGTCATGCATGCGACAATCACGAATATACGTATTTTGACTTCTGATAAAAATATAAACTATGTTAAAATAATGCGACGTCCTACTTCAGATTGAGACTGGTCTTAAGACACAGGTCTGATTTGGACGATGTAATAAAATCTCTGAACGAGCAGCTAGCTGACGTAGAGATACATCTCAGCTACACTGAGCAACTCACTGACACCAAAGAGGTGGGTTTCAGTACTTTAAGGAGTAAATTATTTGATTAATTGATAATATGTTAATTTGATTACTTAATCTAAGACGTGATGAGAATTAATATGAAATTAGGTTCACGTTGCTAATACAGCAGGAACTTTGCTCTTTTGATCTTATTTTCCTGAATATTAATGTAGAAATATGATGAAAATGGATATGATCGTTTATCAAGCCTGTAATCACAGGTATTGATCGAGAAGGAGAAATTCATCGAGAAGACGATAGCAATCCTAGTAAATGTTGAAGAAGATTATGACTCTTTACAGTAAGTTATAATATTGTCTGTTAATATGTTCAGTTGTTTTGAGAGTATACTGTTAACAATATTTGACTCGCTTAAATTGTCTGATGAATAGTAAACAGTGAAAGTCAAATCAGGATTAAAAATAGTTTAATCAACTGTATTATTAATGAATAATTTATCAAAATTCGTTCTGACTCACGAGTCCTTAGATTATAACCATTGAAGTGTTGTCAAATAATGGTTGAGATTTTGTCTGAAATCTTCTGGCTTCATTTGATTTCTAATTAAGGCACAAATAAAATTGAGAACGGGTTATTGTTATTTTGAACGATCTCAAGAGGCTAAATGTAATGGTTACAGAAGTCTTATTTTATACCACTATCGGTCATAATCCATTTACATAGTGTTACTTTTAAATTAGCTTTTAAACTATCATCGTGTGCATTGTGCATCGCGGTCATTGTTCATAGAAATACATTTTAGTTTCTGCTCCAGAGTCGAGCTCTCCCGGTGGATTTTTGTATCACTATCAGTTTTTACCATGTATTTCAACTACCTTCTGAAGATGACCTTTCCCACGGTTCTTTGAAGTTTTCTTTTTGACTTTTTAATCATACTTTCCACTCGTGCTCGTCTACTTTTAAGGTCAGCGAACATGTTTTCTAGTCCTGGAATCTCTTCAAACCCAATCCTTCCGCTCTTCACATCAAAGCATGTAATCTTCTTTCCCTCTCCCATCTCAGTTTGAGCTAACAGGTCTGCTATCCTGCTCTCTTTTAGATAAACTACTTTTCCTCCCTTTTGTACTGCGATGTCGTTTTCTAGAGATTCCTCTTCAACTTCCCTCTTGTCGAAGGAGAATTTGATTTCTTTTTCCCCTGGATTATCAGTAATTGGAAGATTCAATGTCCGATGTTTTCGTTCATTTTCTAACGACTCGCCAACACCATCCTTCTTGTCATAATACAATAACACTTCCTCGTCTGGATTATCAGGGATTATTAGCATTGATAAGCGTCCTTCTCGTTCTTCTTCTAGAGCTTCACCTTCATCACCTCTCTTGTTGAAAAAGATGATGTGCCCTCCATCTTTTGTTCTGAGATCGGCTATCACATCTACAGAGTCGTCTAGAAATCCACCATATTCATCCCTCTTGTTGAAGAAGACTATGGTTCCTTCTTCATTTGGAAAAACCCCAGGAAATTGTAAATAATTTGATGGGTGTCGTCCTTGTTCCTCATCCGAAAAGCCGCTCCTTACACTTCCCGTGTTACCGTACTTAAAACTCTGGACGGAGAGGACCACCATTGCGATTAATTCAAAAACATGTGTCATCGTAAGCTTAACCTGCAAAATAAACTTAAGAACTAAGTGAGTAAGCAGTGAGCAACTTGGTAAAACCAAATTGTTTTAAAGGTATTAGCATTACTTCATTCCTTATATATTACATGGGCGAGACAGCTGGTAATAATGGAATTTATTCAATTCCATTATTGTTTGACTAAAATTGTTTGAATATGTGTAAAAGTACAACATTAATTTTGATATAGCCGCGAAATCTTAAGGTTTAAATATCATTTGTTATCGATCTCACTGATTAAAATAGGCCGGTGGTTGCGGACATTACCGTTTAAATTTGGATTAACAGATGTTATCAAATATTGGTGGTTTTTATTGATAATTGAATGAGCAGGAATGTGAATCCTCATGATTTTTAATTTCAAAACCTAATTAATACACCATGTTTTCAACACTTTCTCAACAATATTTTATAATCCTATTCCACCACAGGAAACTGATGCTGAGTTGTCCGATAGAGCTCCAGGAGACCTACACCTCGCATGTTAACAGTATCGAAGATGTGTACAGTAAGATTGTCATGAGGCACAAGGTCGCCGTACAGTCCGTCAGTGATCAGGTTTCAATTTCCTTTAATTTATATGGGTTCTTTATGTAGCGTTTATGTGATTTTATCCACTTGATTTTAACCGGGATTTGTTGACGTTAATTCGTAAAATAACCAGAAATACTAGATCAGTAAGCAATTTCCGTCTCTAGGTGAATATAGTGAACAAGTACGGACAACATCTGGACGACACAACCGGACGGATAGTGTCTCTGTTAATCGAACTCCAGGATAAGATACCCTTCTCTTCTCATCTCGAGGACATCACCTACAATATCGAGTTCTTTAAATCTGCCGTGAACAAGTTTGTTGCAAATACGAGTTTAATATATTTCATAAATTTCTTATCCATTATTCATGAATAGAATAACAAATTTTGAAAGAAATATGAAATCAAAGCTTATGAACAAAATATATTCCAATATTTGTTTCTGGTCTGATTTTACGCTTTTCTGTCCCCAGGTACAAAACACTGAACGCTGAGGTAAGATCGATCCAATCGGACAGCATTGTCGTTCCCTTCTTCAAGACAGATCTCAAGAACGTTAAAGACAGACTCGACTGTCTCGACAAATTTTCCAAACAGATGATGGAGGTCCTTCTGAAGGGTTCTGATATATCTACCGAGTTTAGAGACGGAATTGTCAAAACTAGCTCATTTCTCGATGAGATTTCAAAGGAAGTGGAGACTTCCATTACTCCTTTCATGACTTCAGACACTCCACAAGACCTTCAATCAGCCCTTAACACTATCGTTGAGATCAAACATTGCATGAAAACGAGAGGTAATCTCATTGAAGATATCGAGAACACCTTAAAGAAGTTTGACGAGTACTACAATGTAGATCCGCTAAAAATAGAGTACGAAGAGGTGTGCGGCACCTGGTTTGAAATGCTCAATGAACTTGTCGAAATGGAAACAAGACTATCAACAAGTTTGTCCAGTAAGACCTTCTTCCAGAACCAGCTATCTGGACTGAAAACAACTTTCCAGCAACACCGAGATACTCTAAAGACCCTAGAGGATGTGACCACAGAAGTCAAACTCAGATCCGCTATAGAGACCCTAGAAACACTCCTCAGCACAGAGGAGACTCTGTCACAGGAGATAAATGCAGTTGTCCTTGAGGGAAAGAACATCATCCGCTCTATCGACAACATGGACGATATGAAGAGGATCCAACTAGAGATCCAGTCACTCCAATCCGCGTACAGAGTAATCCAGAACAGTATCTCGATGAAACACAAGAAATACACGGCTATCCTCGGACAACTGGACGAGTACAAGTCACTGATCCAGAGTCACGAGCTCTTCATTGACTCTACTCGGGACATGATGGAGAACCTGTCTAACGTGCTGGATAACTCCGTGATGGAGCACAATAAAGCACAGTTATCTTCCCTGGAGAACTCTATCCTGGATAAGAGACTGGAGCATGATAGGATTGTCAACTTAGCGGAGACTGTTTTACGGTGTCTGGCTAATGAGTCTTATCTGAAGGAAACCACGACTAATCTGAAGATAAGTTGGAATAGGATGAACTGTGCCATGACCGAGGCAGCTACTTCTATTGAGAATAACTCTAAAACTTTGAAGAATTTGTACAATGGAATTGCGATGCTCATGAAGGAGACGTTAGAAAAAAGCAAGATGATTGTTGCTACGACTGAAGTTTCAAGTGATATTGCTATGGTAAGATATGCAATTTGTATCTTCCTCAATCTCTATTTAGCAATTGTCTTGATAATCCCAGTCATCTGTTTTGCAGCTTTCAATTTGTTTTCAACTTTGTCACTTTTCTGAATCCAAAACTCAGTACTGCTTTCTTCAGCTTCGCCAACAACACAGACAAATGAAGATGACGTTGAAAGAGCTGGATGTGTTCGTTTCAACTGTTGAAAGAATAAGACTGGCTGTTGAGAGCTCTCTAGAGCGATGTAGTGACCCCGTCAGGAAGGACTTGACTGATCGTCTCACTGCTTTTAGTGATCTCTGGAGTACAACCAAAACTCGAACTGAAGCCGGTTTGTAATCTGGACACCACGTTGGCCTTGATATGTGCTTATTTAATCCATATTTACATTTTAACAAAACACAACTTTCATTTTATTGGTGTAATTATTAGTTACTGACGATCACATTCCCCAGGATTCCGGGAGATAGATGACCGACTAGGAGGAGTGCGGAGGTACCAGGAGCAGTTGTCAGAGGAGCATGCCTGGTACGCGGCTGCGGAGGAGCGGTACACTGCCATCAAACATTCCGCAGCTGACATGGACCTGGGTCACGTGACCAGTCTGACTAGTGAGGTTAACTTGCACACTGCTACTGTGATGGACCTCAGGGAGAACATTGTTAAGCTCAACTTCGATCAGGTAAACTGGAAGGGGACCAAGTTTTATGATGGATCATTACATGGGTTTCTTGAGCTTTTTCTCCCGTTCAAAGTTTGCACAGTTATGTTTCGTCTAGTTTGGGCCTTATCATTATTAACGTAAATACGTAGATCCCTAATTAACTTAGTAACTTAGTAAATTAGTAACATTCCTAGAGTAAGTTCTAACTTAAACCTCCCCAGACTGTGATAGAAGAGTGCACCTCTCTCATCTCCAACTATGACGAGCTGAAAGGGAGACTGGAGCATCTTGTTTCAGTGTTTGAAGCTGAGAACTCTAAGACTTACAAACTCATCTCTCACATCGACCTAGTTCAACATCAGGTACAATAATACAAAGTAATGAGGCAGGAATATACTTAATTGATAAAAGAGTATGCATCAATAACATCAAATCTTTAAGATGGAGTTGCAAATTTCTAACTGTATGGATTAAGTTCTGCTAGATGATAAAACCTGGATGTTCCAGGTGTACGAGAGAGGAAGGAACCTGGCCTCCCACCAAGCTGTCTCCTCCCACCACGAGACAGTAAAATATCAGGCTGAACAGCTGGAAGGGTTCATGGGTACCCTGGATCACGTTGAGAATGACGTGGTTGATCTCACGAGATCTAACAAAAACTCAAGTCTTCCACAAGAGGTGAGGTGTTTGGATACTGAAAGGGATCCTGTTTCGTCGTGAATCTGAATTCAACTTTTATTTCAGTTGAAATATATTTAAGGACTGTTTGGTCAACCAGGACAATAACAATTAAATAGTCTTAAAAACAATAACAATAACAAATTCTCCAGGTGCAAATAAAGATCCGGCATCTGTCCGAGTCTTGGAACGAGCTGGCTGAGCATGTTTCAGCGAGAGAACAGAGGATAAAACAGATGCTGCAACTTTTACAGCAGTTTGATGACTCCTACAATGACCTGTCCTCTTGGCTTCACGACAAGGTTTCACATTAAATCTAGGTTCATTGTTTTGGCGATGAATCAGAACTTGACATAATGAATATTGTGAGATTTGAAAAGTTTTAATTTGTATTGCATCCAAACATAGCATGTTTTTCAATTTATCTGATATTTGCTCGGAATTTAGTAGTGTTCGCTTCACTAGAGTATCCAGTACGTTACAACGTATGGTATAAATACCTTCGACCACTTAAGCTCGATCATAGAACTTTGTCAAGTATCTCTAGGTGGAGGCATATTTCTCCTGTTACCGATGGCCCACTGCATCAAACCTTGTTGGTAGTGTGTAGTATATCAATAAAACTCCCCATGATTCCTATATGATACAATTGGAGTGATTTTTGGTGGTGTATTGTTATTTTAAGTATGTTATATATCAATAAATCTTCCTATGATTCCTATAAGATTTAATAGAAGTGATATTTTCAAAATGGATTTGTTTTTAGAGATGATCTGATTGTTAGCTGTAGAATTTTTTCACTTCACGTTTTAGAACCGCTCTGTCATGGTTAGTAACTGATACCTGTGTCAGTTGCTATCCATATGGGCGGTATATGGATCATTTCATTTCGTTATTTATTGTTATCAGTGATTTGAATTTAACTAACAACATTCCCATATCCAGAGTAACGTGCTGGTAAACTCGCTGCCGTATGACATAGAGGGTGTTCATTCTCACCATGAACTGCTGGTCAGCGTCAAGTTCACTCTTAGTACCAAGTTCCACGTTATACAAAGTAAGTGATCTAACAACCTAATTGTATCAATTATGTTTTCGAATAATCAGTTCGATTATTCGTCTTTCGACTGTCAAATTTAAATATTTAATTAAGATAATAGAAAATAATTATGTTAATATTCCTCCTCTTCCCCGTCAGTTGTAAAAGAAGTAGGTGATACACTGGTGACCTTGTCTTCAGCTGCTGATGTTGAGCATATCCAGAACAAGCTTCACAAGGTATGTCCAGTGTCCACTGTCCATCTGCTCAGAGTTTATATTTGAAACGTAACCAACACTTCTTTAATTATTTGATTAGTTCCAGTTTATTTCCTCTTTGAAGACTCTGACTAGAAGCAACTTCTCTCACTCTTACCATGTTTTATTTACACAGATAAAACAGAATTATGGGAAGTTGGAACATGACATTGACATAGCGATCGAGCAAGCGAACGAAGCGGCTATTGGTCTTCAGAACTTCAAACACAGAGTTGATAGTATCTCGGAGATGCTGGGAAGATATGAGAAAGTAGTGGAGGATCTGCCTAACTTCGGGTTAGGAGATAAAATAACTTTTACTGATCTGAAATATATGGAAATCAGGGCACGAAATATCATTCGCTTAACGCACTTTTGAAAAACCTTCTTTCCTAAGGGGTGGAGTGGAAGAACTGACAAGTTTTATCGAGTCCCACCTTTCGGAGCTGGATGGTAGCTACGAGGAAGTGGAGAAGCTGCAGTCCCTGGTGAGACGTCTGGAGGATAATATCTGGTCCGGGGAGAACTCTTATCTCAAGAACCTTCTACTCGACATTAATACCAGGTAACTTTGTTGCTGGCTTGTTGCTTTAATGTTGTGCTGGCATCGAAACGATTCGAGAATATTGTGAAATACTACATGGTATCGTTCAATCGACAAAAGGTAAGGAGGATGCTCCCCTTGCTGTACAACATTAAATGAAATGCCTGTCGTTGGTTGGTCACGTACTTGTCTGTTTTAAAGTGGAAAAGTAATATTACTTTTGAAAATGTTAAGAAATGTTGTACAACATGGGGACTATTCTCCCTACTTTTTGTCGATTGAACAAAACCATGTAGATAGTTCATCATTTCACGATATCTTCAGATAGTTTCAATGCCATTACAACAACAAGTTCGTCATTAAAATTACCTGGTATTTATTTCGAACTCATATAAATTGAAAATAAATGTATGAATAGATAGATGCACAACGCCAGGAATATGCTACTGTGCCCTTACTCCGTACATAACTACCTAAGACTCAAAATTCAGCACTTGAGATAATTTAATCAGATAATTAATATCATAGGTTCATAGCAGTTTATATCTCAAACACAGGAAATGTTTTTCAATTTAACCACTATATAGATGGATAGTTAAGGTACCTGCTGTCTAGTCTTGACCGCTGATGGCGGTCAGCTCGACCATTTTAGGTATCAAAAGCTCTTTATATCCTTGCTAAATTGAGAAAACATTTCCTTGTGTTTGAGATAAACTACTATGAACCTAATTTTTCGATGATTAAACTATCTGAAGTGCTGAATTTTGAGTCTTACACACGGAGTATTGGCTCAATAGCGTAATGCTCGCTTGTTTAGATGTTTTATTCCCTTGACTTACGAGGGCTGAAATAACGATACATCTAGGTCTAATTTACATGAGCACGAGAGAATGCTCGTCCTGCTGCACAACATCAAATTACACTTTTCTTAGATTGTGCTTTGCCTTCTATCGTTGTCCATCTGTACTGGGTCATTTAATAGTTTGTAATTTGCTTCATAATCTCCGAAATCTGTAAAATAAGCAAACATCGTAATTTAATTTTTGATCAAAAAATTTGACTGTACTTGGACCACAGGTACAAACGAGTGCGCAGCAAGTTAAAGGGGTCACATGATCACATCCAACAAAGCTCAGTGCTAGCTGACCAGTTCCTGGGGACTATACAGAACGTGATGTCCTGGGTCACTGACATGGCCACTAAGATAGAAGTGGAACTTCCTCCTGATCAGGTTGGTTACATCTGGACCTGACAGTGGTGCTGTAAATATTTCATCTTAACATCACCATAAGAGGCTGGAGCTTATAACCGGCACGCTTATGCGGTCTTGATCACCACGTGTTCTACAATCTGTAATCGTTGAGCAAAAACACGCTGATTTAACCAAGCTTTGAGCTCATCAGCTGACTTCCTTGAAATTAAATCTCTCGATGAAATACAACCTTTTAACACATTTAACTAAACTGCGACTGTCTATCAGTACCATTAACGTTTCTGAGGAATTAACACTTGAGGAAGTAACCTTGAGGTTACATCTCACATTAAATGGTTATCAGAGATCAGAGATATCTCAACTTATTTACCTCTTTAATGACGTTCTACTTTTCAAGTTTTTTAAGATAATAAAACTTCTTCCGACTTTTATTATACTCGTATTAACCAGACATCAGATATCTTCACCCCAGGAACAACTAGTAGATCTGGCCAGTATTTTCCACCCTCTGAACAGGGAAGTTGTAGCCAAGGAGACCAGCATCGACCTCCTCATTGAGAAGGGAGCCATGTTACTCACTGAAGGTTGGTTTAGTGGTTACTCTTCACGTACACAATAACCCCCTCTATGTAACTTTTCATTGAAGCACCCATCGAGGGTTCACTACCACCTTACGCACAAAATTGTGGTTTTATCCTGAGATGATAGATCATTGTCATGACTTCTGATTGATGAAACTGAGATGGTTACTATTTAACTTTAAAATGAGATGAAATAAGAATAGCCAGTGAGGTCAGGGCCAGTGAGGTCTGATGATTAATGAGAAGTTTCAGAACAGATTCACTGATAACCACTCACTCTCTCTTTCATCCAAAATGTTAATCTTAACTCCCAGGAGATGTAGACACCAGCCACTACGTGATAAAGAACATTAGCAGGTTAGAGATAGTATGATGAATGAACCATACCAGGCTCCGACAAACCTAGAGCACTGAATATGGTAATAGATACAGGTATTACTGAATATGTGTAATAGATACCAGGTAAGTCTACTGAATAGTAAAGATACCAGTTAGTCTACGAAATTAAGATACCAGTAGTCTACTAATATGTAATAGATACCAGGTGTCTACGAATAGCTAGATACCAGTATCTACTGAATATGTGTAATAGACTCAATATGTGTAATAGATACCAGGTTAGTCTTACTGAATATGTGTAATAGATACCAGGTTAGTCTTACTGAATATGTGTAATAGATACCAGGTAAGTCTTACTGAATATGTGTAATAGATACCAGGTAAGTCTTCATGCAAGTCTTAGCAATCACAATGATTTTAGAATGGATAATTTCACCACAATCTTAAGCCTGATGAGAGAAGCCGTAGTTTATTGTTCGGAGCCATAATATTGAAAATATTGTATTTGACAGTATTTTAATTGTAAATTGAATAATAAATGCTATTTTTTTTCTCTGATCGGGTGAAAAATTCCATAAAATAGACAGTAATTATAGCTGAATTAACCTTACCACAGAACAAGATAGACAGTGTGATGGGAAAGCTGTCCCGTTACGACACCGTGTTTCTGGGAGCAGACAAACCAGACCTCGAGCACATATCCCAACAAATCGACAGACTCGAGCAGTCCAAGACAGAACTCGCAGAAATTGAGAAACTCATCATTGAGATCGAGGTTTGTCTTCACAGCTCGAACTGTTTCAGGAGCTGTTTGAAATTATTTTAGAAACGTTACTGTAGTCAACACTGAACTGCCAAATATGAGCTATCATGTTAGGTCCTTACCTATTATTCATTTCTGGGATGACTACATTTAACACTGGTGAGTTTTGTCTTCATAGTGGTGTTATTAAACTTCAATTTATTATCATTTTACTTCAGGCCATGAACGTGGTTGAAGGAGCTGACGCTACCTTCGCTAGAAGAAAGCTGCAGCTGAGAACGAAGTTAGAGACAGTAGTTGCTGAGTGTGACAGTAAGATAAAGTCCCTGCAACTCTACGAGAGCAAGATAAAGACCATCGAGGGTGGTAAGTAGCTTGCTAGACTGGAGCTCAGTTGCCCTGGTAGCAATTTACCAAATAAAGATTAAATCATCGTTCAAAACTTAAAATATCAAAATTGAGTCCTTTTAATGTGCTGAATAAATTCATATGTAAATTCGTCCCAGATATGAATGCGCTGGAAGAGTGGATAAACACGAGTTGTGACACCCTAGCAGGTAACCTGGGCGAGAATGCAACCTTGCTGGAGTCTGTGAAGTTACTAGATGGAGAGATATCAGTCCAGAAGACTCATCTAGTGGTAAGTAGTGCAAGAGGAGATGTGTATTGTGTATATATCGACATAATATACACATAAAATATATATATTAGCTCTATGTTAGTCCAAGTGACAATTGTAGTTGACAACTTCTTTAGTTTTAGGAATTATTTAGTTCAGGCTACTTTTTCAATTCAAGAACTAATCTCAACACCTTCCTCAGGCTGTACGAAGAAACACGGAGAAGTTCCTGAAGGAGTACAAGCCACTGAAACAAGGACCAATACACCAGAAACTAATGGCAATAGAAGAGAACTTCATAGAGTTGGAGGACATCATAGTGGAGAGGAAGCTGAAATGTGAAGAGGAACACCAGCAAGTGGCTGGGTTCCAGGAGAAGATGAACAACATGTTCGACTGGATACACTCTAAGGAACAGGAACTCGGTTAGTGTTAATGTTGATGGTGTGATTTGTGTTATGAGGAGTTGTTGTTGATACTTCGATAGACGTTTGTATAAAGTAATCCTATCCTGTATAGTGCTTTGACTGACAGAGTAACAATTGTACCATCGTAATGATGCATTTCTGTTTCAGCATCTCAGTCGAAGGTTACGTTAGTTAAAGAACAGGTGACTGCCCAACTACAAGACCATATAGAAATGCAGCAAGACTTTGGCACAATGCAGGCTCAAATGGACACTCTTAACACGGTTTTTATTCTTCTTTCATTTTCCTACAATTTTACGTATACTAAATTATATTTAAATTTAAGAGGTTTTTAACGCTCATTGCTTTGTAATTGACCTGACACATGACCTTGACACAGAAAATTTCAGTCGACAGTAAACATTACCGACAGCCGGGTTTCGAACACAACCAACGTGACAAACGTTTCAAACAGACAGACAAACTTACAAACAAACATATCGAGCGTGCAGACAAATAACGTTACAAACACCAACAATTTAAAAGTAGAGAATATAAACAGCTCAAATACACAAAGCTCCCAACAAGTCATGACCACAGAAGAAGTTCTTCCCTCTATCTCTGCAGCGTCAGTAACCAGCGTCATGGCAGGAATACCGGCGTACCTAGCCGCTGGGATGACAGCAGCTGAATATGATCTCCATCAAAGAGTAGAGCATTCCAAAAAGATATGTGAAGAAAGGACACAAGAGATGATTCAAGAGAAGATGACAGAGCTGAACATATCCACCTCTGATGCGAGCTATCTGAGTATCAAACAGCAGGTCGAGAAGGAGTGCAGGACGGAGGTCGAGTCTTTGGGGGTTAATCCTAATACGGGAGCATCTGCGTTCAACCTCCAACCTGTTGATAGACCTCTTCAACATGTTGATAGACCACTTCCGCAGCCTAAACCTGTTTATATACCACAGCCTGAAGTGAAACCTGAATTCTCACAAATTATTGTTCAACAAGAGAAACTCACAGAGCAGAAAGAATTGAAGGCCAGCACAATTACTGAACAACATCATCATGTTGCGAGGACAGAAGAGGAGCAGCACAGTTGTCCTGAATGTGAGAAGGAGCGGCATATGAGAGACTGTATAACTCCTGGAGTATGCTCGATATCACCCCTCCAGTCTCCACCTTATGACGAGGAGACGATCCTGACTAACAGACTCCAGACTCTTCATCTGGATGATCACAGATTGAACTCTCACAAAGCAGGTGATCGTAGGATCAGGGATCACTCCTGTGAGGACCCTTACTGTAGGATGAGATACTCTGGTTCTAGATCTCACAGAGTTGCTTACAATAATACCCCAGTCCATCAGGAGAGACACTATCCACATTCCTCCGATCACTCCTGGAGAGCCAATGGAAGAGATGACCGGATTGACAGAATATCTTACGGAACAAGGCAGCACAGTCGAGGTGAGGTATTTGACTCTCCAATCACCTGCATCTCAACTAGATCCACTCCAGAAAGAGATGGTTGCAGGTCTGACAGAAATCAAGTTACGAGGCCTGTCGGTTATCATAACCGTCCATCTGAACATCATAGAGCTCGACCTAGTTATCAAGAATACCTGCAATTCCTCGACGAAAGAAACAGAAAAGAGGAGACGATCTCAAGAGCGTCAAGGTTACAGGAGGAACATGTAATGAGGACTACACGTTTCCATGATGACGATGTGTTACGGACTGCACAGAAAACTGAGCAAGATTTTGAGACCTTTTCCAGGAGATTGTCACTAATCGAAAAAGAGAATGGCCAAGGGATTGGTAGTTTTGATAATCGAAATTCGAGTTTATTTGATGGCGAGCACAGAGGAAAGTCAATTGGAGATCACTCATTGAATTCTAACAGGGCTTTACATGGCATTCCCAATATAAATCAAGGGTATAACTCAACACTCATAGAAAGCAATACAGAATTCAGAGGCGGTCAAATCAGTTCCAATTTTAATGGAGGTCAAAACAGTGCACATTACAGTAGTGGTCAATCAACTACCAATTTAGGTGGCAGTCAAAGTAGTACTAATTTAAGAGGCGAACAATTTAGTTCTCTTACTACCGGCGGTCAAAAAACTTTCAATCTTGGTGCTGATCAGAGCAATGAAAATTTGAACATTTACGCTGATTTTGGAGAAGTGGTGCAAGCTGTATCAGCTACTACGGAGAACTCTGTAGAAAGCAGACGAGCTGAAACTGTTGCCAAAAGTGTTAGAATTAGTCCTTTGGAGAGAGAGATTCACCAACACTCATCTCTACCTCTCTGGATGACGGACATAGTCTATACTGATTCCGAGAATGAGTTGGAGTATGAGTTTTTTCAAAATGTAGGAAACAGATTTTATTCACCTGAAATTCTGGAGATGCAAAATCAGACAGGAGAAGGTGCGTTTCAGTTTGAAGATATTCCCTCCGCCGATGTATCTGCTCATGGGAACGCAAGATCAACTGGTGGACTGGCAGGATTACGTTTTATGCCTCAGGAAGATCATAGAAATTCTAGCGAGCGCCGGGCCCTTGATTTTAGATATTTACAAAAGCATTGGAAAGAATTAGAAGATAACACTCAGAAAAACACAGACATGCCCGTAGACGTGAGCAAGCACGAAGAAAAAATGCGCACCAATCCTCCGATCAAATTTGATGGCACGTATGCACGAAATCTTGTGAAGAGTAGAGAAGAAATTCCCAACTGTACAAATGGCACAGGTGCTGACAGGAACCCTGGTAGCATGCATTCGCTAGGGAGCAAGCTAACCCGGGCTCTTCATCACCACTTTGGGGGCACAGGAAAGGTAACTCCAGACAGGGTAAGGAAAAGTTTCAGGGACCTCAAAGTTCACTCTCCCCGTCGCTCAGGATTCAGCACCAGCTCCTGTTCACCTGCCAGCACCGTAAGTAACCTACTTCCCTCCCATTATACCGGATCTAATGCTTCATCTCCGGTTGCTAGATCCGTCTCCCCTGGTGGGTCATTCCAAGGCAGAGCTGAAGTAATCAACAAAACATTCCAGTCTAGCTATGCTAGCCGGACAAAGAACGCATCAAAGCTCTGTGCTCGACACAGAATGCTGAGTCAGGGTAGTACCTGTAGTAGTTGTTCTTACGACTCCCTGCCCTGTAATGTGTACGCTATGAAGGTTGATAAAGGCAAACCAGTCGGTTCTCAGCATGTCTGTCAATCAGTTTCAAACAAAACGTCCTCGCGCCACAGCTTTCCATCAAATGGATCATCTCTTTTGTCGAAATCGACCCTGTCCTCTACGAGTTTTGATCACCACATTCCTAAGCACAAATACCCATCAACAGGGATACAACCTATTACCCCTTGCAAGTACAGCAATCTTGACACCCCTTGCAAATATGTTCCTATCAAGTTGAAAAGTGAGACTCAGTCCTCTCTTGAGTACAGGTTCGTAGCACCATCTTCACCTTCCTACCCTAAAGATTTCAATCGTCTGATTTCTCACCGCACTCCCTCTCCAAGAAATAATCTTGAGATTCCTTTTCGGAATTCTAGCAGCCCTGGACTGTACGAGCTAGACCCAACGCTTAAGAATTTTGACCAAGATAATTTTGGTTCATCAAAACAAACTCGGCACACTCTTCAAGAATCGGGATCAATCCTGAACTATCAACCCCTGGAACTTAATTTTCAGTCAGATACTTCAACTTATTCGAAGCGATTTTGTTCAGAGGAGCTTCTGAAAGAAATAAATTGTATCGATCAAGATTTTCAACAAACTAATACTCAGACAACTCAACAGAACGTTGATATCGCTCCATACGTAGCCACCCACACTGCTGCTAAAACGAACGCTAGAAAGAAAGATGCATTTAGTGATGATGTTAGTGGAGTGAAAACACCTCTGAATAATGGAATATCCTCTACTGATAGCAGCTTTTCTAAGAAGAACGTTATGAAGGAACAACAGAAGGCCAGGCTAAAACTTATGAAGGCACCACCAAAGGAGGTGACCGAGATATTATCGCCTAAAAGGCGTCCTGTACCACCTCCAAATGCTCCTGATCCTCCACTTAGACGGTTTGATACCACCGTTAATAAAGTCCCTACTGTCATCACCACTATAGCTGCTCCAGATCCACCGCCAAGACTTGATTTGGTTTATGATTCAGACCAAACATTTATTTCTACATTAGCACCTTTATTTGCCCCGGATCCACCCCCTCGACTAGATTTAATGCACCAAAGCCATCGTGTCCCTCATCTTGTTCCCACTCACCCGTCTCCACGTGAGAGGAACCCACCATCTGCTCAACCTATCCTTCCAGACTACACAATATCCTCTGAAGACCAGCTCACGGAATCAGAGAAGCAGTTCTACGACAAACTAGCCCAGACTCAGGTGGTCAAGGCTTCAATGACTGGAGCAGAGATAACTCGGCTTCTGCGGGATAGACGGATGAGCAGAATGAGCAACATCACTGAGCAGGATGAGATAACCACATCTCAGATAAGTGTGCTGCTGGAGGATATCGAATCCTCTTTGGATGAACTGAATGATAACGATCTTACTCCTTCTCAACTGCACCCCAGATCCCCAGTTCCCGAACACCCTCCTGGTCACCAGGATCATGATTTCTCTCGAAGTTACACAACCTCTAACTTCAACTTTACGTCATGCAACATGCAAGTTAGTGATCTCGGAGTCCGATCTGATAGTGCTGATAGTTTTGTGCTTCACGAGGCTGAGCTGAAGAGACAGGAAGCCATGAGGAGGCAGGAGACACTGAGGGCTCTCAATCAGAAGTTGGATACCATCAGAGAAGAGTTTGTGGTCACTGAGAAGCACAGAAATTTTGTGGAGACTGATAAGAATACGGATTTTCTGGACACTGATAGACGAAATATGGGATCCGTAACTTGTGAAATCGAAAAGATGGCGACAAAACCTGAAGAAATTGAGACCGCATCACCGGTTATGAAGCCTATATTTAATGGAAAAGATATGAGTTCGAATTTTCGGCATGGTTTCCGAGTGAAGCACCGGGAGAAAGTTAAGGAGTTTGATGGGGAAACGATTTGGAAAAGACAGATCGAAATCCTCAAGGATCTTCAGCGACAGGTTGGTAACACTTCGGCTATCACTATTAGTAGACTTTTCAGCGCCCAGTCTGACTGAATAAATTTGTAATTAAATACCGAATAAAACCCCCATTATTATGACATTATGACAACATATTACTCTGAACAGAACTGGGACACTCTCCTGACAGCACAACAGACAATGACTATGAAACAGTTTAACATAAAAAACAACCTAGCCCAGGATCCAGTAAGTTCCTCTACCAGCACATTATATTCTCACTATATTTAGGGTTTTTAGCGGAACTTTCTCAGTTATTGTTCACCACAGTCCTCTATTCACCAAGTTCACACAATTTTCTGACAGATGGGATTCGATCTGTTCACAAAGTTTGAGGAGCGGTACCCGGAGTTGGACCAACAGCTAGCTACACTGAACACCATGTGGGAGAACACTTGCAGGGGCTGTGTAGACAGGCAGAGAGTGTGAGTTTTTATATTTTCAGCTGATTAGACGATTTAACTTTCATTTAGTTGGTGGTATCTTTAGGGCTTATTAGTAAAATTCGGCATATCACTGGTAATCAATAACCATATGCAACTGTACAGTAACCGTCGTGGTCACATTCTTAGAAGATACATTAGATTTTGACATGCCTCCCTTCACAGGCTAGAAGAATCAATTAGCAGTCTGGATGAGTTCTGGTCGAACTACAACGAGTTCAGGGAGTGGTTGAGAGATACCAGTGAGGTACTGGAAGCTGAACCAGACCCAGGAGTAACTCTCCAGGATCAATTCGATGCTTCCAACGAGCTCCTCCAGAAACTTGAGACGAAGAAACCAGAGATAGATCATCTCAAGTAAGTAAAAGCTCCCCTCAACAAGTCAACAATACGAAATATTGAGGTCAGAGCAATTCTCAACGAAGGTTGTTAGTGGTAAAGTAGTTGATATAACCCATTGTTCTAGGGAGTTGGCGGGTAAGATACCGAGCAGTATTCTAGCTCAGATCGACGAGAAGGAGGCTCCTCTAAAAACAGAGTTGGAGGAGGCGGAGGAGATGCTCAACAACCAGGTTAGGAACTTCATTAATATCCTATTAACTTTGTCTCATAAAGATATAAAGCTTCCCATTTACATTGAGATTTTAGACATTTTATAGCTTTCATCACGGCGAATCGATGCAGCGTGTAAAGTGATTTTCAAGAGTTGTTGCTTGGCTGCAGCTATAAGGTGCTCACTGCTCAGTGCACACGGGCATTGTTTCAACTTCCATGTCTAACTGAATTTATGTAGAAGTATAGTATAGTAGCTGTATCGTGGCGCGTACTGGCAGCTATACTTGTCGTTTGGTCGAATCGTTGGGATTTGGAATGAACCGACAATAAAAAAGCAAAATACTATGTTTTGACTCTATTCCTGATTGACTTAATAATACAGGTCGAGTGTCTAAAATCGCGAATGGATCGTCTCAAGAAGGGTTGTGCTGCTGTAGCTGATTACAATGAAGAGGTCGGGGAACTGATCATATGGCTTAAGGAGTTCGAGCCGAAATTGAACATCTCAGTACAGCTGGACAGTACTGACCCTAAAGAGATCAAAAACCTCCAGGGTAATTTATTATACTGTTAGTTTTAAGCAGCGTTATTGATGTTAATCAAAGTGGAAACGAAATATTGGATTTGGTAAGGGGATGTGCTGATATGATTCACCTCGTTCACCAAAGTTAAGATTATCTTGTAAAATGATATAATTGTTAGGTAAGCAGCGAGTGTGGTTGAAGACCCTGGCAGAGAAGCAAGGTCCGTACGATCAGCTGGCTGAGAAAGGGCGGGAACTGTTGGATAAGAGTGAGGAGAGTGAACAGCACGGCATAAACGCCATTCTTCTCAATCTTGCTGAGGCCTGGGAACAGGTAGCTTTTTATTTTATTTCAACTACAATCATTTCTTATTTTCGCTTGTTGAAATTAACTGTTTCCACCTATAATTTGAAATCATTTACGTTAAAACATCAGATTTTCTTGAATCTCTCACAAAACACATCAAAACTACACGTTTAACTTAATGCACACTTCTGTATGGAACAGGTATTGGGTTTTTGTTTTGGGGTTTCCTTAAACCTGGTGATTGTGCAGGTAGGGGCGCTGGTCGAAGAGAAACGAATAAAGTTAGAGGATGGTTTTCAGCATGCACACCAGTTTGATAAGCACTTTAAGGAGTTAACTAGTTGGGTACAGGAGGCTGATGCACAAACCACGTATGTATTTCTCACTGTCTAATTACTTGGTTCTATGGAAAGATCTTGCTACTTAAGGCAACTAGATCTTTACTTTTATTGTCAAGACGATCCAGGAATCTGTGAAATTGTATACAATTTTGGGGTTATATAATATTAATATCTATGACGAAATTTTACCAGAGAGTAAAATTTTGGGTTATATATTTTCATATTTATGCTAGAATTTTACCAGAGAGCCAATGGACGACAACGATTTGCACAACAGAGTGGAAAGGCAACAGCTTCTTGTAACTGGGTTAAAGGAAAACGAAGCTCGTTTTGATCACATTTTTGTCCTCGGTAGGTGTAATCATTATTAATAATAATATTATAGGGAACGGAAATATAACCTCCCGAAATTCATCCCCTTGTCAGTTTAAAGGCTTTTTAGAGTTGTGTTTTATAGAGTCAAGTGTGGGTGCATCAAATCACATGTAATGGAGCTAGGAACTGGGGTGAAACGTCGTACAATGTACGGTACATAATGTACGGTACATAATGTACGGTACATAATGTACGGTACATAATGTACGGTACAGAATGTACGGTACATAAACAAAGAAAAAAAGTTGCATCAGATAAGATAAGATTAACAGGGAATATAATAAGTATTATTTCCAGGAGAAGGACTGATATCCCTGTGTACCCCAGCAGCCTCGGTTCCTGTATCAGAGAAACTAGAGTCTCTCCAGGAGCAGTGGGAGGCTCTCAAACAGCACTGTGTTAAAGAGCAGGAGACTCTAAAAGGTAGGATCTTGGTCTGGACAGCGGACTTTTAAAGTGTTAAGTCTGTTGTATAGCGCCATGCACTACTGGGCCGCGCCGCGCATCAAATAATGCTTCTCGCTACCATGTACCATGCACACTTCTCAAGATCGTAGCACTACTGTGCCGCTACGAGCTGGGAAGGGCTGACATGGTCAATCAAATACTTTTGATTTACAATCAATTAAGTCGCCCGGTCGGTTAATTAGATAACGTAGAAGAGTATATCTGATATTTACCTCATACTACACAACTTTCAGAGCTTTCCTTGTAGTATTTAGTAGGGATCATCACGGCTCTTGCCAGACAAAGTGAAACAAGGCAAATGAGTGGTGAAAACTAAATGTGGTTAGCGCATAATTCTGTTGGAACTTTTTATCTTGATCTCTTGTTTGGATGCATAACTTTTAGAGCAGCATATTTATAGTTTAAGCTACTGTGTATGTTTACACTATGTTTATTGTTTAGCCAAGTTGGGGTCCGCCTTACTTACTTGTCTTTATAGTTCCTATAATTGGGCTTGCCAACTTAAGTGAGACCATTGTAATTTATATTCATTAATCTTAGTAAAAGTCCGTACAGAAAAGTCGATTATTTCTTTTAGTTTTCACCAGTCGTTTGCCTTGTCTCATAGTGCCTGTCATGGTATCGTGGCACCAACTCGCACAACTCTTTAAGAAAAGTAGGTCGTCTTCAAATTACAGTGAATATTTGCAGTTTTCCAGACTTTGATTGGGTTCTGAAACTAAGTTTAATCGTTTTCTCGTGCAATTTTAGGTAATGTAAAGTCATAAAATGAGTTTATAACAATATTGATATTTTGGTTATTTCCAAGCGCTCTATCAGAAAACACATCGTAGCTTCTTTAGTGGGGGGAGGGGGGTTACCACTACTACAGATACACTGTACACCAAACTTACCTTCACAAGCATGCGTTCTCACTTGGTCCCATGAGCGGGGAATAGAGCAGCAGCTCAGTGACGTCATAATCACGTGACCTTGTACTCAATAAATCTCTTTATAGAAATACACTACATTTAGTTTATGGACATGTTATTGATTTTTTAATTCCGTCTATCTTTAGGAACCGTTGACAATATGGTAGAAATGAAAGCAAAGATAGATTTCTACGGCCAATGGGTGAACGACGTTGTTGAACACTGTTCCCAATTGAATGAAGAGCTTCCCGACGATCTTCCAAAGGTAGACTAAAACATTTATTTAATCAATGTTTCATTAGTACTGTTGTTACTTTTTTCTCATCTAAATTAGTTCATAAATACTAATAAAGTAATAAGCTTTGTACGATACAATGTGATTTTAAACCGCTTGAAATGTGAGGGTAAAATGGGAGTGTGATCATAAAAACTTTACCAAGGTTGAAGATCGACATGAGCCGTCACCGAGCAATTCTAAATTTTCTAGCAGACTCAATTGGTACAATCGTGCACAAAAATAAAAAAGTCGTGAATAAACAATTGACTGAATTGCATTGATTGAAGTGATTGCATCATAAAAGGACTCTGTTGTCTGTTCTGTATTTTTTCCAATGTTTCTATATTTGACATTGATTGTATGTAAATTTCTTGGAATGATTGTTTTTGTAAAACTTATATCTTACATTCCTTGGTTTACTTTCTATTCTGCATCGTGATGATATTACTAATATTACTAATATGTAGTAATTAAGGGTTATCATTTAACAGTTAAGTTCTGAATGTCCAAGTTCTGTCAGTAACTGATAGTGATAATTATCAACTTTGCCGCGTTAAAATCTGAGAATATCACTCCTAGTTTTGAGCTAACACCCGATATATATATTTTCAGATAAGGAAGATGGTTGACGGAGTTTTCGAGTTCACCAAAGAACTGCAAAACCAAGCACCGTTCCTGAACGACCTACTCGAACAGTGTGCTCTCCACGAGGAACAGGTAAACTCCACCTCTTTCATATTGTACAGGGATTTTAATATCATTTAAATTAAATATCTATCAGACCTGACGTGATGTATAGATTAAAGTATGTATTAACTTGTTGGTTTATACCTCTGCATTGCTATTAGCTTGTGCGAGATTTGTGGTTAAATACCCTATTAGTTATAGTAACCACTAAGGACCAGTACCCATGTGACCTGTCCGAGTGGGTCAGTGCAATTCTTGACATATCCATTATCCACGGTCAACTTTATAGCCAATAATTGACGTCAGTACCAACCCCTACAACAACTTTTACCACTGATCAACCCTGTAAACCTTCTCCTGTACTGGTATTTATCTTCCGAAAGCCGTTTACCATTTGATTATTTTGAAGTAATACGACCGTTTAAATCGTGAAAGCATTAAATCTAATAGCGCGGTTAGAGTGTTTACATACAATAACTACTATGAATTATATCTCTTGTTCCACTGGGGCCTTAGATATCTGAATGTTGCAACATCAACATCTTGAAACTATGAAACTATGAAACGCATCCGCGGACAATTATTTTAGACAGTTTTAATTAAACTAGGGATGCTATGATCACTGTCACTCCCACTAAAAGGTTGCTCCCTCTACAGGGAACTCTCTCAGCTGATTTATCGTCAGACATAGAGGACGTGAAAGACAGATGGGGTGAGGTTTGTCAGTTCCTAGATGAAAGGTTTATAGAGATCCGACAGAAGCAGATGGAATTAGCCAGACGACCTGCACCAAAACCTGCTAAGGAACCTAAAACTGATGCCGAAAAGGTTAACGTCCACTTCAACATTATTTTGTATAAGTGAGCATGCATATTACAAATCTCTATCCCAGCCTCACGTTTTCAATTATACTCAGCTTGATAAATTATGTCATCCCTACTTTGAAGTCAAAGGAATAAGTATAACTTTGTGGCTAAAGGTATACTGACTCCATTACACAGTAGCGAAAAGCTGGCCTCTCATTTCCAACCTTTTATTGTATTTATATGGCAATTTCGAGCTTTTAATGGCCAGTATTCCGCGGCGGTGCTGTAATCAGCTAATAATAACACCCCTTTTACCCAGGTTGACCTAGAAGTCCAGAACGTGGTAGCCTCCTGCTGCTGTGAGAGCAAGTTTAAGTGTGAGATGGTGAGTGCGGGCAAGTACAAGTTTGGTGAGATGCAGAAAAAGCATCTGGTTCGGATACTCCGGACTAACATTGTGGTGAGAGTGGGAGGGGGTTGGGAGACGATGGAGAGTTTCCTCAACCAGCACGATCCTTGTAGAGTTACTGGCAAAGGGAATGTTGAGAGTATCTTGGCTAACCTGCCTAAACCTGGGGAGGCGTTAGGTGAGGGCATGAATTATGTAGAATTAGGTTATCCATCTAAATTAGTTATTGGTGTCTCCTTCCAATTAATCAGACTGATGATTATGACGTTAGGTAATATTTAATTAGGTTTTATGTGTCTGAGGAAATGGTTGGTGTTCTTTGTTAGAGTGCAAGATTATATTCTGAGAGATTTAATTTATAGTTACACTTTATTCACAGTATAGTAGAAGGTATTAGGTAAGATCGATCTCCTTACACTTACAGAAGATCTCGAGGGCGTAATATCACAAATATTCTCGCAGGTCTGATGAGTGCCAACTTGACGAGGAATAAGACCGTGATAGGGCATGTAGACAGCTCGAGGAGTACTTCTAAACTGCAGAGTTGCTCTGGAACTGTCGAGTCAACTAGAGAAACAGAAACTGATACTGATTTTGCTCATGCTAAGGGCGCACAAAGATTTATGGTTAGTTGCTTCATAACATAAAATATTCTGCACTTAAGTTAAGATGTAATGCAAAACTTCAGATCATATAAAAACACCTCCCCCAAACCATAGTATGAGAACACTGCGTATTAAATGTAACTTCTAATCCACAACAACCCAGTCCCGGAATGAGAAGAGCAAGATGACAGGGAAAACCACCACCAGGACACCGACTAAAACAACACAGAGGAAAATGTTCACTCCGGTCACCAACCCCAGGAAGAATGGAGCCGGGAAGCTGGGGACTGGTACTAGAGCTAAATCTGCTGCCTCCACCTCCTCCCTCTCCTCAAGGTCCGCCACGCGCAGCACGCTTACTCCTGACAGACAAAACATGTGGGTTTCCTTATTGCTACAAGAGTATTACTGTAAACTTTGATTTATGGTATTGTCTTGATCACGATATTGGTTGAATACAACAAAGAGTGCAGAATATTTATCCTCCCACAATTAAATAAGTGATATAAATTGTCAGACCCCTGAGAAGAAGTAAGAGCTACGGTATGGGTGACCCAGAGCCGGTGACCCCAAAAGGGAGAAACAGGCACCCCTCTGGAGGATCAACATCTGGTGCGAACCCCAAGGTCCTGTCAGATAGGTTTTCTACTTTTAGCCCTGCCAAAGGAATCAAGAGGAGTGAGAGTGATTCTGATATCCAGAAACGCAGGTATGTTCGATTCCTTGAACTATAACATTGGCACATTATGACCCGAACAGTTCACCTTTTCCAGCTGAAGAAATTGTTCTACCTTTTACCCTCTGTGATTGCTTTATTAACCTGAATATAAGTTGCGAAGTTCAGTTCTAGTTAATTAACTAAAGTCTGGAGCACCTAACTTTTATAAACAGCTCTTTAAACTTCAGGTCAGGTATTCCAGTACCTACTAAACCGTCAGGCATCCCTGTCTCCAAGAGTCGATCCGGATCAATCGGGAGGTCCCCCAGCGGCGATCTTACTTCTGCCTTCTCCAGATCAGCCAGCCTCAGGGTCAGTTATAACTTTAGTCTGTTAAATTAGTTCTAGGTCTGTAAAGGCTAGTCCAATTTTGACCCTGCATAAAATGTCAACTCATCACGGCATATGTGTTTATCTACACTGCAACTACACATGCAATTGGTCTCTCGTTGAATAACAGTGATGCACGTTTGAACAATCAGTCTGTGGTCACATAAAATTACACTTTTTTCATTTTACAGGGATCGAAAGGGTCAAGTCCAGGACGACCAAAAATAGTGGTTACTGATGACGACGATGAAACGTTTTGAAGGAAACTGTTTATGAGAACGTTTGACGAAGGATCAGATGTGTGGCAAGAGTTCTCTCATGAATGTATCACATGACACATAGGGATGTATTATATAGATTCACGGACAAGCTAACTGTATCGTGTTCATACACAGACACCTCACTTACTATGAGTTTAATCAGGCCAGATACAACAATTTTAGGATAAATCTATATCTACTTATAGTTCGTAGGACATATTTTCTGGTTTCTAATTTTTAGTCAAACAAAATATTGATAGTGATCTTTGTTTTAGAATCACCATTGGTCTAAATGATTGTCGTAAGCCAATGAATGCGAATTATATTAAGGTACAAATTTTAAAATAGACTATTTGTAACAATAACGGAGTTCAATTTTTTCCAGTTTTTTAATTTAGAACCAGCTTTTACTTTCTGGTTACCTTATAAATATTGAATATTATATTTGTGATTAAGAAGGCATGTATTGTGTGTCGAAAAACAGGTCGAATGTCTATCATGAAGATTTTTAACGTTGAGTTAACTTTATTTATTTATTTTTGTATTATATTAATACACGATAATATAAGATGGGCAGAGCCCGTTAGGCAGATTTTTTGCAGAGGTTTTCGTAGTCAAGTTACAGGTATTTTGCATAGTTATCCAGAAGTTTCGATTTTGAGAATTGGTGAGGAAAGTTGTGGACAAAATTATGCAGATTTACGTTGCAGATTGCAATTATAAAAGGAGTCAATTATGTGTCTCAATTTTACATATTGGACATCCTTTGATATTTTAAATTTGAGACTGAATCCGAGACTGAAGGATAACTGTTCGCTAATTTTCTTTAGTCTAAAACATTTTATGATGTAAGTATTTGTAGTATATTGAATTGGAAGCATTGACTCAAGAGTTTTTAGGAGTTTTAAATTTAACAAGAAAGCTATAACAACAATCATAAAATAATTTAAACAAACTAAAGCAAAACACAAATATGAACAATTAAAGTCCGTCCACAAAATATGGGATGAGAATTGTCTGATAATCTGAGGTTCAGGGGGGAGTCAGCTGCCGAGCAACATCTATAAAGTTCGTTAGGGATTCTAAACCCAGTTATTGTGAGGATATCAATAACAAATGTGAGGTTATCAGTTACAGCAGTTAGGTTATCCGTAACAAGTTACACAACCACATCTAGAGAGGGTTTCCATTTCAAATCTGCATTCTTCACCGAGTTCGCTATTGATACTTTCCTGCGGGATTTCAAGATTTAAGAACACGTTCACACCTTTAAACATACCTTTTCAATAAAATAAAAGAATCGATTTTAAGTAATGTCAGCAATTTTCCATCAAAGCAGATGATTAGAAGATTAGATTATTGATAATGGCATCCTAGAAACAAAGTATTGCCATTACCTAATAGTAATACTAATAGCTACTGTCACTGACAATAACATCTGATTTTATTTTGCAAAAGCGTAATAAAGAATAAAGCATATTCAGTATTCACTCACCTCAAACAGATCTTAGTAAGGTCTACAGCAGAACTGCTTGATCTGACTGTAACACTCATGTTCTCTGAAATTTTCTGGTAACCTTTAATAAAGAATTCCCTGAACCGCTTCATTCTGGTAAAGTAGATAAGGGGGTTGAGCACAGAGTTAATACCCACCGAGAGGGTAATGGTTGCTGGCCAACTGTACCAGTGCATGAAGACAGTGCCATACATACTGTTGTAGGTGTACCCTTGTCTGAACCTGATGTGGAAATACATGTAGTTCACCACCACTGGAAAGTTACAGATCCAGTAGACTATCGTCACCATCATGATGGTCAAGGTAGCTTCGCTCTGCATCTTGGCAACCCTGTCACTGCACTGAAGCCTGCGTCTCCTGACGTGCAGCACCCCAAAGGAAGCTATGCAAGAGATAGTAACCGGGAAGATAGGGAGAAGGAGCTGGACTTGGTTGGCTATCATCTTGAAGTGCCAGTAAGTGTTAACCTCTGCAATGTCCTCCTGGCAAAGGACAGAGTCCTTGAAGTAGGTGTAACTAGTGTTGGTGTGAGCGGCTGCTATGAGTGGTATTCCGCTCCTCGTCACCAGAAGCAGGAGGTAACCACCAACAATTCCCAGAATCAGCTTACACCGGACCATGCCCAGTGGCCTGACCAGGGTGTAGGTTCGAGAGAAACTGAGTATAGCAACAAGGAAGATGGAGAGATAAGGGAGCACAGTCCACATCACCCCCCAAATATAACAAAACAGGGCGTTGTCGAAGAACACCGGATCCCTACCTTCCAGGAAACTGAGCATTACCGGGAGCATGCCCAAGCAGATTAGTGTGTCCGTGATGGCGATGCACACGAAGAGGCTGTCAAAGCAGAGCTTCTTCTCGTTGATGTAGATCTTGCTGGACAAGTCCATGCTGAAGTGTATGATGGCAGGGATGTTGCCCAGGAGCCCGAGGATAATGATGAGGATGCAGAGCACCCCACAGAAGGTGTCTCCAGCACTGCTCATGTCCGGGGGAGATGGTGTCGGGGAGTAGGTGGTCATACTCGTACTCGCACTGTTCATTACTGTTAATTAGTGATGTTGTTAGTGTGGCTTTACAATGAATCATTACTAGTCGATATAAAAAATAAAATAGAAAAACATTTTATGAATGGTATAACATATAAATGAGGATTCTGGTGGTAGGGTGGGGTTTAATTTTTTAACGTGACAATAATTCTGGAATTTGATAGGTCTACGGCGAAAGCTGATTGGATTTGGTTTATTGCTGTCACGTGTCAAAAAATATGCCTCACCTCCCCACAAGGATCTTTATTTATAATCATTAGTAAAACTAAAAGGGATTTGTAATTGTGGATATAAAATCAGTTTGAATCTATTTTGAACGCCAAAGTCCAAACCCGATTCACAACGCATAATATTGTGTTGCCTTCCAAGAGCTATACTATACTGCTACTGCTAGTGTAGTGCTTATAGTTCAAAATATTCATGAATTTATACAATCAGCTACTAAACACATATTATGCACTTAAATTAAGCACGTCACAAAACATTTATCAAAGATTTACTAATTTAATACAAAATTGCAATTAAAGGAATTAATTGAATGACTTGTAATTCATAAATCCCGAAGCTTATATTTCATGTGCGTTTAGTTTGCTCAGATATTAAAACTAAGTGAAGCGGCTTCAAAATCCAATTTTAAATTAAAAAATTACGAGTGGGTATGCAGTATTCAAAATAAATAAACGCACAATCCAGAGCACAATCTTTGACTTTATAGTCGTATATTAATATTATTACAATCGCACAGGAGCGGTGCGTGATTACCCAGACTGGCAATATAAAATCACCGCCATGACCAAGCTCAATAAAGAGCGGCCATGTTCCTATCTATAGTTATTTCTAAAACCACCACGCTTTCATAATCATATTACATAACTATTTAATTCAAATTGTACGTTCGTAGGTCACGTCTCAGTCTACCATGAGCGGTGCCAAATTTTGCTTAAATTTCAAATTAATTCAGTACTCTAACTGGCTAAAAAGTCGATATTTTAAAATGGTCCCCGGTATTTCGTTGGCTCCCAGTTATGATGACTGTTCAATTAAAGTTGCGAATCCATCCTTTGTGTCTAACCTCATGAGACTGTTAGATCAGAAAGCTGCGTAAAGGTTTTTATAACAAAAACAACGCATAATTTTATATTACTTTAAGTTTATACTGGTGTTACGAGATTTTTTAAAAGTTAAATTTTTTTTGATTTACAAATACAATTACAAATTACATCTCGTGATCTCGTCGTTAAGTTTTGAATGACTGATGAGTGCGGAGCTGAGTTAAGTTGGCAGCAGTTAAAAATGAATTTGTTTTAATAATTGATGCTTATAATTATATAACATCAAGTAGAAATTTCAAGCTGTTCGTCCGATTATATATATTACGGCACGTATAGCACGTATAGCACGTATAGCACGACATTATTTTGTTGATCATGTGATCAAAAATCGACGCAGATCACGCGTGAGAACAGGAGGCTGACAAATTAAAATGGGGACCCTCGATTATCGTTTACAATTACCCTGAGAAACTCGCTTTGAAGCCAAAAAATCACATTTTCTCCCATAACTTCAAAGGGAAGCATTTTAGGGTGTTTTGTTGTTCATAACTCATATATAAATGTGCTAGTTGCGGTTATTTTGCACCCTTCAAAAAGTCACTAGCACATTCTTATCAAAATTTTAGAAAAATCAGTAAATATTAAAAACGAAAAATGTGCCTAAATTTGTTGTTGGCTTTGAGGTCCAATAGATCAGAAGGTGAATGAGTAAAAACATTTTTGAGGGCATCAAAAACTGCGCCAGAATTCAGAGAACAATTTGATGTCAAGCATCAAATAATCCGATCTTCCCTGACTGACTTTTTGTTAAAATAAGCCTGAAAAGGACAATTTTAGCTTTTTGACTTTAAAAATTTATAAAACACCAGCTTTTTTAGATACGATATCAAGATTTTACACACGCCTTGACATAGATGTGAATAAACGGCGAACAAAATTTCAACCCGATACCGCAAGAAATGATTAACTTATAGCGTCTCAACCACAAAATAATTTTTTCCGAAAATTGCACTTTTAACCAGGAAATACTCGATTACAAAAATACGTATTCTCAAAATAATTTTTTTTGGTGTGGAAACGGTGCGCTAGAAGGTCACTGAACTGCCTATGAGGTCATTTGGTCTGGACAAATTTGGGGTATGCCCCCTTAATGGTTATCTGATGCAGTGGAATATTATATAAGTTGTATGATTCGATATAATAAAGCTAGGCAAGATGTTCATTGTCCAATGTCCATTAATATTACTCTGATACCTTGCCGGCTGCCGCACCCAAGTCCCAAATTCTCTCAACGTGCAAGTTTTAACTTTTACGCTCGTAGCTGGGACTGGTAAAATTCATTAAAAAATTCATAAAAATCCGTAAAATTCATTAACAAAACTTACCTAGTATAGCTTGGAGGGGGATTTTTTTAAAACATATAGTTATAGTTATACGTGATACCAGATACGAAAAGTTGTTTTAGCAGGAGCTTTCATGATACATGTGTAAATCATCTTGCTGCTATGACTGAGCAAGTAAACTTGCATCTTTCGTGGTACTCTGGAATAGAAAACATCATCAAGTGCTTCAACAACATTGATCCTAGAACATATGCAAGGAACTCTTCGCTTTTACTCAATGCAACTGCGTTTGCAGACGCTTGCAGTCCAGACGAGCTGGTTAATAACTTTCAAAACCTGTTTACAGACTCCTGGAGATCAAAGATTAACGAGAGCAGGAAACTCACTTTCTACAAGGACGTCAAAACAGTCTTTGCATGGGAGCCTTACCTAGATTATGCAAGAACTCTCGATGACAGAAGATCAACAGCTCAAATAAGGTGCAGTTCTCACAGACTCAGCATAGAAATTGGGAGATACGAAAACACACCTCTAGAGAGCAGAACTTGCACCTTTTGTGAACTGAAAGGATCAACCGGGATCATAGAGGATGAAACACACTTTCTCACTTCCTGCCCACAAGGGAAGGCTATCAGAGACAAGTTTACCAGAGCTAGTGAAAGCTTGGGAAACAGCAATGACAACGGACTGACCAACATTGTCAACACTCTCTCTCGTACCCAAGATCTTTACGGTAACCTTAACGAGCAGGATGTGAACTTGATTAGACTTTCATGCTCAACCATCAGAGAAATGTACAGTCTGAACCTCAAGCACAAAGACAGCCTTCGTGATGAAGATGGAAAGTAGTCCTTCAGCTCTTTTTTGCTTTTCTCGTTCTTCCTTTCCTTCTCCTCTTGCTTTGGATCTGTGACGGATGCTATGAGCGACTCTTGGGACTTTCCGTCCCTACATGGGCTTCCGGCCGTGCGTCCATGTAGGAACTGTGGGGCCTTCAGAGTGATAGGGTTACAATGGTTGTCAGTACAGCAATGGATCGCTCCATTGGCCCGACCTCCGAGACGGGGTATCCGAGAGGACCCTGGTCGTGACCAGCTCTGCACCAAAAGGTGTATTCTGGTGTCTGAAATCTTGGACCGTAGTCTGCGTACGGGGTAGACTGCCACGGACGATTATGTTACATGGGCCGCTCACTGCATTCTGATTTTAGCCAGACCTCAGCAGGTGGTTTGTCTCCACTCTTGTTTCTTTTTTCTTGTCCCCCTGCATCCTGTCCTTCCCCTTTGCTTCCCCCTCTTTCAGTCTTCATTTTCAGCATCAGCCTCATCAGTTTTAGTATTCAGAGCCACTTGCTCCTACAACCGTACCTTACTGGCTCACTGCATTTGGCCCAAACGGCATTTTAATTTTCCGTTTTTTAACTTGCTTACTGTGCATTTAACTTTTTTGCCCTAGCGACTAGCGCGCGTTCGTGTTCCCGAGCCTGTCCCCTTATTCTCTCAGAACACCTCGGGTACACTTGTTCGTCCAAGTACCTAGTGGTAGACACTTTGACAGTCATCACACTGTTATGGATTTGGCACAGTTGACATGAAAACTTTTTCTTATCAGTCATTATCATGTCACCCATCACAACATTTTGAACTTCGATAGTACCTCACATGAATTTATCGACAGTTAACTCTCTTTCACTACGACATACTTAACTTTGTCACACAGTATCACATTTTCATTAGACACCTACATTTTGAGAATCATTTAATTTTCGAATGGAATTTTACCGAATTAAACCGAGTGTGTGTGTTTAAGCGATTTGTACAACATTTCTGTAATGTTTCAAATTATATTCAAATGTTCTAAAAAAAATGTTCTTCAGCTATACTAGGGATGATGTTGTAAAGGGGTGATTATATATTATGATGGACTGATGTCAATGATGAGGGGTGTGTGATGTGCAAGGGTGGAGTGGAGAGATGATGCAAATGAAGATGATGAAGATGATGATGATGATGATGATGATGATGATGATGATGGGAAAATGTTTTAAATTTACATTACAATAACATTCAAATTAAAAACTAGGCTTCTGAGGTAGATGAAAAGGAAATGCCAGATGGCCTGGTCTTTAGGAATGAAATTGAAGCAATCTTAGGAAGGATGGGGTCTCTAGTTTGCTACTGGAAGAATAAAAAGAGTTCTGACAAGCTTTGCGCATAGTTTAGTTGTACGACTCAGCCATGATTAATGATTTGGCCACAAAGAAACTTAAACTAGTGGCTTGTGATCAAATTGAATCTATTGATAATCATATCACTGATCAATGTGATTATCGATATATTCGAGTTTGCTAGAGCATTTGGCCGCATGTTAAGCTACCGACACACAAGTTCATGATCGATTTTATGAAATAGGAGACACGACAGTACTTGCAATCTCCTAGCTCGTGCGGTTATGCTAGGATAAATTACATTGTTATGAAGTGATGTACTGTCACTGAGGTAATATCGTGGTTTTATAGATCTAATACAATCACGGTTGAGGCTACGATATGTACCTACCATGGTAGCAAGTATACAACTAGTAATACTTCAAGAATA